GTTACCATTAAACCTCTATTTTTTGGTAGCCCAACTACCTTTCTTTAGGGACACCATGGTAGAGAAAAATTTTTGTTTTGTTTTGTTTTTTAAGATAGAGTCTCACTCTGTTGTTCAGGCTAGAGTGCAGTTGTACAATCTTGGCTCACTGCAACCTCTGTCTCCCAGGTTCGAGCAGTTCTCCTGCCTCAGCCTCTCCAGAGTAGCTGGGATTACTGGCATGTGCCATCGTGCCCAGCTACTTTTTGTGTTTTTAGTAAAGACGAGGTTTCACTATAGTGACCCGCCCCATCTTGAACTCCTGACCGCAAATGATTCGCCTGCCCTGGCCTCCCAAAGTGAGCCACCATGCCCAGCCAAGAAAAATATTTTTGTATAGGAGCTATCCTATAAATAGTAATTAAATGAATGAATGGATAAACAGAACATAATATGAAAACAGCTGTCTTACCCTCTTTCCAAAACTGATGTGAAATTAACTACAGTGATAACCTTTAAAAAAAATACATTTGCAATAACAAATACCAGCTACTGACCAGAAACTTGAACAACTCCTAATATAAATTGAACAGGCAGGATTCGGTTGTCTGAGAAACAAACTGGGAGAAGACCACAGCCCACAAAATGCTGGGGGATGCAGCAGAGCTAGGAGCTGTCTTGAGGTTCGCTCCAAGCAAAGGGGACAGCAAGAAAAAGAAAAGCCTCAAAGTGAGCAGTCATCAGGCTGGGACCAGGAGAACTGTACAGCCCTTCCCTAAAGTAGCAAGTGTAGATGCTGATGGAAGGATAGCATGCCAGTACCCAAGACAGCTAATGACCTCAAGAAGGGAAAGAGAGTCCCCAGCCTGAGAAGGAAAGACACTGGTACCCTCCTGGCATCAGGTCCATTGCTCTCTACAGCTTCTTAATGCTGGCTCCTGACATGCAGATCTGCGGTCAGTGACCAACAAACAGCAAGTCTCAAACACCAAGATGAGTCCCGGATCAGAAGATGCCAGATATTCGAAGGAAACTGACACTGAAAGAGGCATTAGATTCACCAAACAGAACCAAGACCCACAGAACAAATGAAAATGTTAAAATATGTGCAATTGATGATTCATACCATTTATGTTCAACAAATGTTTACTGAGTACTTACATTTATACACGGAAGAACCAAAGATTAAACTCTAAGAAGGAAAATTTGGTATAGATGAAATCAGAAAAGCAACTAATAAAATTTATCGATGTCTAAATTATTGGTGGATATAATAAAAAAATGAAAGCATGAATCTAATCAACATTGCAATGGTGGGTAACTTAGAGGTGGAAGTATATGAAGGATAGTAGATACCAATTAGCTTAGGCTTTGATAGAAAAATGTAAAAGTATATTAAAACTTCAGCAGGATATTAATATATGTATTGCATATTAAAGATTCAGCACATTAAGTACTTGAAGTAGATATAAAATTTGTTGCTCAAAGACATTTTATGGATGTCTACTTTTATTGTCACATTTCTAGATTTCACTGATTTTTTTTATAGTTTTCTTTGTAAATTAGTTTAGGTATATTTTTGAATTTGTGAAAAGAAGAGGAAAATGCAAATCAGGTGCCATGAAAGAAACTGAAGTGACACAATTATACATTTTTGATTATTTGTTCATCTATTCTCATTTCTTAAATGATGGCTTGATTTCCACTACCCCGAATTCTTTTGCAGTATATCTTGCCTGTTAAATCCTGTGTAATTTTGTAGTTCACATTAACTAGAAAGGAGCAAGTGAAGAGGTTGACATTTCATTGTTCTAAGTAATATGACCACCCTTTTAACTGGAATGTCTTCCCCTTGTAATAATGAGTTGAGAATTGGTTCATAAAATATTATGGTTTTGAAAATGTCAGCATGGTCTCTTAATGGTCTAGCTTTAATTATAATGACTTGTTGGCATGAACCTTTGGTAGTAAAGTCTTCAGAGGCTGTGTAAAGTAAGCAGTTTCATATACGTGATAATCTCTAAAGACCTAGAACGTCAACTAAGGAATGTATCCTGTCTTGCTAGTTTGGGATTATGAATACATAATGGCTATTTCACTTTGAAGAATGTTCAAAGTCTAATATAAAAGCTTTTCCTCTGTGGATAAGATATAAATAGCATATTGAAATTTAGTATTAAAACTAATGTTACACATTTGGTTTAAAAAAATGTTCTTTGTCCTTTGCTGTGGTTTTAAAGGAAAAGCATGAAAATGAGAGGCAAATTCCACCCCTAAATATTCTTTAAAATTCAAAAATTCATTAATAGACATTTCCTGGAAGACATATGAATGGCCAATGCATGGATGAAAAAATGTTTACTCTCGCAACTACCTTAAGGAAATACAGATTTAAATAACATCTTGTTGCCATCAGTTGCCAGTCCCTTGAAAGATTTTATTGATTATATCCTGTGATGATAAGAGGACAAAGAAAATGACATTCACATGTGCTGGTGGTAGAGAGGGCCATGCCCATCGGGGTTCTTAGGTTCAGCTAAATACTCAGATTCACCCACCTGTCATCAGCCACATCTGGCACTTGTTGCTCAGGAGAGAAGTAGCTGGGAAAGCCAGCATGCTGGCAGGTGTTTGCTCTTTAGTGGGAACCTTCGTGACACTCCACATACTTGTCCATACAGCCATCTGGAAGCTACTGTTCTGCTCTTTGGTACCCCAGGTTACAACTTTGCTGCTAAGGAGTGGGTTTGAACCCTCCTGGCTTAGAAGCCTCATGCCCCCAGGAGCCAATATCTATAGTAACAGCTCTACTGCATAGCTTCTCAGTTCTCTGCAAAGACCATACCAGTTATAAGAGTCATTGAACCCAGGAAGGCCCACAGATATGGTGCCTATTACGTATTTCTGGTTCTTTCTTGTTGAGATACAATTTATCAATTGGGTTATTTATTCCTAAGCAATGATGCTTTTATAACACAGTTGATAGTATAGGTTCCTAGGAGAACAGAGCTAGAAAGTTAACCAAAGGTCAAATGCTCATGTGAAGGGAAAAAGGATTTTTTTTTAACCCTTTACTTACAAGAATAAATGAATATAATCTCTTTTTAGGATCACATTTGGACCAGGCGGGGCAGCTCATGCCTGTAATCCCAGCACTTTAGGAGGCCGAGGTGGGAGGATCATAAGGTTAGGAGATCGAGACCATCCTGGCGAACATGGTGAAACCTCATCTCTGCTAAAATACAAAAAATTAGCCGGGTGTGGTGGCGCACTCATGTAGTCCCAGCTACTGGAGAGGCTGAGACAGGGGAATCGCTTGAACCCAGAAGGCAGAGGTTGCAGTGAGCTGAGATTGTGTCACTGACTCCAGCCTGGTGACAGAGCAAGACTCTGTCTCAAAAAAAAAAAAGAGAGATCATATTTGCACAATATACATTGAAAACTTTTATTGTGGGTGTTCCCTTTTAAGTCGACAATTTTGTTTTCATGGTTTTATTGTAACAAGAAATATGCACAAAGATGTGTGTGTAAGTAGGTTTACTAAAGCATTATTTGCCATAGTTATTAATTAGTAACAATCTAAATGCTCAGTAATTGCTTAAGAAAATTATGGCACATTCATATTCTAGAATAATATATATGTTTATAAAATAGATACGTCCAGAAACAACTTTAAAAGTATATATATCAAAATATTTAGTGTGTAACTGAGTGGTGATTTTCTATGTAATTTTTTAAGCCATAAGTCACTAATTTTTAACTTTGATTATGTATTACTTTTCTAAAGAATTACTTTTCATAAAAATTACCAGAAAATTGGCCAGGCACAGTGTCTCACGCCTGTAATCCCATCACTTTGGGAGGCCAAGGCAGGTGGATCACCTGAGGTCAGGAGTTCAAGACCAGCCTGGCCAACATGATGAAACCGTCTCTACTAAACAAATACAAAAATTAGCCAGGCATGGTGGCATATGCCTATAACCCCAGATACTTGGGAGGCTGAGGCAGGAGAATTGCTTGAACCCGGAAGGCAGAGGTTGCAGTGAGCTGAGATCACACCATTGTACTCCAGCCTGGGTGAAAGAGCGAGACTTCATCTCAAAAAAAAAAAAAAAAAAAAGAAAAGAAAAGAAAGAAAATTATTGTCAGTTTTAATGCAAGCTAGTTATGTTAAATGACTGATCATACATTTCAAGAGTTTGTTTTAATACCATTAAAAAAGGCTTGATCTTGAACTTCCTTAATGCATTTAATGAAATTCTATGTTCTATAAACTATGGAGCTCTATCTCACATCAACATATTTAGTGATAATTTGAAATATCTCAAGCCATAAAAATCATTCCATTTACTTTCTCATATATACTATTACATACATTTTTGATAGAATTTAGATGCCAGCTCTCAAGTTCTTTTCTCAGGTTATGGGTGGGCTAATGGATGCCATCATTATTACCTTATGGATTTGTTTTTAAATACATTCAATTTATTTTTCATCTTCCCCTTGGGTAATATACACACATCATAGTTTAACATCACCTCATCGACTGATAGCCTTGTCACTCTATTTATTGGTTTAGAAAATATGAAACAAATATTTCCTCAAGGGTATGTGGTACTTGGAGGAATATTGAAAAGCAAAATGTAATTCATGCTGTATCTTCAATAAAATAAGAATTATGTGAGGAATATTCAAAGAAATGTTTATTGCATTTGTTTCCTGCTGTTTCGTATTAGCTCTGTTTCTTGATCTCCTTACAAATGATTGATGCAGAGTTAGCTGGCTCTGTAGAAGTGCTGTGGATTACAGAAGACCAGTCTTTGGGACACAAATTAGAATTCTGATCCTGGCCTCACTAAGGACTCTGTTACTTAGGGATTCAGTTTTCTCATCTATAAAATGAATAGACTGGATATCTCTTAGGTCTTTTTCAACTGAAAATACTATTAAGATTTATGTAATTTATCACATTAAGATTTATGATGATGAAATTTCTGATAATTTTATGTTTTTTCTTCTAGTTTATATCTGTTCAAACTTGGAATAGCACCCCAGATCCAGGATTTGTTGGGCAAAGTAGACTTCACAGGTATTACTCTTTATCTTTGTAATTTATTACAATCTACTTATAAAAAGAGTCCCAATACCTTTTTTCCCCATTTTGATATTACTGACTTCCCTTATTCCTATATATTGATGAGAAGAGAAAACTGATCTATCTTGCTCATTCTTGACTGAGTCCTCCTTCCCCACGTTTGTGAAATGAGAAACTGGGGCTGGGTTCTTCCTAAGGTTTTTTTTTTTTTTGAGACGGAGTTTCGTTCTTGTTACCCAGGCTGGAGTGCAATGGCACGATCTCGGCTCACCGCAACCTCCACCTCCTGGGTTCAGGCAATTCTTCTGCCTCAGCCTCCTGAGTACATGGGATTACAGGCATGTGCCACCATGCCCAGCTAATTTTTTGTATTTTTAGTAGAGACGGGGTTTCACCATGTTGACCAGGATGGTCTCGATCTCTTGACCTCATGATCCACCTGCCTCGGCCTCCGAAAGTGCTGGGATTACAGGCTTGAGACACCGCACCCAGCACTTCCTAAGGTTCTTGTTAGAAACAACCCCCCTTCCTGATGAAGACATTTCTTGATATGATTATATTCATTCCTTCATCCATCTCTGTAGCTTTCTCTGATAATGACGATTATTATCTGGTTCTTTGTTAGAGGAGGAAATCAGTAATATGAGAAAAGAACTTGAAAAATATGGAATACAGATGCCATCTTTCAGCAAAATAGGCGGTATTCTGGCCAATGAACTCTCCGTGGATGAAGCTGCATGTAAGTCCGTTTAAAATCCAAACTTGCCATTGACGTGAGACTTACCTGTACTTTACTTATTGATTTTGATTACTCGAAATAGAATATTTAGAAGATCCTTTAAGCAGCCTAAAATTTTTGTTTTATAGTGATTAATTGGAGGATGTCAGAATATAACCAATAATTGATTTGGTTTTGGTTTTTAGACTTCTACTTGTGCAACATGAATTCAGGTTCCAGAAATATCTTCATGGTCCATCATTCTCTATTTTCTGTGTCTGTAGATTTTAGTGGTAGAGTACATTGTTATAGGTCTTTTAGTATTGTAAGCTAAAGTGCAAGTATCTCTTGGAACTAACATGTTACTTTAAAATTATCCATGTCACGCAGACCAGAGGGTAAGGATTGACTTACCTTCTAACCCCTGAGGGTGACATAGGCCTCAGTTCATTTTAGCCATTCAGTGACTTATAAATGAGTCAGAATTACTTAACAGATGCCGAGATCGCGAGCAAAGACAGCCATGTGGAGAGGTTGTCAGGTGCTCCATAATATGTCTGAGTTCTCTTTTTGACCTATTTACTGGAAGCCAAGAAAGAAAGTAAAACTGCTTGGGTTTACGCAGGGTTGATGCAACTTTCCATGTGGTCTTTTGCTGATAAAACCTTTTTCTCTCTCTCTTTACTTTTTAGTACATGCTGCAGTTATAGCCATTAATGAAGCTGTTGAAAAAGGAATAGCAGAGCACACCATTGTAACACTAAGAAACCCAAATGCAGTGTTAACTTTAGTGGATGACAACCTTGCACCTGAATATCAGAAAGAACTCTGGGATGCCAAAAAGAAAAAAGAGGAAAGTGCAAGACTGAAGGTACTTAGATTCTGAGTAATAAAAACAGTAATGAATGTGCTTATGAGTTACTAGTTTGAAAAGCCTTAATGTTAAAAGCAATACTTTTAAATCAGTTGGCTATGTTCTCTATAGCCATAGACAATTTATTTGAATGAAATGTAGCATAAAAGAGGACTATACACTATGTAAGGCAATTAGATTATATGCCTGTATAAGGCATAAAAAGGAATTTTATAGGCCAGGCATGATGGCTTATGCCTGTAATCCCAGCACTTTGGGAGGCCACAGCGGGAGGATCCCTTGAGTCTAGGAGTTCAAGATGAGCCTGAGCACCATACTAAGACCCTGTCTCTAAGAAAATAAAAGGAAAAATAAAAAATTAGCCGGGCATGGTGGTTGAAGCCTGCAGTCCCAATTACTCAGGAGGCTAAGGTGTGAAAGAATCACTTGAGTCTGGGAGATTGAGGCTGCAGTGAACTGTGACCGTGCTACTGCACTCCAGCCTACGTAGCAGACTGAGACCCTCAATTTTTAAAAAGAGAATTGTGTGTGAATGTTATAGATTGAAAGAATTCAAAGTCATGTGGCAAACTTGCTACTGTCCTCAGAAAGTATACAAGTAGCAACTCATAATCATCCCTTGTTAGGCATCATCAGCAGACCTTACATTAGAAAGATACTTTTACATTTGGTAGTAGAGGTTAATAATTCAGGGTGGTGAAGTTCAGAGAGTATGTTTTTCAATCTGCGGTCTTCATATTTTCCCGGTAGTCAATCCTTTATATTTGAGGATGTCCCTCCTGTGCAAGATAGACTGCTCCTAATTCTAACTCCATTTGTAACCACCTTTCTGTCTAGTTCGTTGTTGAAAACTTTGTCTACACTGAGAGCTTCTACTTCCTCACCAGTTTCTCATTAAGCTCTTGCCATGTTAGTTTCAGCTCCATGAGTAAAAGTAACCACTTTAGATTTTGGCGTTTTTCTCAACTGGTGGCTTCCACCATATCTGGTAGGGTTGGCCCTCTGCCTTGAGATTCTCTGCTCTAACAGCTTATATGCGTCCTTGCTGCCATGGTTCTTCTCTGTGCCTCTTTCTCCTCTTCTTCCTCCCTCTCAGTATGGGGATTCTTCAAGGTCCAACACTGAATCCCTCTCTGTTCTTCCTCCATAGAGCTCATCCACTTGTTGAAGAAATCAGCCGTCAGCTTTATGCCAGCCCTTCCCAAATTGGCCTCTCTCCTCTCCTCCAGATATCTTCATCTCTGACCCTAGGGCTTTGTACCCCATTATATTAGAAGAGCTCCCCTTGCTGACTTCCCTGATTCAGAATGATTGCTACCTTTGTCTTAGAACTCATGCCCCCTGTGTCCCATCCATTGCTAGATTCTGCTGCCTACTCTTGTTAGAGTTGAATCTGTCACCAACCTTTTAGTCTCACCAGTCTTGCCTCAGTCCTGCCTTTGCTGTCGTCATTGCTTGACTCTTGTATCAAGCACCTTCCTCGTGGGTCTCTGCCTACGAGATTGGCTGCTATTCTCCAAGCCAATCCCCCTTACAGCTAGAGGTTACAAAATTGATCTTTAACTACAAATCTGATGTCAACCCACCAGAAACATCCCGATTCTCTGTTGCCTACTGAATATTCAACACCAAATCTTAGCCTTCAGTTGACCCCCTCATCTTTTTGGCTCACCCTGGGCACACACTCCAAGTTGTAGCCCGACGTGCTAAGCTTTCCATCTGTGTAACCAAATTCTGCTATCTGCATCCTATTCTTGACATTATTCTGTTGTTCGAAGCCCTCATTGATTATAATCTCTTTGAAAACTTTTCTTCCCAACTATGACTAATTTTGAAAAAAATGCTTATAGTACTTCTCTTATAGAATCTATTCTGTTCTAGGCATATTCATTATTTGTGTTATTTTATTAGATCAAATCAAATGAAATCAGTGCTATTCAACTGTTTTTGATCTACAGAAATGGCAAAACAAAGTGGTCCAAACTGATGTTTTCCACATTTGAAAATTAGCCCTTTTCAAAGAGTCACTGGGTCTGTCATTCATCTTTGTAATCTTTGCCAGGCATTCTCCTCCAGTGCCCTGAACAGAGCAGGCACTCCACAAATGCTTCCAATGAATTTAAATAATTAGAGAATGGTTTTTTATCACTCTTCATGTTTTTCCATTTGAGTTTCAAGTTTTGGAAATATTTTATTTAACCTCAGGAATCAGTGAAGACTTTGTTTTGCAGAATAGCTGCATTTCAGAAGAAGAAAGAGATGTTTATGAAGAACTGCTGACACAAGCAGAAATCCAAGGCAATATTAATAAAGTCAACAGTAAGTAATGGATTGCATGAAGGAAATTGATATTTCCATAAGATACCGACCTTCCTTGCCAGAATCCCAGCATAACTCTCAATTTGTATACTTGGAAAACTGCCTCATACAATGAAAATCTACTCAGTGTCAATGTTGCTCTTAATTATGGAGCAATATTTGGCAGTTTCCCATTGTGCTTTTCTGGTGATGTCAGTCCACACAAAGTATCCTGAAGCTAGTTTGATTCTACCTTCCTGTTTGATTACGTTCCGCATTTTTAATCTGTCATTTTTGGGGCTAATACTGAAGGTAATTTAGTAAAAGATTGTAACTTACAAATAGTAGTTGCTTGCCCACGATTCTGTGATGGTATTATGTTGGAATTGTAAAAGGTACTATTGACACCACTGATCTCTGTGACTTCCCAGCCATTCCCATAGTCTGTAGTTTGAAAGATTTTTCTTACACTTGTGTAACATTGGTGCCAGTGAATGGGACTATGGACAGGCCAGATGAAATTTCATGATGGCGGCTTTGAGTCCTATACCCCTGAGCCTCTGTGGACTCAAGCAGATCAGTTCCTCTTAGTACCTGGTTCAGGTGTGTGACTATAAAGAACAGCAGACTTAGGTAATTAAAATAAGCATATACACGTTTAGCTACATCAATTTTTTTATTAGTCTTTTCTCCCCTCTGACTAAGAATAAGAGTATTTTTAGTTGAGCATCACAAGAGTCAATAAGGAATTTCATTTGACATTTATTTTGCCTTGATCAATCTAAATAATCCATATATACCCAAAAACCTAATACATGACAGACCATTTAACCCACTTAATAAAGCATGTGAACCCCCTGCCAAATTAAAACTTGGGAGTGTCCACTAGCCTTCCTTTTAACATCCTAGTTGAGTTGCAAAGACGTGTACAGCCACAGGTGTTACTCAGAAGTTTGCTCCTAAGTTACTGGAGAGAAATATCCTAAGGGGCTCAAACGATAATTAAGGAAAGCCCCAGAGGGTTAACATAAACATCTAGGAGTTAGCAACTGCGTGTGTTTGAGAATTTGGCTCACATACGTACAACTGGGCTGAAAATTCTCAACTACTTTTTTTCTTTTTAATGTAACACCTTCACATGTTAGGATGCATGTGCCTGTTCTTTTATTCTCGTGAAATCTTAAACATGTGGACTAATGATACATGAAGTACAATTTGAAGTTTGCCTTTTTGTTCTATGTGAAAGCTGGGAATTGCATTATGCTTGACAGAAATGAATTACAGGAGGGAAATTAATGTTGCCGGTGAGACATCTGAGATCCATAAGCTTAGAGAGGAAATGGCTCCGTAGTCTTTAACCGTCCTTTATTTTTGAGATATTTATAACCATGAAAACAGTTTTCTTTTTCATATTAAATAAAATGCTTTATAAAAATGTTTTAGTTCTTCACTCAGTACCATACTTCCTGACCACAAATTTAATGCCAAATTGGCTATACTTTTTTTTTCCATTTATAAGTAAATGGCATTGGATGATTTGTACTAATGGCATAACCAGCTGAAAATATGAAGGACAGTGCAAGGCTTGATGGCTTTAAATGTGTAGAATATAATTATTCTGAAATCTTTTTCTCTCTCCCCATCTTAAAATTTATAGTTCAATAGAACTGAAAGTAACCTTAGGAAGAGAAGCCTCATTTTGGTGACATGACAATGAGACAATTGTACACTTTAAAATATGTAAGAATTGTTACTTTGACAAGCTTTTTCCCAACCATGTAGGTTATTATATTAAAATATTAAGGCATCTACGTTCATAGCAACCATAGTAATAGCATCAGTGACAACATTGGGTTTTGACAGATCTATTGTCAGAGGCCTCAGCTTTGTTCACATTACAACCATTTAACTTTCAGGTTCTGCACTTGCATTCCATTCAATGTGTGGTATATTCTGTTAAGATCAGAGCTGGACATTTTGCATTTCTTTGGTGGTGGTGGTGGTGGTTGACAGGGTCTCACTCTATTGCCCTATCTGGTGTTGAACTCTTGGGTTCAAGTGATTCTTGCCACCTCAGCTTCCCAAAATGCGAGGATTATAAACAAGAGCTACTGCGCCCTGCCTGTACATTTTGGTAAATGCAGAGTGTAAAAGAGTAGTTGATCTCACCTTATTTTTTAGAAGAGATGGTTTATTTAGTAGTGTTTTTCAGGCTAGGTGTAGTCGCTCATGCCTGTAATCCACCACTTTGGGAGGCTGAGGTGGGAGGATGACTTGAGGCCAGGAGTTCAAGACCAGCCTGAGCAGCAAAGAGAGACTGAGTCTCTACAAAAAAAAAATTCAAAAGTTAGCTGGGCTTGATGGCACACAGCTGTAGCCCCAGCTACTCTAGAGGCTGAGGTGGAGGGATCTCCTAAGCCCAGGAGTTGGAGGCTGCAGTAAGCCAAGATTGCCCCACTGTACTCCAGCCTCGGCAACAGAGCAAGACTATCTCAAAAAAAAAAAAAAAAAAAAAAGGAAAAGAAGCAACAGTGTTTTAAGGATATGATTTTCTGATGTGTAACATCCAGCTGTACAAGCCCATATAATAAATTTATCAAAGGTGAAACAAAATCCTACCTAGAGTAATCCAAGATGCAGCTAAAAGGCCTTGGATTACCTTTAGCAGAACAGCAATTACCACAAACAACCACTAGCCTTCCTTTCTGAAATTTTTTGGTTTGTCACATTAAATTTAGAAATAGAAAAGAAGTTGTAAGGTTCTCAGGGTCCTTTGGGTTAAGTGTGAGTTTTCTGGAGGATGACTTGAAGGATTCCATTCATCGTAAGTATTTCCTGCTCTTGAGTTACATATCTTAGTAAAATATTGAGGGAAGATCCTTGTGAATGTATTTAGAGAAGATAAGTTGTCATCTTGTCAAAAAGGATTAGAATGATCTTAGCTGCAGTTAGTCATGAATTAGGCAGACAGGCTAACCCTTGAAAGGCTCTAGAAATTTATGGGTGTGTGTTATTTCTGCTACCCAGATGCCTTCCCTATAAGGCAAAACTCTGCCGTTTCTGTCTGGTTTGCTCTTTCCTGGTGGCAGAGTTCATCATTCATTCTCCCATTTAGTCAGCAATTTCGTTTTTGATCTCTGAAAACTATGCTGAATCTACTGTTCCAAGCATGTCAGTTTGGTTACCAAAATTCAGGTCTTTATAATCTGCACCTTACAACTGGTCAAGAGATCATGGAGTTTATTAGTCCGTTCTCACACTGATATAAAGAACCACCTGGGTAATTTATGAAGAAAAGAGGTTTAATTGACTCACAGTTCTGCATGTCTGAGGAGAGCTCAGGAAACTTACAATCATGGCAGAGGGTAATGGTGAAGCCAGTCACATCTTCACATGGCTAAAGCAGGAGGAAGAGAGAGAGAAGGGGGAAGTGCTACACATTTAAACAACCATATCTCATGAGAACTTACTATCAGCAAGGGGAAAATCCACCCTCCTGTTATAATCACCTTCCACCAAATCCCTCCTCCAACATTGAAGATTACAATTCAACATGAGATTTGGGTGGGGACACAGAGCCAAACAATATCAGAGTTTATGGTTGTATCAGATGTTGCAGCAATGTGTCAGAGTGCTTGCTGTGGGCTTACCACAGTTCTTATGCATTAGGAAGATACAGCAGTAGGGCAAGGCTTGCTTCTCTTCATGTAGCTTGAAGTCTGCTTGGGGAGGCAGTACTAATGCACAAGGAGCATTGGGGAACATGCCGGCTGGAACTACATGGCCCAGCTTGAAATAACTATGGTGTTCACAAGATGAGAAATCCTTAAGGATCTGAGCAATCTGAAGGCTTCATGGAAGAATTGAAACCAGAGCCGGTCCTAAAATGAAGGATTTTGGAAGGAAGTCATGCTACTCAGGAATGATCTCATAACCTAAGTTCCATCAATGCTGAGGTTCTTCTAGGCCTCCAAGGATTTGATTGGTTGGAATTACTGAGATAACATTTTCAAGGCTTTACCTACCCTCTGCCTGCAGAGTTTTATGAACCCTTTTCAGAGTTCATAGAAAGTAACTGCTTAGGTTCAAAGTCTTGGGAAGAAGGGCAGGTTGGGTGAGGCAGCAGTGGAAAGAGCAGCCATTCTCACAGAATGTGAACCCCCACCCTCAGGGCAGGCTGCAGTGGAGCATATCAATGCTGTCATTCCGGAAGGTGACCCTGAGAATACGCTGCTTGCCCTGAAGAAACCAGAGGCCCAGCTGCCTGCTGTTTATCCCTTTGCTGCTGCCATGTATCAGAACGAACTTTTCAACCTCCAGAAACAGAATGCCATGGTAAGTCAGAGAAGACTCCAGCTCTGGGGATAGTAACCCTGAGTGCCATGGCGCACTAGGGAAGCCTAGTTAGAAAAAGGGGATTAGAGGTCTGGGGATCTCTAATTTGTACCAATCCTGGTCTCATTGGCCCATCCATACCAATTCCATGGCCTCCTTCCTGGTTAACTCTTGCTTTTAGTCTACATAAAGAATCTAAGAGCGTAGTTAGGAGATTCCAGCAGTGGTCTACACATATACATGTGAAAATAGGTTGTTCTTATTCCCTGTGTGATATTTGAAAAATCTTGGATAATTTTTTAGCTATATCGATGTGGTTTTTTTAACAATATATAATGTTTTTTTATAGAGAAAATAAGCTCAATCTGCAATTTTAGAAATTGCAAATAAGAGCATTAGCACAATGGCTTTGAGTTTTGTAAATTTGTACTCCTTAATATGACAACAACATTCAACAATAATTTCATACAAGGTTACAGTAATTAAGACCATGTTTACTAACACTCCTGTAAGCAAAACAATGAAACAAAATGAAAACTCCTGAAAGCAGAGCCAAGAATTCAGTATATGACAAAGCCCATACTTCAAGAAGGTGAGGAAAGGATTGTTTAATCAATGATGTCCTTGCAAGTGTTTAAGCTTTGTTAAGAAAACATTAACTCGCTACACATATATCAGAATAAATTTTCAACATAAAATATTAAATGTAAAAAATAATTTAAAAATTGAAGTTCTGAGGAAAAACATAGGACAGTCCTTGGATCTTTAAAATCACAATCAGCACTTGTTCACATACAGTAAAGAGGCCAAGAACATGAGCCAGCAATTCACAAAACAAGAAATACACAAATTACAAACAAAAAAAAGTTTGAACTCAATCAGAAGTAAATAAATATAAATTAAAACACAGTACACTTATTATTTAAAATTAGATTGGTAGAGATTAGGAAGATTTAACCCAGTGTAGGTACAAATATGGGGCACAAACATCTTCTACACAGCTGCTGACAGTGTGAACTATACAGCCTTTCTGCAGGGTGGTCTTAGTATTATAGGTCAAAAGCCCATGACACTGACAGTTACATTCTAGAAAATGAGCCTGAAGGATATGAACCAAAGAGCTTTAGCCACAGAGATGTTTCACAGCATTGTTTATAATATTGAAAACCAGGAAACAAATGACTACTTAATTAATAACCGATTGCCTAATTTATGGTGCTTATTTATGCTAGAAATATGTGCAACTTCTAAAAATGACAATGTAAAGAATAATGACTGGAAAAGATATCCATACAAATATTAAGTAGAAAAAAATAAGATTGAGATATATAGCATTATCTTGTTTTTTGCAATAAGAAAATAAAGTCAGTTATAAAGATAAAACCTCTGTAAATGTATGTATGAATTTAAAATACATAAAAGGACTTACACAAAAGAGCTTAGGTGGTAGCATTTGTTTTCTTATTCTTGCTTAGTAAGACTTCTGTATCAACTGACTGTGGTAGCACCTACCTGTAATCTCAGCACTTTGGGAGGCTGAGGCAGGAGGATCACTTGAGGCCAGGAGTTCAAGACCAACCTGGGCAACATAGTGAAGCCCCATCTTTACCAAAAAAAAAAAAAATTAAGAAGACTTTCTATGTTTTCTAAATAGAAACACAGTATTTGTAATAAAAGAAAAATAGCTTGTTTTCTTAATTTCACTTAGGTTCTCTCATTAATATTTCCTTCCATTTCTGTGGCTCTGAAACTCAAGGCTTACTTATGCCTGAGGACACTCATTCATCCTCAGATGGCCAGGGTTAACCTGTGGCTGTCCAGCTCCATTTCTTCTTCCTTTCTCCTTTTCCTTTTTGCCATATACCAATTTAGGTATCCACGAACAGGTCACTGAAAAAGGTAGAGGAGGTGAATTATAAATGATTGCATTCTGCTCTTATAATTTGATACCTTATATGTTAAATGTGTATTTCATGTAAGATATTTGAATAAAATTTACTTACATGCTCTCTATGGTAACCCCTTCTTCCCATTTGCTTTGGAAGATTAAACTATCCTTTCTTATTCTGAAATCAGAATTTTGGAATTAGTATCATAGTCTTGGTTTGAAGACCTTGCTTTGTGTTTCAGATTATAACTTTTAGGTGAAATTCTCCCAACTTTCCCTTAACCCTTATTTCAAAGTGGAAATCATTAGCTGTGCTAAAATCTCATCTGGCACTCTCAGTCAGTGACAATGTTATCTAGTCTTTGGTTTAATTATATGGCTGAACTGAGCCTTTAAGCAGCCAATATAGCTGGGATTAGGGATCAGTAATGGGAATGCAGACATTTGTGGAATCATAACTTTCTGTTGTGATCAACTAAGTCTCAAAAAATGATCATCCAAGGAAAACCCAGGAACCATATACCTGTTCTTAAAGCCAGTGGAAAGCAAGTGGCCAGCAACTCCTCTTTCTGCTGAGCTATCAAGTTCTTGACTTTTCATTGTTTGGTGAAATGAGCATTGTAAACCTCCATCATGCACATGAGGTGTGTTATGTGGAGAGCTTATGTTGCCATATGTTTTCCAACAGAACTACTTGGCCCACGAGGAGCTTTTGATTGCTGTGGAAATGTTGTCTGCTGTTGCTTTACTAAACCAGGCCTTGGAAAGCAACGATCTTGTGTCTGTGCAGAATCAACTCAGAAGCCCCACAATAGGCTTAAACAATCTGGACAAGGCATATGTGGAACGGTAAGGAACATTTTCCAAACCTTCTTTCAATGCAGAAATGATGGTTGGCAGATCTTACAAGTGAGGAATTTGTCTGTTGGTGGAGAAATCCATATACCATGCTCATATTTCTTGAAAACTAGTCTGTTTTAAGAGTCCTTCTAATTAGTATCCTTGTTTACAGTATTCCTTCTGGGGAAACAAAGAGAATCAGAAAGTGATAATCCTATGGCAATTAATGAATGACTTTGTCATTGGCAGAGATTACTTGATAGGCTGAAAATAAAGGAACTATTGGAAACATACCTTTCCTTGCGTGCATTTTGGAAACAGCAGGAGGATGTAGAAGAATAACTTTAATAATCATCCAGTTCAATTCTTTTATTTCACTAATGCAGAAACAGAATCCAGAGTAATGGAACTAAAGTTGGGCAGTTGGGCCCCAAACTGCACTCTTCTGATTATTAAGCCAAAGAAATATGAGGCCACAGTGGGTCATGGCAGTGGGTAATAACATCCATTTAGTGTCTTTCATTTCATGTTTCATGTTTGGTAGGAAGTATCCTACCAAATAGTACAACTGATAGCACTGTTAAAAAACAACACAGCAGATCTGGAGGGAAAATCAAATGGCCAGAATTGGGAGCCAGATGAGAGAGTCACTGAGACAAAAGCCCCAGTTAAAATGAGTGAATCTTGGATTCTTATAACCACCAGGGGGAGATGTCTGCACAGATCTTGACAAAAGCTCTTTTCAGCTACTGATTTTGGAACTGCTCTATTAGGCAGGTTGGCTAATTCTCTTGGGTCATGTACAGTCCCACAGGAAAAACCAGTGATTTCTTAGGTTAAACATATGGCATTTGACCACTTGCCTACATAGAGAATGGCCAACAAGTAATGGAAGGATGGTGGGTTTTCCTTGTTTTCAGTCTTTTTGAAGAAACTTAATTCTCTTGTTCTACTTAAATTTGGCCATGTGGTTCATATGACTCCTTAGCGTCTGTTTCCAAGGTAATTTATATTTACCTCCACTGTTTCTGTTAATGGCACCATCCTCTCCTGCAAGCTGAGAAACCACAAGCTCAATTTGAGTTTCCCTCTGCCCTCAGCTGGGCATCCCTGTGCACTGAAGAGCCTGCTGTCAGTGGCCAATCTGTGTGCCTTATACCTCTGCAAGATGTTTTCGTTTCTCTGCAGCCACCCTCTTTACTTCTCACTTTGGCTTCTGTAGTAACCCCTAAACTGGTCACCCTACTTCTTTTCTCTCCCCATTCATTCATCATTCCTACCTAACCAGGCTTTGCCATACTTTCTTAGTGCTAGAGTAGAAGAGCTCGTGGAGCCCTTCTGAAGCCTACAGGCTAATGCGGCATCTTGGTGATAACTGTCAAGACTGTCCCACATATTTAGCATACCTGGCAACTACCCTCTACATGACAGTAGCCTCCGACTCACCCATTCTGATTATCAAAAGTGCCCACTTCCTCATTTACAAATATCCTTAAAGAAGTAGTCCTGTTCTATTTGTGTGGAAAACTTTTTAAATGGTTTTGATTTTTTTTTTTTTTTAATAAGTACATTCTGGATCTGGATGACCCAGTACTGACGTGGGATTTCAGGGCCCACTTGGGTTCTTGTATTGACACTTGAATTGGCCCCAAATGATTTTATACAGCCCTGGCATTTTACTTCCAAAGTCAGCATCTTGACTTGGGATCTTGGAAGCCCAGTTTTGCAGATTAATGAAGTTTGAGAAACAGTGCTCTGTCCAGGGCCTCGCCACATAGAGTAGGTTTTTCATAGCACAAGCATGCTGTGCAAAGCCACCTTGATGAATTCATGCAAAGTCTCTCTACCTGTTCACCATGGCTTCTACTCTTGGGGCTGTACTTGCCCAGAAAGATTCTTTTGTCTAATTCTCACAAAAGTATTATATGGGTTAACATTAGCCTTTGGCATACACTGTTCCCAGATTAACTGTTCTAAAATGTAGCTAATTCTCCTGTTTGTTCCTTGTTCTCATCTGAATTAAGACCAGAATTCTCACTGTAAGCATGTTGCTCTGACCTTAGCTCCTGCTCCATCCCTACTTGTATTTTGCACTTCAGCCAAGCCGAAGTGTACTTTCTGGTCTCTGTGTTCCTAGGCATGGTCCTCTCACCATCAAGAACTTGGTGTCTTCACTCAACTCCAGTAACCACAGTATTGGAGCTCCTGAGCCCTACCTACCATACATTATGTTCCATGAAGTATATCCATGCTTCTCCCCATCACCACATCTGATGTTATCTCTCCTTGGAGGTAGCATGATGTGGTTAGAGGAGCATACGTCTTGGAGCCAAAAATGTCTGAGTTTGATCCTCCCAACTGAGCCCTTTCCTTCATTTACAAAGCAAAGAAACAAAAGCCCCACTCTGCATTTGCAGATCTGTTTTGAGGATTCAGTGTTTGATTTAGTGCCTGTCCCAGGAATGGCTCTCCACCACTAAGGATTTCCTTCCACTTCTTGTTTTAAACCCCATTACATCTACTTTTAGGGACTCTCTACTTTAATGGGCCTTCCTGTACTCTGCTTTTATACCTTTTGGAATTTTTGTCATCTTACACACTGGTTTTAAGCACAAAGGCTGACCTTGTTTTCCTCCTAATACTACTGTAGTGTTGCCATGTTTTACGTGTAGCAAATACTTAGAAACATCTGATGAACTAATTGGATTACTGATCTTCTCAGACCTTCCCAGGCCTCTTAGATTAGTAGACTCCTTACTAGTTTGTCCATAACATGAGGTGAAGAGAGCTGAGAGAAAGAGTGAGAGGAGAGGACATTGACCTCTTAGGGTAAACTATGGAATATTTCCCGAAGATGGTAACTTCAGTGTGGAGAGAAATACTCAATTGGAAAAGCCCATGGAGCTGCTTGTATTACTCCTAAAATGTTTTCCCTTTATAGCTTGTTCTGGTTCATTTCTAAAGTAATGATGGGTGGTTGTATTTCTGTGTTTATTTTTACTTATTTTATTTTATTTTTAGACAGAGTCTCTCTCTGATGCCAGGCTGGATTGCAGTGGCACAATCTCAGCTTACTGCAATCTCCACCTCCTGGGTTCAAACAATTCTCCTGCCTCAGCCTCCCAAGTAGCTGGGATTACAGGCACACACCACTGCACCTGGCTGATTTTTGTATTTCTAGTAGAAACGGGGTTTCACCATGTTAGCCGGGATGATCTCAATCTCTTGACCTCATTATCCACCCGCCTCGGCCTCCCAAAGTCGTGGGATTACGGGTGTGAGCCACCGCACCCGGCCTCTCTGTTTTATTTTTAACTTTGCCATTTCACTCCTGTTGGGTCAGCATTTAGATGTTAAGTATATGGGATGCCCGTAAGGACTTTGCACTTTTAGAATAGTCTCCATCTCTGAGAGACACTAACCAGTGCAAGTTGCCACTTATCCATATTGTCATTGTGGTCACTAGTGTATTTCACATCTGCACTTGGCAGAGGCCTCATTCAGCTACAGACAATTAATTGTTACCACAATTTTCTGTTTTGAATGATGTTTTCTCTCAAGCTACATTCCATGGAAGATACTGCGTGCCACCTTGAAGCACCCAGAATTTTGAAAAAGTTTGTCACAACCAAAAAAAAGCAGTTTTAGACTTTATTTTAACCTCTGCCATTACCAGATCCCTGGAGACTATTCAGAAGTCAAACTGCAGAGGGACTTATTACACACAGAGGATTGTTCTTCATTGCCCTGGTGTAAAGACGTAAAAGCACACTAAACTATCTAGTTTCATTACTTTTGGCTAGAATAGTTCATGTTAGCCTGTGATTGTAATATGGTTTCTGTGGAAATTAGAAAGTGGGAAAATTGATTATTGAGAAGTAAATGTTTCTTAATGTATCAGTACAACTAAGTTTTTCCCTGAAATGTCCCCAGACAAGAAAAAAGTAATTGGAGTGGTTGAATAAACCGTATCATCCAGAGGGCTGTGCACAGTGAGAAGGGTCGTGGGTCATAAATGATAGGTGAGAGGACCATTTTTAATTTTAATTGTTTTGTGTGGAGACGAGGTGTCTCTATGTTGCCCAAGCTGGTCTCAAAGTCCTGTGCTCAAGCGATCCTCTCACTGAGCTTCCCATATTGCTAGAATTACAGGTGTGAGCCACCACACCAGCCCTAAGAGAGATTTTTGAGTATTGGATAGGAGCCTTTGGAGAAATGGGCAGGTGAAAAGGAGTTTCAGTATATCCTGGTTTAACCCATGTGCCACCTCTTCAGAACAACATACAGTTACTCAGCAAGGTTTCTGGAACTGCATTTGCACGTTATCTGATACCTCAGTGGCATATCTGGCCTCAAAGTGGCTCAGCTGTATGAGGGTTAGAGTAGAAAAGGTCTTTTAAAACTTAGATTTTTGAAGGAATATGAGAAATAATGACTTCTCTTGATGATAGAAAGATTGAGAGCCATGGTAACTTAATTTTTTCCTATAACAATCATCTGAAGACTGAGCAGAACGAAGACATACAAAGGGGAGAAAAATTAGTAACTGGGGAAAAGTAATTTCACAGACTTGACAGCTTCTAGCTTTGCTTGAGTTAGGTACAAATTTAGATTTTGAAGACCTTTCGTTAAACAGAATTTGTTTATGGAAATACTTTAAGAAAACACCGTTAGTACAAATAAGCTTGGTGTATGTTGACAGAGCTACACAGGACAATTTTATTTGCTTTTCTACTCTTTGTCTAACTGCGTAATAGCCACATTTGACCATGTGTCGTATTTGAGAAATATAACATGAACAAAGAATGAATGTCTCTGATTAACATCAAGATTTTTTTTCTCTTCCACAGTTATGCAAACACACTACTCTCTGTTAAACTAGAAGTTTTATCCCAAGGGCAAGATAACTTAAGCTGGAATGAAATTCAGAATTGTATTGATATGGTTAATGCTCAAATTCAAGAAGAAAATGACCGTAAGTATAAGACACTTTGCTTCTCTAGCATAGTGGGAGAAGACGGTATCTGGACAACTTAGTTTTCTCGATTAAAGCCTTAAGATTTTGCTCAGGAACTCTGTGAGAGCACACTCCGCTAATATGCGTACCTTTGTTTATATATAGATTTTATGCCTATTCCACTTTACCAATATGTTATAAACATTACAGAGTGTATACAAGAATACATAATAGAGTAAAAATACACAAGTAGAAGGCCTGGTATTTTCTGGTTATTTGTACTTCAGAGACAGCTCAATAACTCTTTTTTTTTTGAGATGGAGTCTCGCTCTGTCACCCAGGCTGGAGTGCAGTGGCGCGATCTTGGCTCACTGCAACCTCCACCTCCTGGGTTCAAGTAATTCTCCTGCCTCAGCCTCTTGAGTGGGTGGGATTATAGGAATGCACCACCAAACCTGGCTAATTTTTGTATTTTTAGTAGAGATGAGGTTTCACCATGTTGGTCACGCTTGTCTCAAACTCCTGACCTCATGATCTGCCCGCCTGGGCCTCCCAAAGTGCTGGGATTATAGGCATGAGCCACCGCACCTGGCCAATAACTCATATTTTTAAACAGCCAATTTTATTTTGACCTTTTATTTGGGCATGTTTTTTTCTGAAATATGACATGATTTTCTGCCCCAGAAATGAAGAAGTTGGAAGACAATCTAGCTGTTGCTTAATGATCACAAAACATGGTGATTTGCTGTTTTTGAGGAAATTATGAGCTACCAGCATAAACGCATACCAACCTCAAGATAACGCCCTGAAACCTACTTTCTTGAATACCAGCTTGCTGCTTTATCATTTGCTTCTTGCTTATAATAACAGAGTGAAGAATGAGGAGCTATGTAGCTTCTGCAATATATACACTCACTGCTTTTCTATAGTATGCTTCAAGCTGTGTTATCCATCATGAAAATAAACCAACACCATCTCTTGCGGCTTATGAGCTTTTGACTTGTCAGCAAGAGTGGATGAGCCTTGCTAAAATCATTGATCTCTCCTCCACCCTCCAGCTTTGACTTTTCTAGTTCATTTGCTCCAAGCTTGCAGATAGAGTGGGCAGTTACTTCTCTCACAGTTTATTATGTTTTATTCTAGTGTGTTTGGGTAAGGTCTTAGGTCTGGTCTTCTAATGCTGTATTTAACTTAGGAATACTAAGATCACTCTTGAAATAAAACATAGGACTTTGTTAATTAATTGTATTTACAAAGTTTTCCTCTTTTTCTTTGCTATTTCCTGTGAACACTGGCCAAAAATCAAGGCCAGATTCGGCTCTTGTTTTGTAACCATATTCTCCCTTGAAGCCCCTACTATAAAACAGGATCCAGGTGTGCTACCCTGATATAAGGTACCACGGATGTCCCACTGTTACACTGATGCCTGGACACTTTCATTTTGTCCTTTCCAAGTTGTGCGCAAGTCTAAATCTCTTTTGGAATGGCACGGCTTCCTGTTGCCTCGGCATTTTCTTTCAGTGAAGCATTTAAAAATCTCTGCAGGCCGGGTGCAGTGGCTCACGCCTATAATCCCAGCACTTTGGGAGGCCAAGGCGGGTGGATCATCAGGTCAAGAGATCGAGACCATCCTGGTCAACATGGTGAAACCCCATCTCTGCTAAAAATACAAAAAATTAGCTGGGCACGGTGGCACGTGCCTGTAATCCCAGCTACTCAGGAGGCTGAGGCAGGAGAATTGCCTGAACCCAGGAGGCAGAGGTTGTGGTGAGCCGAGACTGCGCCATTGCACTGCAGCCTGGGTAACAAGAGTGAAACTCCGTCTCAAAAAAAAAAAAAAAAAAAAAAAATCTCTGCAATCAGATAGCTTGCTCAAAGCCTACTTAGGTCTTTTCTGATACTTAGCTTGGGAGTTTATGGTTCTTGGCAGACATTAGTCAAGATGCAAGCACTAATTTGAGCAGATGTTCAACATCATCAGTCGGGGGTTGGGGGACCACCACTGCTCCTAGTGTCCTGCTGCCTGTCTTAGTCTGAGCTACCTAGCTCAGTCCCCAGGCTTCTGTCTTTCTCCACAACTTCCACCTTAATGCTCTGAACCTCCTTCAGCAGTGGTTTGGTTGCTATGGCAACTGCCGCCCAAGAAGTGGGACTCCTTTCTTTTGGTAGGCAAAACAAAGGCTCACATCCCGTCTTTGCTTTCTAACTTTTTTCCCAATTCTTGGCAATACCCATGCTTCAGTTCTGCTTTGGTTATTTCGCTATGTGCCACTTACACAAATGAATGTTAGTTCTTAGTGCTGAACGATTGTAGGCTTGAAACTGATTAAAAGGGGGGAAATGCCATTTTTCTTCCTGGCTATCAAACAGAGCCTTTTGTTTACTAGGGGGGGAAAAAACAAGTAATATTTGTATAACTTAAAAAGAGAATAGTCTTTTGTAAGTAGATATTATTTTTAAGCAAAAATCTCATTTGATTGCTGTGGCTTTTATCTATCGAGGTAACAGCACTACTGAGTTATTCACCCTAGGACATTTCACATGGCCACTATAACACTTCTTTTGAATATCTTGTCGTAAAGGACATATGCCATAACCAGAGAAGGTATTTCAGACACTAGTATTTCCCGTCTAGAATTTGGGAACTTTAATAAAGAGTAATTTATCTGTGTTTTGGTTTTGTTTTTTTTCTTCTGTCAGAATGAGTATTGAGTTTGATATTCTGTTTAGGCAATTACTCAAAAATCTAAAATTTCTAAAATACATCATTGTAAACAGGCAGGAATGCTAGTATAGTAATTAAGTCATCTGAGGAGCTAAGAATTTTTCATGGACGTTTTGAAGGTGCATTACTCTTGCCTCTCCACCTTACTCTTGTTACATGCTCTGAGGTCTAATTCCGTCCGCATTGTGATGTAGGTGAGGTAAGCAGCTAATGGAAAATGAGAAATACAGAAGGTGAATTTAATGGAGAAGCTAGCTGCTAAATGCATTTCCTCAGGCTCTGTTGATTTCTTACTGAAAAGTTTACTTTTCCCAGTAGAGCCATAGAGGAGCATTATTTTAACCATATAGCCTAGATTAGGAAGTTTTCTTCCTTTGAGTTTTTGCTCTTTAAATTTGGTAGATACCATTCTTGGTATGTATCCGCTGCCTCAAATACATGAACTCTAAGAGAACACCCACTCTCTCATGGACTAGAATGTTGTATAATAACTCATTTTGATATAAAGAAGTGGACCATGGGCTGAGTGAAGCCCAGCAGTCTTTGTTCGAACAGGATTTCCCTTTTATTAATAAACAGAGGAAGTGATGCACATGTTCCCAGGGGACTTGTGGGTAGATCTTTCAGCTCCTATGATGTCATTAATTATGACCTCAGCAGCTTTACCAGGTGATTTCAATCAAGTCAGCTGAAATGCACGTACTTCCAGGTGATCGGCCATTGGTTCTGTTAAGACTATTTTTGGATGGGGTGTTTTAAAGTATTTAGAACAGCTTACCCAAGAGGGGGTGACCAGAGAATGACACTAAATATTCCATGCACTCCAGTTTATAAATCCTACAGGGTGAAACAACAGTACCTTGTATTTAGATAATACTTAGACTTTCCAGAGTTCTCTCAGTGTTTACAGATAATATAACTTGCTCATTAGAGAAGTAGTTTTGTTTTTTCTTCAAACATATTTGAAACCATTTAAACTGGAGTTTTAGATGGTTTCTTTCTTCTTACAGGTAAATCTTTTCATTCCTAACAAGGTGGTGGTTATGGGCTCATCTATTCAGAAAATATTTAGCTAAATATTTTACCTTTACTTGAATATCAAGATGGAGATTCTTCTTTTAAAAATGAGTGGTACTCATTCTATTTCATGGCATATCAGATTTGTGAAGTAACTGGTGATCATTTTAGATGAAATCTAATGAAAAAAATAAGAAATATTGAGTCTGGCCTTAAAATGCTTATATGCTAAGCTTATTGCTCATTAATGCCTAGTTTCTTTAACAGTTCTTATCCATCAGTACTAACCTAGGAAGCAAAAGCCCCTTGGCAGTGTGTGTATGTATGTATTATGTATATATGTATGTATGTATGTGTCTATCTAAATTTATATGTATCTTTTTATGAATGGATGTTTATTTTTTAATAATAAGGAATTGAGAAGTAACCTCCAGATAGATCTATTTCGTTAGAATTGCAAAAACTTTTCAGGTTTCATAGTTTGACTTCCATACTTTTCATTTGTGAATCCTATAGTCTATACATGTATATATATACATTTTTTTGAGGTGGAGTCTTACTCTGTCACCCAGGCTAGAGTGCAGTGGCACAATCTTGGCTCACTGCAACCTCCACCTCCTGGATTAAAACAATTCTCCTGCCTCAGCCTCCCAAGTAACTGAGATTACAGGTGTGCACCACCATGCCTGGCTATTTTTTTTTTTTTTTTTGAGATGGAGTTTCGCTCTTGTCACCCAGGCTGTAGTGCAGTGGCGCAATCTTGGCTCACTGCAACCTCCACATCCCAGATTCAAGCAATTCTCTGGTCTTGAACTCCTGATCTCAAGTGATCCACCCATGTCAGCCTCCCAGAGTGCTGGAATTACAGGCATGCGCCACTTTGCCTGGCCAATTTTTGTATTTTTAGTAGAGACAGAGCTTCATCATGTTGGCCAGTCTGGTCTCAAACTCCTGGCCCCAAGTGATTTGCCCACATTGGCCTTTCAAAGTCCTGGGCTTATAGGCGTGAGTCACTGTGCCTGGCCCCATAGTCTATATTCTAAGATCCTTTGGTGTATTAGAGATGGTAGAAAATTAAATTGGAGGATGCACTTATTCATTCTTTGGTACATCCATGAATGTTTTACCACCTGGTATTATATAAACAATGTATGAAATCAATTACCCATATTTCAACCACGAAAGTATCCCAGAACATGCCTGACTTTATTTCCATAGAGCCTACCTACATTTCCTAGCCACATGTGGCTATTTAAATTTAAATTAATTAGAACTAAATTTAAAAATCAGTTTTTCAGTTATACTAGCCACATTTTAAGTGCTCAACAGTTACATGTGGCTAATGGCTACCATATTGAACAGCACAGGTACAGAATATTTCCATCATCATAGAAAGTTCCATTGGATAGTACTGGACTGCATTGACCTTGAAACTTACTCTTCATTAACACTGTAGGGAATTGCTTACTTTTGAACTATCTCTATTTTGACATCCTTTATGAAGTGGTGAAGTAGAGTTACCCAAAAAATAAAATGTTTATCTAAACCTCTCTACTTTGGTTTCTTTTCAGTGTATCTCTACATTAAATTCTTCGAGCTCTGGTATTCTGTGATTCCATCAGCAAATATCTTGGCATTACTATCTAACATCTAAGTGAGGGTTACACTAGAAATAACCATCCCTGCTGCTGCCTCTGCACAAAGTTATGCCCCCTTTTTAATAATTAGCTTTATTAGTCGGGCATGGTGGTTCATGCCTATAATCCCAGCACTTTGGGAGGCTGAGGTGGGTGGATCACGAGGTCAAGAGATTGAGACCATCCTGGCCAACATAGTGAAACCCCGTCTCTACAAAAAATACAAAAATTAGCTGGGCATGGTGGCATGCACCTGTAGTCCCAGCTACTTGGGAAGCTGAGGCAGGAGAATTGCTTGAATCCAGAAGGCGGAGATTGCAGTGAGCCAAGATCACGCCACTGCACTCCAGCCTGGCACCTGGTGACAGAGTGAGACTCTGTCTCAAAAAAAAAAAAATTAGCTTTATTGAGATATAATTTATATAACATAAAATTCACCCTTTTAAACTGTACAGTGATTTTTATCTATTCAAAAAGTATACAATCATCACCAAAATATTCTAAACTCAGCACATTTTCATTAGTCCAAAAGAAATTCCATTCCCATTAGCAGTCACTCTCTCTCCACCTCCTCCCATGCCCTGGCCACCACTAATGTATTTCGTTTCAATGGATTTGCCTATTCCAGATATTTCATATAAATGAAATTCTGTAATATGTGGTCTTCTGTGTCTGCCCTTTTTTACTTAATGTTTTCAAGGTTCTTCCACATGTGTCATATATTGATACACTTCAGATTCCTTTCTAGGTCAGAGAATATTTCAATCTATGGATTTACTTTTTATTTATCCAGTAATCAGTTGAACATGAGAAGAATTGCTGGATTCACATAACTTATATTCAGATTATTAAACCTAATTCTATGCTTAATATTTTAAGGTACTACCAAACTATTTTCCAAGGTGATTACATCAGTTTCATTGCCACCAGCAGTGTATGATGTTTCAGTTTCTCTACATTCTGACCAACACTGTTACAGTCTTTTTTATTTCAGCCATCCTAGTGGGTGTGAAATGGTATCATATTGTGATTTGGATTTGCATTTTCCTAGTGACTAATGATTCTGAGGATCTTTTCATGTGTTTATTTTCCCTTCATACATCTTCTTTAAAGAAATGTCTATTCAAGTCTTTTGCCAATTTTAAATTGGGTTATTTATCTTGTTGAGTTGTAACTGTTCTTTGTATATTCATATACACATATTCATATCTTTTATTAGATACAGAATTTGCAATTTTTTTTTATTTCTTACATTATCTTTTCCCTTTTTTTATGGTGTCCTTTTGAAGCACAAAAGGTTTAATTTTGATAGTCCCATTTACATTTTGTTTTATGCTTTTGGCAGCACAGCTAAAAAATAATTACCTAACCCAAGATCACAAAGATTTACTCCTAAGTTTCCTTCTAAAAGATACTTGGTTTTAGCTTTTACATTTAGGTCTGTGATCCATTTTGGGTTAATTTTTGGTGTAGTATGAAGTAGAAGTTGAACTTTATTCATGTGGATGTCCGGTCATCCTGGCACCATTTGTTATAAAGACTGTTATACTTTACCCATTGATTTGTCTTTGCACTTTTGTCAGAAATCAATTGACCATAAATGTAAGGGTTTTATTCCATGCTCTCAATTTCCATTCCATTGATCTATATGTTTATCCTTAGTATTGATCACTGTAGCCTTTTAGAAAGTTTTAAAACTGGGAAAAGTCCATTAACTTTGTTCTTTGTTCAAGATCGGATTATTGGTTATTCTTAGTTCCTTGCACTTCCAAATGAGATTTAGAATCAGCTTGTCCATTTCTGTTTTTAAAAAACAGCAGCTGGGGTGGGGCATGGTGGCTCACACCTGTAATCCAGCACTGTGGGAGGCTAAGATGGGTGAATCACTTGAGGCCAGGAGTTTGAGACCAGCCTGGCCAACATGATGAAGGCCTGACTCTACTAAAAATACAAAAATTACCCATGGCTGGCACAGTGGCTCACGCCTGTAATTCCAGTACTTAAGGAGGCTGAAGTGGGTAGATTACCTGAGGTCAGGAGTTTGAGACCAGCCTGGCCAACGTGGTAAAACCCTGTCTCTACTAAAAGTACAAAAATTAGCCAGGTATGGTGGTGGGCACCTGTAATCTCAGCTACTCAGGAAGCTGAGGCTGGAGAATCACTTGAACCTGGGAGGCAGAGATTGCATGAGCCAAGATCACACCATTGCACTCCAATGTGGGCAACAAGAGTGAAACTTCATCTCAAAAAAGAAAAAAAATTAGCTGGGCATGGTGGCACTGCCTGTAGTCCCAGCTACTCAGGAGGCTAAGTTGCATTGAATCTGTAGATCAATTTAAGGAGTATTACCATCTTAACAATATTAAATATTCCAATTCATGAATATGGGCTATCTTTTCATTTATTTGTCTTTAAGTTTTTTCCCATGGTGTTTTATAGTTTTCAGTGTACATGTCTTGTGTTTCTTTCATTAAATTATATCTAAATATTTGTTCTGTTTATACTTATAATGTATTTGTAGTTAAACTCTATTATGAATTGAATGTGTTCTTTATTTTCAGATTGCTTATTATAAGTATATAAAAACATAATTGGTTTTGTCCTGGATCTTGCATCCTACAGCTTTTCTCTAATGATTTATTAGCCTTTTACAATAGGTGATACTAGAAAAGTTATAATGTACTGTGACTTAAAAGGAAAACTTGTTCTTCATTTTCTAGGAATTGTAGCTGTAGGGTACATCAATGAAGCTATTGATGAAGGGAATCCTTCAAGGACTTTAGAAACTTTGCTGTTACCTACTGCAAATATTAGTGATGTGGACCCAGCCCATGCCCAGCACTACCAGGATGTTTTATACCATGCTAAATCACAGAAACTCGGGGTAAGTTTTAGTATATCTGTTTCTTTTAAATTTTGCAGGCTGGGTGGCAGGGTTGGGGAAGGAGGGAGGATTTGACCCATTTACCTTAAATCTCATGAGCTTCTTGTCCCAACAATTACCTGTGAATCAGAATGAAAATAATAGAGCTGTCATTTTTCTGGTACCAAACATTAGGGGGAAACTAGCTCCGGAGCTATTTATTGCTTCAATTCTTCGACTAAAAACTCAGTTGTAGGTGAGTTCTTGTTCAGAGTTCAATTCATTGGCTATTTCCTGAGTAGATACTATGCGCACATAGCTTCTGGTAGAGAAGATGGGGATACAGAGGGACACATAATACCATTTGAATATTCTCTGACCTTATCTTCAAAATGCTTAGAAACTGATTGAGGTAGTGGGCATTGTCACACAGAACAGTTAAGTGATAGTAAAGATAAGGGTGTGCAAAGTATCCAAATGAGAGATACTCAGAGTGATTCATAGATGTCTGAGATTGTGGGGGACTAGAAGCCTAAGAGAAGGTGTGGAGGTAGAGCAGGATCTGTCCTCTTGAAGAGTGGTAGCTTTTTCTGAGTACAGAGCTTATACCGCTATTATAAGGAGCCCCACAAAGACTGGCTCTGTGTTAAGGCAAGTGGGCTTAGTGGTGAGGCTGATATGATCTGTCACCTAAGAGTGAAAGTGATGCCACCCAGACCTAGCCACTTACAGCTGCCATGTCTTCAGGTACAAACCCAACTTAAAGGGTGGTTATCTCCTATGTCTAGGTCTTTAGAACCTAGGAACTGTGTCATTCCAAACAAGAAAAACATCCTTGGTTAATGCAAACATTTATTGAGAACCTACTATTAGCCAGGCATGATATTAGATACTCGTGTATCATCTCATTTAATCATCACAACAATTCATAACAGCCCTCTGAATCATTTTACCATCATTATTGCCATCTTACACATAATGCGACCAAGATTAAGTAACTTGTTGAAAGCTATCTAAGATGTGGCCGGGCACAGTAGCTTACGCCTGTAATCCCAGCACTTTGGGAGGCCAAGGCGGGTAGATCACTTCAGGCCAGGAGTTTGAAACCAGCCTGGCAAACATGGCGAAACCCTATTTCTAGTAAAAAAAAAAAAAAAAAAAAAATACAAAATTAGCAGGTGTGGTGGTACACACCTATAATCCCAGCTACTTGGGAGGTTGAGGCACAAGAGTCTCTTGAACCAAGGAGGTAGAGGTTGCAGCGAGCAGAGATCACACCATTGCACTCCTAGCCTGGTCAACATAGCAAGGCTCTGTCTCAAAAATAAATAAAATAAAATAAAAGTTTCTAAAAGGTAATTAATCCTGAGACTACAGCTCAGGTCTCTCTGATTCAGAAACATTATAATTATGTATTAAGACAGATGGGAAAAGATGTTTATTGCAGCTTTGTTTGCAATAACAAAACACCAAAACCAACCTAAATGTTGTTAAGCAAAAGAATCATGCTGTGATGTGGATATAAATGGAGTACAGACTTGTATGTGTATTGTGGGGAGGGGCACACACACTCTTATATGTGTCTAAAGTATTTCTGGAGGGAGGATACCTTTTGGAAGGTGATCTAGAAGGCTAGTATAGATGGGTGATTTCTTTTTCACTCTGTTTTTGTACTGCTTGGATTTTTAAATTTTTTAAGGAGTGTATATATTACATAATTACTGTTGCTAAACTCTTAAAAAGCATTGTAAATCCTGTCCTCACTACTCCATTGCCTCACTGAAGGTAGAGGAAGGTAACCCCCATGGTGTGCCCTCTGCACTGCCAGCCTTCTGACCAGAAGGGTGGTGGCATTTCCTGACCCTCTGAACTTTGCCAAGTGCCCCCAGTCACATCAGTCTTTCTCATTTAAGCCTCATACCAGCTGTGGAATGGGTGCTGTCTCATCTGATGTGAATGAGCCTGAGGCTTGGGGCGAATGCCTGGCCAAGGTATAGCCAGTGAGGGGTAGAGTGAAGACTCACCCAAGTCTGGTGTCCGCACACCCCAGGAGGAGGAGAGTGGGCTTCTACCTTGCTGCTTCCACTTAGGTGTCTGTGACCATGGCACATGATAAACTTAAAAGCAAAACAAAGTTATTTGCTTTGAAGACAGACATCATTCAAATCCTGGCTTTGCCACAGATTAGTTATACAACCTTGGTCAAGTCACCAAATCTCTCTATTTTTCCACGTATAAAATTGGAATAATAGTACCTGTCTTAAAGAATTATGGTAAGGGTTCAATGCAAATATACAATATGTAAGTATATATCAATATATAACTATATGTACTAATAATTAAGACTATGTGCACATGTGTGTGTAGCTATAGCATTTAGCATGGAGCCTGGCACCAAAAAAAGGACTTAAATAATGTTAAATAATGTAGCTAGTATTATTATGGGCACCTATGGCTGCCTCCCAAGTAAGAGGTGAGTGATGTCAATATCTCAAGGATTTTTTTTTTTTTGAGATGGAGTCTTGCTCAGTTGCCCAGGGTGGAGTGCAATGGCACCATCTCAGCTCACTGCACCCGCTGCCTCCCAGGTTCAACTGATTGTCCTGTCTCAGCCTCCTGAGTAGCAGGGATTACAGGCACATGCCATCATGCTCAACTAATTTTTGTATTTTTGTAGAGACAGGGTTTCACCATGTTGGCCAGGCTGGTCTTAACTCCTGACCTCAGGTGATCTGCCTGCCTCGGCCTCCCAAAGTGCTGGGATTACAGGTGTGAGCCACCGCACCTGGCCTCAAGGTCCTTACTAGACATAGGGTCTGCTCTGTTCACACATCAAAGTCGGGGTCTTCTGAGAACAAACAGAGACACAGATCTGTCTTCGAGGTGAGCCTGACTCCACAAACCCAAGGCCTTTCCATAGGCAGGCAGTATAGGTCTCCTCTAGACTGGGCATTCCAATCTAGATTGAGATGGAACTCCACAGGAGTCCTTTGAAAGAAGCCTTTGAGTGCCCACACCATGCCAGCTCTGTGTCAGGCACCCTTTCTAGGTGTAGAAGGTATAGCTTGCATGGTATGATGAGAACATTAATATGGAGCCTAGGGATCTGGGTTCTAGTTCAGGCATTATACCACTTTTAGCCTATATAATTAGGGGTTTTGAAATATACTGACAGTTGCTAACAGATTTAAAACACTGCACATCTGTGCAATAAATCATATTTGATTAAATTCCTGTTTTTAAGCAAAGTTTTCTTTCTCTGTTTCTTGATTTCTCAGCCTGTTCTTTTTCTCTGGAAAAATCTAATTCTATTGTTCGGCAGTGTCTTTATGTTTGTTTTTAACCTCTGCTTTTTTTTTGGTTTTTTGGAGATGGGATCTTGCTATGTTGCCCAGACTGGTCTCAAACTCCTGGGCTCAAGTGATCCTCACACCTCAGCCTCTCAAAAAGCTGGAATTATAGGCACAAGCCACCACATTCAGCATCCTCTACTATTTTATCCTGGAAGTTTCCAGTTGTGTGTTTATAATGGTATTTCTGTTCCTTGGCCTTCGCAAGGTCTGGCCTTGGAAAATAGGAGGAGAAAATTATATTGCTGACACTATCAGTATAAGTAAAATTTGTGGCAAAGCATATAGCTATTAATGGTCACAATGGGTAATATCTTCATAGAATGGATGCTCAGTTTTATCAAAGACTGAGGACAGTGATGGAAGTTGGTGAGGATTTTTGGTTCTCTTTAGCAGTATTTCAAGTATAACTTTGTGTAGCCTTCAAATTCCTTTTGCCTCTTAGAAAAAGACTTGAATAAATTAGCAGAGTAGAACACTTTTTCTATGTCTGTTCACTGGGTTGTGTGCTATTTTACAATTGAAGGCTTTGCTTGTGAATGTTAAGGATTATACCCTACCAAAAAGTTCTGTTTTGCTCCTTGTATATACCATAAAAATTGTGTGCTTTTAACAAATACTACTGTGTTTTTTTCCCTAGGTAAAACTGTATTATAATTGATGACTTAATTTTCAGAAGTCAGTTCCTTTCATTGAAGTTTTTATCATCTTGAAACTTACTTTAGATTTGTTTTTCATTCTCACTTTAGTGTTTACCTGATTTTTGCTCTTTGCATAACCACACACATAAAGGGTCTTCATGTGGACCCTTCTTACCTTAGTCCAATGAAATAAAAAACTCTACACATTTAAAAATATGCATTTAAAATTGTTTTTTATTGTTTTGTTGGTCATTACAAAATGTACACTCAAGGCAGATTCCTACAGACTTGTAAATTCATCTCAGCAATCCTTTATGCTTAAAGTTTCCTCAACCCCATTTATATTCACTACTACCATTCATTCATCGCCACTAGTATCTTCCCTCCTGTCTAATCACTGAGTTAAGGGAAAAATGGTCATTTACTTACTGTAATATAATGGGTTTTAACAACAAAATTCCATTTCCCCATTAAAAGCTATGCTTAAGAAAAAAAAATAGTGGAGGCGTTATTTTAAACTTCTAAATGGCCTGTGAGTATAGTCTTAGTTTAGCTTCCTTACTTTTTTATATACTCAACCTGAAATGATACCATCCCATGTCATCACAGTATGTTGCTTTTTCAGTATGAAGTCAATGGGCTTTTTAGCTGCTTTGAGATTTTTTAAATTCATTCGGCCACACAGAACGCAAAGCATAGAGCTGGGCCCCACAGAGACTTGGGCCTGGCATCACCCAGAAGTTCAAGGAAGGGAGAGGATGAGCACCTTCTCCATTATCCATGGTGTTTGATTGTTCATGGAATTAAAAAATTTAAATATAAATGAACTATATATAGATGCCATAATAAAAAGTGTGCAAAAGTGCTTTGGAAGTACAGATAAGAAAGATGACAATGCTGGCCTGAGAATCAGGGAAGAATGGTTCTTCGAGGACTTCAGAAATGGACAGAATTAAGGCAAAGATGTCAGGACTAGCTTTTCAGTCTGAGGCAACATGGAGAAATAGCAGAGCAAGAGGTTTGGTTGGTGCCTACTCATCACAAGCAAGATTTAACGGGAAGTTGGATTAGCAAGTTAGCCTTGAATGCCAGGCTAAAGATTTATGATTTATTATAGAAGCAGTGGAGTTAGTAGAGGTGTTTTAGTACTGATATCCAAGGAAGATTAATCTGGCGGGACCTGTGAAATGGAGCGTAGGCTGGCAGTGGAGAGAATGGTTAGAAGGCAGAGGTGGGCTGGGCATGGTGGCTCATGTCTGTAGTCCCAGCACTTTGAAAGGCTGAGATGGGAAGATCGCTTGAGACCAGAAGTTCAAGACCAGCCTGGGAAACAATGAGACCCCATCTCTGCAAAAGATAAAAAATAAAATTCATTGGGTATGTTGGTGCATGCCTGTAGTCCTAGCTACTTGGGAGGCTGAGGCAGGAGGATTGCTTGAGTCCAGGAGTTGAAGGCTGAAGAGAGCTATGATCACTGCACTTCAGCCAGGTAACAAAGTGAGACCCTGTCTCTATTTAAAAAGAAAGAAAGAAAAAAGAAGGTAAAGGTGGAGCTAGATAAAGGATCATGGTGAGGGACCCTGCAAAGATAGAGCCAGTTGATGAGGCAGCCATCAGCATGAGAGTCAAAAGAGACCAAAGAATAAAAAATGATGTCATATTTCAAGGATGGCAGTACCACTCACAGAAATAGGGAAGATGGAGATTTAAAGAGCTTAAAGTTACAATAAGGTAAATGGAAATGTCGTTTTCCATAAAGAGTTGTGATATCTTTTCTCCTGTATTAACATTTTTAAAATACTGATAAAGTGTTTTTAAAAATGACTAATGCTGGTCGGCGTGGTGGCTCACGCCTCTAATCTCAGCACTTTGGGAGGCCAAGGCAGGCGATCACTTGAGGTCAGGAGTTAGAGAGCAGCCTGGCCAACATGATGACACCCTGTCTCTAATAAAAATACAAAAATTAGCTGGGCATGTATGTCGGTAATCCCAGCTACTTGGGAGGCTGACCCAGGAGGCAGAGATTGCCATGTGCCAAGATAGCACCACTGCACTTAGTCTGGGCAACAGAGGAGACTCAGTCTAAAAGAAAATTTTTTTACTGATGCTTTTGTAATGTTTGACCTTTGAAGCATATTTCTTAGGAGCTCAGAAATGGAGCTTCTTGCACTATGCATATGTTGTCCATGAAAACAGATGTCTGTGAAAACAAACATTCTCTGTGATGGCTGTCCTTTTTCTCTAAGATGGTTTCAGCATTTCGTAAGGTAAGCAGTGGAGTGATTACTGATTTTTGACATGAGAAAATAAAGGAATGGATCTAAGCAACTATTCAGGCTGCCCAGGCACAAAGCTATGAGATATATAAAATAGAAGCCATCAGTATTGTTGTTGTAGTAGTTGGCATGGTGAATAATAAGTATAATATTGCTTGGAGCAAAACAAATGGTAAAAATCGCAAGGATGAGGAGAGTCACTTTAACATACCACAGCCATCTATGATCATATGCATTAAGTGTCCGGATGATGGCTGTGTAGCAGTAGATGATAACCACAAATGGAATTAAGAATCCAAAGAACGCCAAGGAGATGAAGTAGTAGAGTTGGAAGGGAGACGAGGACTCACATGTGTTGTGAACATCATGGCAGGTGGTGATGTCTGGCTGAACAAGATAATATTCCTGCTTCAGGATGAAAAATGGCAACATATATAAGAAAACTATTGCCCACACCAGTCCACATGTTAGCAAGGCATAGGTGTGCTTGGGCAGTCCCCGGTAGGTGAAAGGATGGACGATGGCCAGATAGCGGCTGATACTGATGCAGGCAAGGAGCAGAATGGAGCAGTACATGTTGCCATAGAAGATGACCGTGGTGGCCCGGCACAGGACCTCTCCAAATACCCAGTTGTTCCCATTAAGATGGTAAGCTATCTTAAAGGGCAATGTGATACAAAAAAGAAAATCTGCAATGGCCAGGTTGGTGTAGAATACGGTCGTACAGATGGATCTGGTCCTGAAGACAAGCATCCACAGGGTCACAGCGTTGGCTGGCACACCAACTACAAACACCAGAAGGTAGATGGCAGGTATCAGTTTGGTACTTAAGGAGCTGGTGAGGTACCCCATAGTAGCATTTTTCACGTGGAGATGTGAAGCACTTTCTTCAGGGCACTTAATTCTTACAGTAATGGTGGGTCCTGTCCAGCCTTCTAAGGCAGAAGAGGGGAACTCTTCAAAAGATTCTGGGGGAGCTCCACGAAAGGTCTTAACAGATAAGATTGGCTTTGCCAAGTTGTTTGTATCATTTTCCATGCCTGTAATTGAAAGGAAGTATTCACATATATTTATGATTCAAGAGAAAAGAAAACAATGTGTTTCATGCTGTGTAATTTCTGTGATTATAGAATTTAAGATCATTTTTATTTTTAAAAATCATAGATTAGGCACTCAACAAGCATATACTTAATACATGTCATATGCTCCAGGACAACACTATCTCATGCAGAAACAAAAACTAAATGATCGCTCATTGTGTGTAAGGCGTTTATAATACTGCTGGAAGAAACAAAAATAGCACATTGGAACATTATAGGCATGTTGACCATACAGGCATTCAGACAATACTTAATAGATTCAGGTGTTTGAGCAAAATGTCAAGGAAAAGATGAACTTGAGCAAAGACGAGCAAGTTTCATAAAAAGATGAAATTTAATGAGTAAGATTCTGCCAATGATGAATGGGCAGCAGCATAGTATGGGCTAGTAGAGGATCTGGGAATGCCAGATAAGTTGATTTAGCAAATTGTTATTGTACACTTACATGTCAGTGGTGTAAAGTTTTAAATAAACTCCATTTCTATCTGTAAGTAACTCTACTAGTGGAGAAGATGTATAAAAATGCATTGTCTCATGCTAATAAGGTGCAGCTGAGAAAGGAAATTGAAAGAGTGGGTGACAGCTAAATTAATGGAGGGCCTCTAAACTGTCCTAAGAAATCATGCCTGTTCATAGATGCTGGGGTTGCACACACAATTTTGAACACAGGAGTGACCATTGTGTTAGGCAGCATAACAACTCCCCAAAGATTCTACCTGCTAATTCCTGAAACCTACGAGTATGTTCCTTTACCTAGCAAAAGGGGCTTTGCAGATGTAATTTAATTAAGGATCTTAAATTGAGGTTTTCCTGGATCGCCTAGGTGGGCCCAATATAATCATAAGAGTCCATATAAGGGGAAGGTAAAGGCTTTAAGTTAGAGATTTGAAGATGCTATGCTGCTGGCTTTGAAGATGGAAGAAAGGGTAATAAGCCAAGGAATGCAGGCAGCTTCTAGAAGCTGAAAAAAGCAAGATAGCAGATTCTCTCCTAGAGCCTCCAGAATGAACACAACTCCACCAACAGTCTTGATTTTGACCTCTGATCTCCAGAAATACAAGATAATCTGTTGTTTTAAGCCACTCAATTTGTGATAATTTGATATAGCAGCAATAGGAAACTAATATAGCCATGATTTTGACTTGTTTTTAAGATGACTTAGGTGACAGCATAGAGAATAGATTGAAAAGGTAAGAAATTAGAGGCAAGGGGGCCTGATTTGGAGGCTACTGTCATCCATAGCTTAGTGAGTTGCTGAGCTAGAGCATTGGTCATGGAAAGGCAACAGCAAACACCTGAGACTCTGATGGTGGCTCAGAGGGACTTGGTGACTGATTGGCTTTGGGGTACAGTGAGGGAGGGGCAGGAGGCAATACCGACTCAGGTTTCTCTCTAGATGTCTTGGAGGGAGAGGATGCCATTAATTGAGTCCGAGGAAGAGACAAGGGGGCAGGATGGAGGGGAAGCTACAGTCTGTTTTTAGTCTTACTGAGGATGAATTGCTTGTGGAATATTAGTATGTGAAATGTCCAGCAACTGGTTAGAAGACTGTATGTGGGTCCAAAATTCCAGGAGCCCAAATTAGAGGCATGGTTTACTAGTTTAATTTAGTGGGAGTGGTTGAGATGGCCTAGGGAGAGTTCTGAGAAAAAAGAATCCAAAGGTGGATTTTAGGGGAAATGACAGATTTTAAGAGAAGAGGAAACAAAGGAGGGAAAATCAGAAGATGAAATCGGTATGAGGACCTAAGAAGTTGGAAATAAACTTTTTTAAAGATGGAAACACATCAACTATCTGCTATAATTATTTGGTGTTACTTGGCACGTTGATGTTAATAATCCTAATTCCTACAATTTCAAAAACAAAATCTTGAAGCTCAAACCTGAAGATTTATTAGTATGTAATTTATTTGTAAATCTTTCACATGTATAGAAAATAGACTAAGATTTCTGATGTTACCTTTAAGATGGACTTTTATGCAAATTTATATGGACATATTATATTTTATGCCAAATATATTATATTTCAATTTATATCCAGTACTGTGCCTGTTGCGTTTTGTCCCAAGGCCTCAGAATTCCTCCTCATTGAATACTTGAAGTTAGTGTTTAGTAACCTGTTTTTCATTCAGAGCCAGTTTCTCTTCCTGCTTTAATCTCTAGCAGTTAGCTCCGGGATGAAATGGAAACCTCCTGCATAATCCTGAGATTGCACAAGCTGAATTCACTGTGTACAATAGGTGTGGCCTGATAACTTCCAGTATGAAGGTGATCAGGTGTCATTTAAGAAAAGATAGATTAGACGGGCGTCGTGGCTCATGCCTGTAATCCCAGCACTTTGGGAGGCCGAGGTGGGTGGATCACAAGGTCAAGAGATCGAGACCATCCTGGTCAACATGGTGAAACCCCGTCTCTACTAAAAATACAAAAATTAGCTGGGCATGGTGGCGCGTGCCTGTAATCCCAGCTACTCAGGAGGCAGAGGCAGGAGAATTGCCTGAACCCAGGAGGCGGAGGTTGCGGTGAGCCGAGATCGTGCCATTGGACTCCAGTCTGGGTAACAAGAGCGAAACTCCGTCTCAAAAAAAAAAGAAAAGAAAAGAAAAATGTGGGAGGCAGCATTCCTCTGTGCCTGTATTTAGAGGTGATCTTTGAAGGTATGTTGTATGATACTTGAGTTTAGTTTAGTCACACAAACCCTTCTCACTTTAGCATTTTAGAAAAGTTCTTGCATTTGACATCGCCCAAAGAGAAGTGCCTTTAAAGATAGGCACAAAGCTGGAGACTGATGGCTGAAAAGCATGCTGTACAAGTTATTCACCTGCGGGATCTGATTTTAAGAAGCTATTAAAACCAAGTGTGTTTGTTGGTTTTCAGAAAATTTCTGAGATTGAGCAAGACATTATGTCTCCAGACATGCTAAACGTGCCCGCGTTTTGTGTAAAAATGGATATGATTCCATTTTCCACAAGAATGCCAGATCTGGTTCCACTTAAATAAGTCTTTATTCCTTAGAGACTGGTTTTTCTTACAAATAGTACTATAGTACTCATTGTTAATTTTTCTTTCATGTATTTGAACTCTTTATAAAGGTTTCCATTGGGCATCATATTTCCGAAATGTTTTTCAAACTGGGAAAAGGCCTGGAAGAACTAATCCAAAGGGCATGAACTCCAGTCTCTCAGGGGTGTCCAAGGGAGAGAATACAGTCATGGATTCATAGTTTGTTTCTGGTTGAGCCAGTAAAGCCCCTTCCTCATCCCTTTTTTCCGTTTATCACTAAAGACAGGAAGTTAAAAACCATGACATCAGGCTGCTAAAAGCCTAAAACAAACAAACCAAAGCAACAATAAAGTAAGTCAGGTTGAACAAGCTTGCTTGATTCTTGCTTCTCATTTCTCTCCACCCCTATGGAAAAAGCAAACTCAATGCCTCTTTCTTTCTTTCAGAGCCTGGCATTTTCACCTCTATCAGACCCTACTACCATCTTGAAGGCACCACCCCCTGAGAACCTTGTTTCTTTGGCAATTCTGCTGCTCACAATATGGGCCAGTCTACTCCCAGGAAGAGCTTGCACTTCCTGTATTCATGAATCCCACATGCACTTACTGCTAATCACCACAAAATCTCTTAGAGCTCTCTGTAACAACTCAGGGATTCCAACTGTTGATTTAAGCAATATTCCTTTAGAAAGCGTTGGGTTTGGTTTTGTTTCCCTTGCTGTGCCCCTTTGCCTCTCCCACTCCTAACAATGTTGACTGGAGTGTGTGACCTAGCAGTCAAAGAGCAACAGGTACAGACCTATCTCAAATTTGTTATTTTTGGGAAAAACAGGAGGTTTCAAGCTGACATTGTGATAGGGAAATGGAAAGTACATTCAAGGCTAATAATAGTATTTGGGAGACCTTATTTCTAAAATTTAAAAAATCATATATGAGGATGGGAAGAACTCCCCGCTGAAAGTCAAAAACAGTCATTCATTTTGGAAATAACTGACTTACTAACATTGCCAGCTATTGAAAGCAGATGATTTTCTCTTTCTGGCAGTATTCTTGTTTCTCCCATTTATATCTCACCAAGAGGTGTAAACACAGGATATGTTTTTTAATCCCTTGAAAAAGTGCTATCTTTGCTTAACCAGAAGATATTCTTAAAAACACCAAAACATCTCTTAAAGAAAATTGCTTCCTTATTTAATTGTAGACATCTAATGTCTCGAATATGCCACACATTTTTAAACATCAGGAGAGAACACTTGGTCTTCGACTAGGTTTGCATAGAGTGAATGAACTATAGATGTTCATTTCCATGATTGTACCTTTTAATAACAAAGATCAAACTGCCTTTGGGGCTTGCCGTTTGTGTGAGATACAAAGAAAACTAGGTTCAGTTGACTCTTCATTTGGAACACAAACCCGAATCTCCATCCTACCCCCTGAGAAAATTGCTTACCACTCTGACAAGTGGGCAACAGAAGCAGGAGGCCAGCAGCTGCAAAGATGAAGGCTTTCATTTTGATGACCTGAGTCCCGTTTCTTGAACGTTATGAAATGTGTAAAATCATGGAGCAGTTTCACCTCAGTTCCATCTGTCAGCAGCAAATGGAAGCCTTCCTCTGTCTATAGAAGTTTTCTTTCCTGTGCGGTGCAGGCAAGAAACTTGCCCTGGTCCTCCGTAGGAAAAGGGTGTTTCAGTAAGCATGACTCAGGCAAGCCTCTGAGCATGTTACGTTATCCCTGGAGGAAGGCATTTAACTCTTACCCACCCCTAACAGTCCATTCTGAATAAATGCTGTAATTCTCCCCCAGTATATTTGCATTCAAAGAATGGCCAAAACTATCCAGTACTTTACAGAACTATCCCAAAAACAGATGCTGAGCAGCAGTAAGTTTTGAATCTGTCCCATATTTCATTTCTTATCCATTTTAAAAATGCAGTTCCAGAGTGTAATTTCCACTTAATAAATTAGCCTTTCCTGGATCTTCCCAGCTATTGCAAATCTTATTTCGTAAACACCTTACTTACATAAATTATAAATTAAAGTAATCATGGAAAGAAAACATTTTTTAAGAAATTAAAATTGGGTGCTCAATTACTTTGAACATTTTCCATCGATGTCATATTGATTTGAATTTATCATCAGTGCCTGGCCAGAAGTTGGCTTTTGAGTGGTGGACCTTTTTCTTTGGGGCATAAGAATAGGGTTTGTTCTGGCTTTTTTTTTTTTTTTTTTTTTTTTTTGCCTTATTTTGATGTGTTTGCAGCCATTCAATAACTCTTAGAGTCAGATAACTGGGGAGACCTCCCAAACAGCATTGTTCAATTAAACTAAAATCGTAGCACATCATTAAAATGAGGAGTGCTCATTAAAATTATTCCATGAGTGCTGGTGAAGAAGTCTACAATAAGATTTTTTTAATAGTGGTAAAATATGCATTACATAAAATATACTGGCTTAACCAGTATTACATGTACAGTCCAGTAATATTAAGTATAGTCACATTGTTGTACCACATACAAGCTTTTATGAATTGTTATATTCTGTAGAGTATGACTTAATATACACTAATGAAAAAACTGCATTATTAGTTAATAAAACTTAAACTTGAAGCCTGACAGCCCGATAGCCTGCTCCTTACAAAATGCAGCAAGAATTAGAAAATACAGAAATACCAAATGTGGGTGAAGGGGAGAAGGAAAGCAAAGCACACTGCCATGTGTGTACCTACGCAACTGTCTTGCATGCTCTGCTCATGTACCCCAAAACCTAAAATCCAATAAAAAATTTAAAAAAAAAAAAAAAGAATTAGAAAATACAAATTTCACATGAGACCTAAAGGCTAGGGATAAGCTAGGAAGCAATTGATCTGTGGAAACCTCTCACATCTTGATTAAATTACATCAGATTAAGATTTTTAGGGTCAAGGTCAGTGTTTAATACCGAAACTAAATAATATATGGTCATACAAACTAAGATAGAATGCTATTATATTGCAGAACTAAAAACGATAAAATATTGACAAAGGGATTTTTTTGTTATTGTTTAATTAGAACTTTTCTGGGAGTTATCTAAATTTAGGAATTTATGACTTGATTTGCGCATGGCCTAGTTTCTGGTCATTTAATTCATTCTTAACTCTTACGTTGAACCTGGCTGTTTAACTGAAGTCAAGGCGTGGCCATCCTGTAAATATGCTACTATTTTCAGAGTTCTGATGAACTACTGAAAAAGCAGACTTGACTGGGCGTGGTGGCTCACTCCTCTTAATCCCAGCACTTTGGGAGGCTGAGCGGGGAGGATCACTTGAGTTCAGGAGTTTGAGACCAGACTGACCAACATGGTGAAACCCAATCTCTACTAAAAATACAAAAATTAGTCAAGCATGGTGGCAGGTACCTGTAATCCCAGCTACTTGGGAGTCTGAGGCAGGAGAATTGCTTGAACCCAGGAGGCAGAGGTTGCAGTGAGCCAGCCTAGGTGATAGAGCAAGGTTCCATCTCAAAAATAAAATAAAATAAAATAAATAAGAAAAAGCAGACTTCACATTGATAGGATTCAGTTTTTACTCTTGGTTTTACATTTAACTCTAGCAGCCTTTACTTTAATGTGTCATAATTTAAACGGTTGACTTAAATTTATTTGATTTGTAATTTCTCTCTTCAGTTTGGCTTATAAGACTAATACTTTAAGCTCTGAAGTAAGATTGTTACTGCCTTCTCATCTGGATAAAAATTTGTGTGGTGCATCTTCTACAGTGATAAGTTATGAAGGAAGGTAAATACCCTTCAGAAGAACTGAGACACATAAATGAAAGCATAGAGCTTAGTTTTTAGGCTATGCCTGGGGAATGTTGGGTTCTCTTAGATGTTGCAAATAGAGAAAAAATTAGTTCCTACTTGCCTCTCTTGTTGCCTCCTCTAGTCTTCCCCTTTCTATCCTGCTTCCTGTTTGAGCCTCCCCCATCTGTTCTTGAAAATAATGGAAAATCTTGCTGTTGCTTCCCTTGTAGTCTTCCATGTAGCCAGAGGTGATGGCGGAAGCAGGCTCCAAGCCTTCCCCAGAGGACTTCTTTAGCCCAGATGTTGCAGGAAGAAATTACAGATATTTTATCTCATTTTCAGAGCCCTTTCCCATGCATTATCTCATATTAGCCTCTGAGGAAAATAATGTTAAAAGGCTGCCAGAGGAACAAGTGACCATTCCTCCCCTTCCTGCCTCCATCCATCTTAAATCCTAAGTGACGGAGTCGGTGCCAGATCCATCGCCTTTCATTCATCACAGTTGATTTAGGGTTTAGAACACAACGCTTATTCCTACACATAGGTAAAATGTTCCCATTTGTTAAATGTCACACCTTTCCTGAAAATATCTCTGCTGATAAAAATTTACTTGCGATCTCAGACAGGATTTTATAAAACACAGTTTTACCTGGAAGTCCCACTTAGTGTCTGCCCGGGCTGCATTTGTAGCAGGACCATCAGAATCAACCTAAAGTTAAATTGGAATATTTACCTATAATGGGAATCATGCAATACACTTTCATTGCTGCTGTTGCTTCCTTTCTAAAGCTATATTTCACTACTTAGTCTTTGCTCCCCCTGCAACTCAACACCTTTACCATAGGTTAACCCTTTCTTGCCTATTTCTGGATCATGTGTCTGCAGCATATATTGCCCTGATCACATTGTATTATAATTATTTTCTTTCTTTCTTTTCTTTCTTTTTTTTTGTGAGGCAGAGTCCCACTCTGTCACCCAGACTGGAGTTCAGTGGCCTGACCTCGGCTCACTGCAACCTCCACCTCCCAGGTTCAAGCGATTCTCCCTTCTTCCAAGTAGGTAGAACTACAGGCATGCACCACCATGCTTGGCTAAATTTTGTATTTTTAGTAGAGACAGGGTTTCGCCATGTTGGCCAAGCTGGTCTCAAACTCCTGACCTCAAGTGATCCTCCCCACTCAGCCTCCCAAAGTGCTGGGATTACAGGCAGGAGACATGGCGCCAGCTATATGTCTTGACATATCTGTCTCTTACACTACATTGTTAGCTCCTTAAGGACAATCACCATGTTGTTGTTTCTTTTTCATTTTTGTCTCTCTGGTAAATATTGACAATCCCTGTGTTTCTCTCAAATTAAAAATATCCCATGGTAACCTGAGGCACCTTGACATAAAGTTTGGGAACCACATTAATTGAGTGATTGAGGGAGAGAGTATTTGACTAGGGGAGCCCAGGACGATTTTTTCGAGTAGGTAGCATTTGAGTTGAGACCTGAATGGTAAGAAAAACCAACAGCCACACAGTGAGGATAGAGTATTGTGGTCTGAAGGAGACTGCTGCGAAGGTCTAGAACAGGAAGGGGGAGGTAGAGGGGTGTGAGGTGCAGCCAGAGAGGCAGTAGGCAGGGCCATGCGAGTAGAACCCCACTGTCCCTGAGAAGGCAGTTTGTGTTTCCTTCTAACAGCTGGGGAAGCCTTTGGGGAGGGTTTAAGCAGAGGATGGTGTACTGAGATATCTATTTTGAAGAGATCCTCTGGGCTCTCTGTAGAGGGCCACAGTGGTGAGGGCAAGCTTTGATGCAGCAGAACCCGCGAGGGGGCCAGTGCGGCTGTCCAGATGGGAGAGAATGGAGGGCCAAACTAAAGAGTGGCGGGGAAGACGGGCGAAGTGGTCGGGTTTGGGGTCAGCTTCATCAGGAGTGTGTACAGTATATGGCAGAGCTCGGTAGTTGCTGATTAAGAATTTGTGGGAATTATGATTAAATGGCTCCTCAAAAGCAGTTACTAATTCTGTTTCCTCATTATTCACTGTTCTTTCTTTTTATTCTGTGGCATTGTTCCCAGGACTCTGAGAGTGTTTCCAAAGTGCTTTGGCTGGATGAGATACAGCAAGCCGTCGACGAGGCCAACATGGATGAGGACAGAGCGGAACAATGTAAGCCCTCGCCTGCTTTGCTCTTGAAACTTGCCTTTTTGGATTTGGTTATGTGCCTGAAGTCATGCGATCTATAATTTCTGGAAGATTTGGATTCTTACCAAGTTTTAGTTCTTGGATGCATAATTATGCAAAAATTCGTTGGTTTCCCTGTGGTCAGTAATTACACTCTGACTCCAACAAAATTTATCAGTGTTGCTGAACTAAATCCGGAAGGTAAAAGATAGTTTTTAAGCTCTCAAATTTTATAATTGAATCGGATCGGATCCTTTTTTCTTCTTGATTCTTAGAGAACTAGACCATTTCTGCTGAATACCCTTTTTCTCCTTTCCATGCCCTTTATTGTTACCAGCATTTTCCTTAGAAACAGAACCAATAGGAGACCTATGGAGTGGCCAGCTGATCATGGGGCGACTAGCAGTGAAATAGACTGGCAGTCTACTCAATTCTTACTTAATCTGTACAACTGGAAGAGTTCTGGGTCAAGCAAACAGAAGACTGCCTTGCACCATAAAAATAGTCACAGACCCGCAATCATTTCCCAGAATGGGACCAGTTTACAAACCCAGAACCCCTCAAATGAAGGGAACGCCAGATTGGCTTGAGGAGGAACTCAGCTACACTACCAAAAATTTATACTGTTAGTCTTTCTTCCAGCCTTCCCCAAAGGGATGTATGACCTTTTACCAGGGTGACTGTACTTAGGAGAAAGGACATCATCAGACTTTTGGAAATTAATGGACACTTGCTCTGAATTGGCACTAATTCCAGGAGACCCAAAACATCACTGGTCCACCAGTCAATGTAGGGGTTTATGGAGGTCAGGTGATCAACAGAATATTAGCTCAGATCCATCTCACAGTGGGTCCCCAAACCCCTTCTGTGGTTACTTCCCCAGTTCTGGGGTGCATAATTGGAATAGGCATAATCAGCAACTGGCAGGATCCCCACATTGGTTCAAATGATGAAAGTGTTTAACCCTCTGTTTTTGAGGAGGAATAATATGAAAATTCACATGATAGTCTGAAATAGCTTCTAAATTGATACACTAACATCATCCATATATAAATTAAAATACGACTCCTAAAATTATAATTCATTAACCTGCCAACTCATGGCATAGTTAGAATCTATTTGGTTGTATCAAGTCACAGAAGGTTCTTAAGATAATTTTGTCCTCCACAGGTGGGCTTTTCAACCTCGGAAGTATCTGTGAGAAACATCTGGGCTTTATTTCCTTAGCTTAGAAAAATATGTGTATTTTTCTAACCTGAGCTTTTATTCCCTAAGGAACTTTGACGTCTTTCCTTTCTAGCATGACTTAAGAAGAAAATAATAAAGTGGAGGTGTGTATATAAGAGATTTCAACTGAAATATAAAACCAAAGGAAGCCATAGTCTGAAGAGACACTTTTGAGAAATTAGATTGTAATGTAGGCATTCAAATAGCCTAAAATGGTTATGATTTATCTCTTAGAAATCAAACCAATTTAGAAGGTTTTTATTTCTTGTATGCATTGTTGTTCTTACATTTTGTCTTCAAATGTTGATTCTGTTTTTCACATTGAGATTGATGGTTCTATTGAGTATAAAAGTAAGAGGTTTCCTCAAATGTATGATTTTGTACTGTGTACTTGCCCATCTAAAAATCCTATCATTTCCCTCTGTCCTGTCCCTCAGAAGAGCTGATGTACTTTATTTTACTATATATAACAACAAAAAAGATTTTCCAAAGTTAAAACTACCTATGAGAATTTTCCAATTTTCCACAAGAATTTAACCTTTTAAAACATTCTTCACTCTTTGCATGAAGACTTGAAACAGATTGTGGTCATGCACTATAAGCATCAAACGCACTCTCAGATAAGATGATAAAAGAAAATGTGTTGGCCCATTTATGTTACCACCAGCAAGGTTTTAAAGGGCAGAGTAACTCAAGCCTCTTTCAGTTTGGCCCAGTGTTGACATTCACTGGAGTATCTTGCTTGCTTAAAGTAGATTTGCCTCTACTTTTGATTCCTTAGGGCAGTCTTTCTCTATGTTTTTCTCATTACAGCACCCTAAGGAATCTTTTTAGACAGTTTTTTCTCTAATCCTTACCATGAAATTTTAATGCCACAGATATATTGTATACCTGTTTATGTGCCATATGAAGATCTGTAATTTATACATAAAGAGGTTTGTTTCACTCCCTACAGGAACCAATTTTTGCCTCATTGGGGGTTATATCAATCACCTCCACTATGATTGTGTGCCTTAAGAGAACCTGCTGGTATATGGCTTAAGATGAAAAGCAAACGTTTTTTGGATCTCTTAGGAGATTTATGGGAGGTTTCTTAATTTGTTCCTTAGCAGAGACATACCTGACTTTCTGGAGTGAAAGTCATCTATCTGATACCTCTAACTATCTGGAACTTAGCCACAAATCACAGATTAAGAAAAAAGCAATCAAAATAGATATCTCAACACAAGCAATGAAGTTAATCTACTTTATTCACTGAGGACCCCTCAGATACACACTTTGAAGCCTGTTGATTTTTTTCTCAAGCAGAACTCCATTGTCTTTGGTAGTTTCCTTTCCTCGTTGTTTCTAACTCAGAGCACATCAGAAGCCACAAATCACAAGGCAGTAAAGTGCTTAAACTGCCATAGACAGGCACACTGATGTCAGTAGAAAGTGACAGCTGACAGTGAAGGAAGAAGGAAAAACTAAGAAGCACAGGGGTTAGAGGCCATTTCGTGCAGGAGCCAATAAGCTCAAACACTTCTGCAGTCCTTGAAAATAGCACTCACTGTATTATAGCACTGCACATTTTTAATGACACAAAGGACTCTTCTGGAAGGTCTCAGCAGACATTAAGCACCTACTTTATACCAGAGACTTTGGATAAAATAAGGAGCAATTACGTCTGTCCTGTTAGGATTTTCTCTAAGGCATGTTTTAGAATTTCATCGAAAATGGTTCTATAAAGATGAGAGTTGGTCCATAAAGGAATTAGCTTTAGTTATCTGGAAATTGACCTGTGAACCAACTCATCAATACTCAGTGATAATATACACAAAAAATGTGTGCCTTTTATAATATCATCTTTCAAGGACAATGCGTTTTATTGGGTTAGATGACGCTATCACATGTAGTTCTTGTGAGTATTTTTGTCATTTTTTGTTCCTTGGGCTTCTCTCATACCATAAACTTCTCAATTGCCAGTACTCTATTTTCTCTCTCCTACAAAGCTTTCCTGGAGAAGAGGAAAGGGCGATGTCCACCCATTTCCCATTAGCCTCTATAAGCATAAGAACATACTGCCATAGGCTTTGTTCAACACCCACCGGAGTTTGCTAGAGAAGTTCTCCCTTAGTCTTTATGTGCTCCTCCAGATTTCCCTTTAACCTTCATAGTGCTGTGCACATGTGAACATAATTTGATGACAACAAATTGTAATTTAATACTCGCAGAGTTTGATGTACATGTAAGAATAAAAAAGTATCCATGTCTCCCTTCTCTTTACATCACGATGTTTTTCATGTAGGAAGTATTTTATCTTGGCTTCTTTCATTTTTCTGGTTCTACTTTTCTAACTCAATGCATTTACTGGTTGTGAAAACGCTAGTCCTATTGATTGGACATTCTTACCTGAAATTAAAGTGGGAAATAATTCACTAAGTTAACTTTTCTTAGACTACCAAGAGTTTCATATGGTTTTGTTAATGAGGAGAGGTAGAAATTTGCAATGGGATGAAATGCTTGTTAGGTCTAAATTGGTTCCAGAATTAAGTTTTAGGACTCCATTCCACCTATCCACCAGCTCTGCTTTTCTAGAACACTTGTTTAGGTTGTGTATAACAATTTTGCTAAATATATTAGCACTATACAAGAGAACACCAGGATTTCCATAACTTAAAAAGCATTTCGCGGCACAAGGTGAGGGTCTCGGATACTGTTTCTCGTTTTTATCACATAGATGGAATAGCCCTGCTGCAAAGATGGTCAACGTACCTAAAACCCGAAGAACCTTCTATAAGAAGTGTGGCAAGCATTGGCCTCACAAGGTGACACCATGTAAGAAGGGCAAGGATTCCTTGTATGCCCAGGGAAAGAGGTGGTATGATCAGAGCCAGAGTGGCTATGGTGGGAAGACAAAGCCAATTTTCCAGAATAAGGCTAAGACCACAAAGAAGATTGTGCTAAGGCTGGAATGTGTTGAGCCTAACTGCAGATCCAAGAGGATGCTGGCCATTAAGAAATGCAAGCATTTTGGACTGGGAGGAGATAAGAGAAAGGGCCAAGTGATCCAGTTCTAAACTTTGGGATATTTTTAACTTTGAAGAGAAATTGTTGAAGCCATAGAAAAATTACCTGTAGGATAATAAATACTGTGATATGCAAAAACAACAAAAAATATGTCTTGTTTATCCTAAAGTAAACAAATGTTTTTATAAAACTAGTTCTCAAATATGTGTTAATGGCCTAGGTTAGAGCTACGTATCTACTGGGGTGTGTATTCACCCCATGTCATAGACTACTACAGCAAACTAGTTCCTCTATACCACATATGAGTAACCAGAAAAGACTCTTGTTTTTAATAAACCATGCTCAAAAGAGGCTTTTAGGAGAGATCCAAGATGGCTGATCACTAGCAGCTCGGGATTGTAGCTCCCAGTGAAAGCACAGAGAACAAGAGGACGCCACACTTTCAGACAAATTTTTGTTACTCATGGACCAGGAGATTCCCAGTGGAGGAGCCCCACGGGTCGCCAGCACGTCTCTTGTGGCCGGCGCTATGGTTTTGCTGATGCCTCGGTTCTTGGTGCAGAGTAAACAGGACTGGCTGACGTTTGGAGCTCCGGGAAGGCAGAGTCGCCTATTCAGCTGACTGAAGGATGGACTCAAGAAGGAAGCCAGACCAGAGATTCCCGGGCAGAAAAGCACCACGAATCTTAGTGCCACTGTTTTAGCCGGTGCAGTGGGTTGCTCAGATTCCGGTGCTGGGAATCAATAAATTGGATGTCCACTCAGAAACCTAATTAGAAAGTTGGTAATTACAAAGACAACAGATGGATAAATTTATAATGAAGGGAAGAAACCAGCCTAAAAAGGCTGAGAATACCCAGAATCAGAATGCCTCTCCCTCTACAGGGGATAACAGTTCCTCATCAGCAACGGAACAAGGCCTGATGGAGAACAAGTGTGTTCCATTAACAGAAGTAGGCTTCAGAAGGTGGATGATAAGAAACTTCTGGGAGTTAAAAGAACTTGTTCTAACCCAATGCAAAGAAACTGAGAACTTTGAAAAAAGGTTTGACGAAATGCTAACAAGAATAGACAACATAGAGATAAATATAAGTGAATTAATGGAGTTGAAAAACACAACTCAAGAACTTCGTGAAGTATGCATAAGTTTTAACAGCCAAATTGATCAAACAGAAGAAAGGATATCAGAGGTCAAAGACCAACTTAATGAAATAAAACGAAAAGACAAGAATAGCGAAAAAAGGATAAAAAGAAATGAGCAAAGTCTCCAAGAAATATGGGACTATGTGAAAAGACCTATCTATGTTTGATAGGTGTACCTGAATGCCACGAAGAGAATGAATCCAAGCTGGAAAATACTCTTCAGGATATTATTCAGGAAAACTTCCCCAACCTAGCAAGGCAGCACAATATTCAACTCCAGGTAATACAGAGAACACCACAGAGATATTCCTCAAGAAGAGCAACCCCAAGGCACATAATCATTGGATTCACCAGGGTTGAAATGAAGGAGAAAATACTAAGGGCAACTAGAGAGAAAGGTCAGGTTACCCACAAAGGGAAGCCTATTAGACTCACAGCAGATCTCTCAGCAGAAACCCTACAAGCCAATAGAGAGTGGGGGGTCAATATTCAACATCCTTAAAGAAAAGAACTTTCCACCCAGAATTTCATATCCAGCCAAACTAAGCTTCACAAGCGAAGAAAAACATAAAATCTTTTGTGAACAAGCAAGTACTCAGAGATTTCATCACCACCAAGCCTGCTTTACAAGTGCTTCTGAAAGAAGCATTACACATAGAAAGGAACAACCAGTATTAGCCTTTCGAAAAATAACCAAAAAGTAAAAAGCATCAACATAATAAAGAATTTACATCAACTAATTGGCAAAACAGCTAGCTAACATCAAATGGCAGTAATAAACTCACATATATTATTATCGATACTAAATTTAAATCTACTAAATCCCCCAATCAAAAGACACAGCCAAAACCCACTGGTATGTTGCATCCGGATCCATCCCATATACAAGGATACACAAAGATTCAAAACAAAGGGATGGAGAAAGATTTACCAACCAAATGGAGAGCATAAATAAATAAATAAATAAATAAATAAAAAGCAGGAGTTACAATTCTCACCTCTGATAAAGTAGATTTTAAAGCAACAAAGATCAAAAGAGGCAAAGATGGTAAAAGGATCAATGCGACAAGAAGAGCTAATGATCCTAAATATATATGCACCCAATACATGAGCACCCAGATACATAAGACTTATAAAGAGACTTCATCAATATTAGATAGATCAACAAGACAGAAAATCAACAAGGATATCCAGGACTTGAACTCAGATACAGAACAAGTAAACTTAATAAACATTTATAGAACTCTCCACTTTAAATACACAAAATATACACTCTTATCAGTACCATATCACACCCACTCACAGGTTTAAATGAAATATTGGTTGGCTACTTGTTTGTTATTTTCTTCCCTCATCTTTTCCTGTCTCCATTATTAAGCACAATTATTGGCATAAAAGAGGTTTTCAATACCCATTTTTAGACTGCATTCTAGCCTGGGCAATAAAGCAGTACTCCTGTTCTCTCTCCCTCTTCCTCTTCCTCTTTCTTCCTGTCTTTCATTCTTTTTTTTCTTTTTTCTTCCTTTCTCTCTTTCTTTTTTTTTTATTTCTCTTTTTCTTTAAAATAAATAAATAAACCATGCTCTGTGTTATCTAATTCTTCTATGGACTAAACTAGTAGGTGAATTTGTGATTGTCTTGGGCATATGTGGGACATATTCTCAAAGGATGAAAATATTTGATCCTAATGCATTCCTAAGAAGTTGAATTATATATTTGCATGTCTTGAAGTAAGTGGAAGATAACCATTAACAAGAAACCTTTTTTTTTTTTTCAATTACAAAGGGGTTACTCTGGTGGTTGATGTTAATCAGTGTTTGGAAGGAAAAAACTCAAGTGATATTTTGTCTGCATTGAAGTCTTCCACTTGCAATGCAAATGACATAATCCCGGAATGTGCTGACAGATACTATGATGCCCTTGCAAAGGCAAAAGAGCTCAAATCTGAAACAGGTAAGTTTGTTTGTTATTTAGCACAAACTACATATTTTAAATATAATTTCTGTGTTATTGTATTTTCTTAATTTTAAGACAAGTATTGCTTTCTTGTTTAATATCTTACTTTTTTTATTGTACTTTAAGTTCTGGGGTACAGAATGTGCAGGTTTGTTACATAGGTATACACGTGCCATGATGGTTTGCTACATCTGTCCCCGCTTCATCTACATTAGATATTTCTCCTAATGCTATCCCTCCCCAATCTCTCTCCCTAACCCCTGCTATCCCTCCCCTAGCCATCCACCCACTGACAGGCCCCAGTATATGATATTCCCTGCCCTGTGCCCATGTGTTCTCATTGTTCAACATCCACTAATGAGTGAGAACATGTGGTGTTTGGTTTTCTGTTCTTGTGTCAGTTTGCTGAGAATGCTGGTTTCCAGCTTCATCCATGTCCCTGCAAAAGACGTGAACTCATCCTTTTCTATGGCTGCATAGTATTCCATGGTGTATATGTTCCACATTTTCTTTATCCAGTCTGTCATTGATGGGCATTTGGGTTGGTTCCAAGTCTTTGCTATTGTAAACAGTGCCGCAATAAACATATGTGTGCATGTGTCTTTATAATAGAATATTTAGGTATATACCCAGTAATGAGATTGCTAGGTCAAATGGTATTTCTATTTCTAGATCCTTGAGGAATCGCCACACTGTCTTCCACAATTTACACTCCCACCAGTGTAAAAGCATTCCTATTTCTCCACATTCTTTCCAGCATTTGTGTCTCCTGATTTTTAATGATAGCCATTCTAACTAGTGTGAGAAGGTATCTCAATTTGGTTTTGATTTGCATTTTTCAAAACCAGTGATTATGAGCTTTTTTTTATGTTTGTTGACTGCATAAATGTCTTCTTTTCAGAAGTGGTCTATTAATATCCTTTGCCCACTTTTTAATGAGTTTGTTGGTTTTTTTCTTGTAAATTTATATAAGTTCTTTTTAGATTCTGGATATTAAACTTTGTCAGATGGGTAAATTACAAAAATTTTTTCCCATTCTGTTGGTTGCCAGTTCACTCTAATGTAAACTAATTTCTTTTGCTGTGCAGAAGCTCTTAGGTTTAAATAGATCCCATTTGTCTGTTTTGGCCTTTGTTGCCATTGCTTTTGATGTTTTCGTCATGAAGTCCTTGCCTATACCTATGTCCTGAATGGTATTGCCTAGGTTTTCTTCTAGGGTTTTTATGGTGTTAGGTCTTGTGTTTAGATTTTTAATCCATTTGGAATTAATTTTTGTATAAGGTGTAAGGAAGGGATCCAGTTTCAGCTTTCTGCATATGGGTAGGCAGTTTTCCCAACACCATTTATCAAATAGGGAATCCTTCCCCCATTGCTTGTTTTTGTCAGGTTTGTCAAAGATCAGATGATTGTAGATGTGTAGCATTATTTCTGAGGCCTCTGTTCTGTTCCATTGGTCTATATCGCTGTTTTGGTACCAGTACCATGCTGTTTTGGTTATGGTAGCTTTGTAGTATAGTTTGAAGTCAGGTAGTGTGATGCCTCCAGCTTTGTTTTTTGTTGTTGTTGTTGTTGTTTTATTGCTTAAGATTGTCTGGCTATGTGGGCTCTTTTTTGGTTCCATCTGAGGTTTAAGGTGGTTTTTTTCCCAATTCTGTGAAGAAAGTCAATGGTAGCTTGATGAGGATAGCATTTAATTTATAAATTACGTTGGGCAGTATGGCCATTTTCACAATACCGATTCTTCCTAACCATCAACATGGAATGTTTTTCCATCTGTTTGTGTCCTCTTTTATTTCCTTGGGCAGTGGTTTGTAGTTCTCCTTGAAGAGGTCCTTCATGTATCTTGTTAGTTGTATTCCTAGGTATTTTATTCTCTTTGTAACAATTATGAATGGGAATGCACTCATGATTTGGCTCTCTGTTTGTCTGTTATTGGTGTATATGGATGGTTGTGATTTATGCACATTTTGTATCCTGATACTTTGCTGAAGTTGCTTATCATCTTGAGATTTTGGGCTGAGACAATAGAGTCTTCTAAATATACAATCATATCATCTGCAAATAAAGACAATTTGACTTCCTCTTTTCCTAATTGAGTACCCCTTATTTCTTTTTCTTGCCTGATTGCCCTGACCAGAACTTCTAATACTATGTGAATAGGAGTGGTAAGAGAGGGCATCCTTGTCTTGTGTCAGTTTTCAGAGGGAATGCTTCCAGTTTTTGCCCATTCAGTATGATACTGGTTGTGGGTTTGTCATAAATAGCTCTTATTATTTTGAGACATATTCCATCAATACATAGTTTATTGAGAGTTTTTAGCATAAAGGGCTGTTGAATTTTTTATAAAGCCGCTGCATCTATTGAGAAAATCAGGTGGTTTTTGTCTTTGGTTCTGTTTATATGATGGATTACGTTTATAGATTTGTATATGTTGAACCAGCCTTGCTTCCCAGGGATGAAGCTGACTTGATCATGATGGATAAGCTTTTTCATGTGCTGTTGGATTTGGTTTGCCGGTATTTTATTGAGAATTTTTGCATCAATGTTCATCATGGATATTGATCTGAAATTTTCTTTTTTAGTTGTGTCTCTGTCAGCTTTTGGTGTCAGGGTGATGTTGATCTCATAAAATGAGTTAGGAAGGATTCCCTCTTTTTGTACTGTTTGGAATAGTTTCAGAAGAAATGGTACCAGCTCCTCTTTGGTACCTCTGGTAGAATTCGGCTGTGAACTCATCTGGTCCTGGAGGACTTTTGTTGGTTGGTAGGCTATTAATTGCTGCCTCAATTTCAGACCTTGGTATTGATCTATTCAGGAGCTCAACTGCTTCCTGGCTTAGTCTTGGGAAGGTGTAAGTGTCCAGGAATATGTCCATTTCTTCTAGATTTACTGGTTTATGTGCATAGAGGTGTTTGTAGTAATCTCTGATAGTAGTTTGTATTTCTGTGGGATTGGTGGTGATATCCCCTTTATCACTTTTTATTGCATCTATTCGATTCTTCTCTCTTTTATTAGTCTGACTAGCGGTCTATCTATTTTGTTGATCTTTTCAAAAAGCCAGCTCCTGGATTTATTGATTTTTTGAAGGATTTTTTGTGTCTCTTTCTCCTTCAGTTCTGCTTTGATCTTAGTTATTTCTTGTCTTCTGCTAGCTTTTGAATTTGTTTGATCTTGCTCCTCTAGTTCTTTTAATTGTGATGATAGGATATCGATTTTAGACCTTTCCTCACTTCTCTTGTGGGCATTTAGTGCTATAAATTTTCCTCTACACATTGCCTTAAATGTGTCCCCAAGTTTCTGGTACATTGTGTCTTCGTTCTCAGTGGTTTCAAAGAACACCTTTATTTCTGCCTTCATTTCATTATTTACCCAGTAATCATTCAGGAGAAGGTTGTTCAGTTTCCATGTAGTTGTGCAGTTTTGAGTGAGATTCTTAATCCTGAGCTCTAACTTGATTGCACAATGATCTGAAAGACTGTTATGATTTCTGTTTGTCTGCATTTGCTGAGGAGTGATTTACTTCCAATTATGTGGTCAATTTTAGAATAAGTATGATGTGGTGCTGAGAAGAATGTATATTCTCTGGATTTGGGGTGGAGAGTTCTGTAGATGTCTATTAGGTCTGCTTGGTCCAGATCTGAGTTCAAGTTCTGCATATCCTTGTAAATTTTCTGTAAGACAGGTATTGCTTTCAAATCAACATTTCTGTAATTTTTTTGTCATCTGTGGCTAAGGAAATTAGGAAATGTTTTGGATGTTTCTTTTTACTTTTGGAAAGCTATGATCTCAGTGGCAATATATGGGTGGCATTAAGAAAATGTCATATTTTAGGAGTCTTTGCTTTATACGGGTGATGCTTATTGATTCATTTATTCATGTGGATATACCAGTGATTGATTCATATATTCATGTAAATATAAACAGATGTTTACACTAATATTTTATCTCAATCCTTTGTGGTTGTACAATATTAAGTAGGGGTAAACAGTAATTTTGACTATATGGAATAAAGTACAGGGAGCTAATCTGCAAGGGATCAGCTGGCAAACCTTGGCCACTAGTTATGCCTACTCGGTCTAATGGCAGAACCTGTATTGTTAGCTCTGGAAAGAATATTTGACATTATACAGTTTGATACTCATTTTTTAAATTTGGAAATTCACATTGATGAGATTTCAGACAGAGGGAAAGAATGGTAGACCCAAGGACAATTAATTTTTAATCCAGAATTCCTTTAATAGATGTTTATTGAGCACCTACTATTTCCTAATGTGTAGAATCAAGGTGGCTCTGAACTTCTAGGCTAGTGTTTATTTGTACCACATTGGAGGTCATCTACAGGCTACTATTCATCTTTAAGAAACTAATGTGATAGTGTATGGCCTTAGAAGTAGAACTTAAGGGGGAAAAAACTTTTTTAGTCCAACTTGATGTTTGTCCAATAGTACCCTATATACTTACTTTCACGTTTGATATATTTCCAACTTGGAGATTCCACCTTCCAATTCAGTAAGTTTTCTGTTATTGAAATGACCTCTCTCATACTTGGCATCTGGTCACCCTTGAGTCCCTCTCTGTTCCATTCAGAGCTCTTCATCGGGAATTACTGAAATATCCCGTCTCATCCTTCTTTGGGAAAGAATTACCTAATTGTATTAATGAGCTATCTTAATTTCAAATTCATCCTGGAAAAAACTTAAACTATTTATCTTCTGTCTCCTAAACTTGCCTACTACTTTTCCCATGTGTCATATTTGGGTGACTATAGTCAAATCCCTGTGTATTCAATTCAGAAACCTAGGAAATACTTTAGATTCATTCTTCTGGGAAGAAAAAAAAAAGGCAGCGAAACTTTTGTCGTCTGAGATTGTATTGAATCTATAGATCAGTTTGACGAGTCTTGCCATCTTAAGAATATTCTGATCCATGTACATGGAATGTCTTTCCTTTTAATCAAGTTTAAAACTCTTACAACAAATTTTTTGTAGTTTTTCAGCATATAAGGTTGCATTTTTTTCATTGAATTTATTCCTAAGTATTTATCATTTTTATGCTATTGTAAATATTGTTTTTAAATTATATTTTGGAATCGTTTATTGCTAGTTTATAGACACTTGACTTTTTATTGAGTAATAATTTATATGCTATAAAATTCTCCCTTTTAAAGTGTATAATTAAGAGGTTTTTAGTATATTAACCATATTGTACATCCAGTACCTCTACTTAATTCCAGGACATTTCATCACGCCAAAACAAAGCCCTGTACCTATTAGCATCAATCCCTATCACCTACTCCCCAGCCCCAGGAAACCACTAACCTACTTTCTGTCTTTGACCTGTTTTGGACATTTCATATAAACAGAATCATACAATACACAGCCTTTTGTGCCTGGCTACTTTTACTTAGCATAACATTTCCAGAGTTTATTCATGTAGCATCTGTCACTTCTTCCTTTTCTGTGTCTGGTAATATTCCATTGTATGAATGTGCCACATTTTGTTTACCCAGTCATCAACTGATGGAACCTGTATTCTGCACCACTCCCTCCCCCCAACTTTTGACTATTCTGAATGAGACTGCTATGAACATTCATGTCCAGGTGTTTTCATGGATATATCTTTTCGTACAACTGATTTTTGTATACTGATCTTGTATCCTGCAACCTTGCTGAATTCATTTATTCTAATCATTTTTGGTAAATTTCTTGTGCCACTATCTGCCTTAATAAATAAAGTTTCGGCCAGGTGCGGTGGCTCACACCTATAATCCCAGTACTTTGGGAGGCCAAGGCGGGTGGATCATGAGGTCAAGAGATCGAGACCATCTGGTCAACATGGTGAAATCCTGTCTCTACTAAAAATAAGAAAATTAGCTCGGCATGGTGGCGAGCACCTGTAGTCCCAGCTACTTGGGAGGCTCAGGCAGGAGAATTGCTTGAACCCAGGAGGCAGAGGTTGCGGTGAGCACAGATCGCACCATTGAACTCCAGCCTGGGTAACAAGAGTGAAACTCCATCTCAAAAAATAATAATAAATAAATAAATAAATGAAGTTTCACTGAAATTTAGCCACACTTTAATTTATGTATGGTCTATGGCTGCTTTCCTGCTGCAGTGGTAGTGCTGAGTGGTTGTTTCAGAGGCCCATAGCCTGCAAAACTGAAAATATTGGCTCTCTCTCTCTCTCTCTCTCTTTTGTTTTGTTTTGTTTTGTTTTAAATGAAGTCTTGCTCTGTCACCCAGGCTGGAGTGCAGCGGAGCAATCCGAGCTCACTGCAACCTCTGCCTCCTAGGTTCCAGCAATTCTCCTGCCTCAGCCTCCCAGGTTGCTGGAATTACAGGCATATGCCACTGTGCCTGGCTCATTTTTGTATTTTTAGTAGAGACAGGGTTTCACCATGTTGGCCTCGAACTCTGACCTCTCCTGCCTTGGCCTCCCAAAGTACTGGGATTACAGGTATGAGCCACTGCGCAAGGCCCCTACTCTCTGACTGTACAGAAAATGTTTGCCAACCCCCGTTCTAGAAAGAAGAGCTTTCCAAGCAATTAAAGACTGATTTTCACCCCAGATAGAACTATGAGCACTGTTTTCAGGCATGCATATGATGATTTATTCTTATCTCTTTCCCCTCTGGTTCCAAGATGTCTATCTTTTCCCAAATTGAAACATCCACCGTTAGGTAAATGGATTGCTCAGCCTTGTAAGTCAGTTTAACGTTTCTGTATAGTAGTGTATAATTTTGTCTGGAAGGCATCTAAAAAGTATGCCTCCTTTTAGAATGTTTGTGACCTCTTAACTAACTGTAATCAGTCTTTTTTCTAAGTGGCAAACCAACTATATTTCTTAGGAAAACTATTTGGAGCCCGTGCTGGAAAGCAGCTCTCCTCAGTCTCTGATCTAACTGTACATTCAAACTAGATGTGAAAAAGATAGGAATTCTTCTTTCCTGTTACCTATTGACATCCCAACCCAAGTAAAGCCTCTAATGCCATTCAGGTCTCTTCATCAGGAATTATTGTAATGTCCCCCACCTCATCCTTCCTTGGGAAAGAATCAGATAATTGTATTAATGAGCTATCCTCATTTCAAATTCATCCTGGAAAAAACTTAGTTTATCTTCTCTCTCTAAAACTTGCCTACTTCTTTTCCCATGTGCCATATTTGGGTGAGAGCTAAAAACAACAGAAAAATATAAGAAGTTCTAACATAGACTAAGCTAAGTCACTACTATCAAGTGAGCATTAGACTCATTGTCTTTACAGGTAAATCACAGTTCAAGTGAATTGACCATTGGTGATTAGCTTTTAACCAGCTAAGAAATTTTTTACTTCTCAGTTCAAGTGATGGGAGAAACATTTTCGACAGCTTTGCTTGCCTTCTTTCCTTCCCACTGAGAGAGTTGCCTTAAGAAGGGTGATTATTCTTCTGAAAACGTTTATGAATCCGACAACTATTGGTAATTGAAAATATCATAGTTGGTTGTGCATAGTGGTTCATGCCTATAATCCCAGCACTTTGGGAGACTGAGGCAAGCAGATTGCTTGAGCCCAAGAGTTTGAGACCAGCCTGGGCAATATGGCAAAACCCATCTTTACAAAAAATTAACCAGGTGTTGCATGCTCCTGTGGCCCCAGCTATTCTGGAGGCTCATTTGAGCCTGGAGAAGTTCGGGCTGCAGTGAGCCATGTTGCACCACTATTCTCCAGCCTGGGTGACAGGGTGAGAACCTGTCTCAAAAGCAAGTAAAGAAGGGAGCAGTGGGGGGAAGGGACAGAAGGGAAGGAAGGAAGAATAATAATTACTTGTAAACAGCCTAACTTGACCGTACAATGTATTTTCTAGTCAACCAATGTTTCTAAACAGATGAACAGGATATCTGACTGCCCATTGAAAAGAGATACATCTTTCTTCCTGGGCATTGACAAACTGAAAGAACAGGTGAGGGGCATTTAAAACCAAATGAAGAATCAACACATATTAAAGAGCCTTAGGCCAGGTGTGGTGGCTCACACCTGTAATCCCAGCACTTTGGGAGGCAGAGGCAGGCAGATCACCTGAGGTCTAGAGTTCAAGACCTGCCTGACCAACATGAAGAAACCCCATCTCTACTAAAGACATGAAATTAGCCAGGCATGATGGCACATACCTATAGTCCCAGCTACTTTGGAGGCTGAGGCAGGAGAATCGCTTGAACCCGGGAGGCGGAGGTTGCAGTGAGCCGAGATGTGCCATTGCACTCCAGCCTGGGCAACAAGAGTCAAAGTCTGTCTCAAAAAAAAGGAAAAAAAAGAGCCTTAAAGTTACCCCTATTTAGTTATTTCAATGCACTTCAATATTTTGTGAAGAAATTCACTCAAATTTTGATTTACCAATGAGTCAATGCTCACTTAGTACAGTTGACTTAGCTTAGTCTAAGTTAGAACTTCTTATGTTTTTCTGCTGTGGTTAGCTCTCAGGCCTGGGACCAGAATCATTCAACAAAATAAACAGATGTCTAATGAAGTGTAGTCCATGGATTCATGAGGAGGAGACATTCTTGATCAACTTAAGTCATGACTACCATAGGTTTTTCTAATATCCCTCCCCCAAAATTAGTTATTTCAAAAATTTTTTCTTCTCATTTTATGTGGTTGTGTAGCACAAAATGAGTCAGGAGAACAGGAATTTTCTTTTTCCCTGCTTCAGTTGACCTTTGTTATGCATACGCCATTTTGTGCTTTGAATAAAGCTGTTTCCAAAGGTTCTACTTTGGTTTAAGGCAGATCATTGGCCCTCCTTAAATAAGGGCCACAGACCACAGTCCTTGTGGGTCTCTTTATTGGAGAAGTTGTAGGGAAACGTTGTAAGCAAAGATGATCTTGCCGATTGGGCTCCTTTGTCTACATGTGTTGCTGTTTGCATCTACCTGGGACTTACAATTACTGTTTGCTTTTCTCTCTCTTTGGCTGTTTTTGGCCAAACTTTTTTTTTAATATATATATGGAATCTAGGTCTGTTGCCAAGCCAGGAGTGCAACGGTGATATCTCGGCTCACTGCAATCCCTGCCTCCCGGGTTCAAGTGATTCCCCTGCCTCAGCTTCCTGTGTAGCTGGGACTACAGGTGTGTGCCACCACACCTGGCTAATTTTTTTGTATTTTGCTATTTCATAAAGACAGGGTTTCACCATGTTGGCCAGGATAGTCTCTATCTCCTGACCTCATGATCTGCCTGTCTCAGCCTCCCAAAGTGCTGGGATTACAGGCATGAGCCACCATGCCTGGCCCAGCTAAACATGTTTTTATCATCCTCATCAAAGATTTGAGTTCTAGAGCTAGCCTTAGGCATTTGGGCTCTTCCTCTTCTTTGGCTTAGCAGGGACCTGCCATTAAATATACCGAATTCATTTCATGTTAGTGGGTCATTTCTGATGCTGTTGGCTTAGACAGTCTAAATGTTTGCTGAAAAACAGGTTCAATTACTTTACCTATTGAAGAAACTAATGTTTAAGGGTTCACTGTTTCTCTGTAGAATTTAACAAAATTTTTTCTTTAGTGTCTAGTGAAGGTTCATGGCTCAAACTCAACCTGCACGAAAAATATGACTACTATTACAACATCGATTCAAAAGAGAGCTCCTGGGTCACGCCCGAATCATGCTTGTATAAAGAATCATGGCTCATGGGAAAAGAAATTGAGGTAGGAAGTTGGTGCTTGGTGGATAATTGTACTGTATAAAGTTACATGTGACTGGCTTTCTATTTCTGTGTCATGGAAGTGATGAGAGGAACTAACCGACTTATCTGAAGCCTGGATATGTGATAAAGTCTTCATGAACTACAGTTGAATGTGGCTGCATTGTTACCAATTTGCAGATTTTTTTCCACATTGGCTTGACAAAACCAAATACAGCAGGGGGAAGAAATATTTTACTATTTATTTGGGATGGTACATTATCCTAAGAAATCAATCTTGACTTTCCTTAACTTAATTAAGCTCGATTAATTATAATTTCTTGGTTGTCAACATTTAAAAGGTATTTCTTTCCCCCCGTCTCAGCCTGCAGCTTAACCTCGTACCTTTCAAACCAAAATGTCATTTTTTCTATAAAGTGCTGGAGAGGGCGTCTCTGCCACACATGGCCCCAGCCATCTCCAGGATGGCTTCAGAAGCAAAGAACAGAGTTGGGCAAAGAGCAAGATGGTAAACATTAAATGTTTACTTCTTCTGAGATGGTCATCTTAGCATGTTTTCATTGCTTAACATTCTAGAGCTCTGGATGTACCCTTGTCCAAATGTAAGTGCAAACAACACAATTGAGTGTATCTTATACTTGGCTTTCAAGTAACTGAGGTAAAAGTTAGCTATGTGTCCATGTGTTGTACTAACCAAGAGCTAAACATGATACATCAAATTGAAATTTGTATTTAACTACTAAAGGTCCCTTTTAACTAATCCTTGACTCATATTTGAAAGCTTTCTTGTACCAGATTTTTCTTATTGAAAACAATTTATCCCTCCTCTCATCTCTTTTAACCAAACTGTATAAATAGTACCTATTTGAGCTTCTCGTTAGGAGTAAAGAAACAGTGCGTTAGTGAGCATAGTTATTGTCTATTAGGACATTTGTTATTTTTTGTTTGTTTCTCTTTTGGGGGGATATTTGTTATTTTAAATATAGAAAGGAAAAATCCATTTAGAAAAATCTACCTTAGGTGAAACCCCATCTCTACTAAAAATACAAAAATTAGCTGGATGTTGTGGCCGGGACCTGTAATCCTAGCTACTTGGGAGGCTGAGGCAGGAGAATTGCTTGAACCCAGGAGGCAGAGGTTGCAGTGAGCCAAGATTGTTCCATTGCACTCCAGCCTGGGCGACAAGAGCTAGACTCTGTCTCAGGAAAAAACAAACAAAAAAAAAACCCTAAAAAGTCTGCGTTAGAATCATCTCAGGTTCAGATGCTTTTTCTCATTATAAACAAGACTGGCCGGAGTCTCAGGGGTCCTCCTGATTTCCCCATGTGCCTTGCAAATATTCAGCAGTTTTTATATGTACAGGAGCCCAGGGCTGAAGTATTTACAAAAAAAGAAAAGAGTAAAGCTATGAGAAAAAGTACAGCCAAAAGAACTCTTTTTTGTTTCAGTTCTAGGTCACTGCATTTCATTCATTTTTTAGTTGCTCCTCCCCACATAGAGGGATGAGAGGAGCACTTTGACAGTAGATTATCTGTATGATCATGGCTTTGTTAGATCTGAATATTTTCTTCCAACATGGAAATAAGGAGCTAAATGCTCTGTGGGGATTCCTGAAACAAAAGACTTAGCTATACACAACTAGTGAGGTAGATCTTGCTGAATGGCCTTCTTTCTTAAAGTCAGAGGAATGTGAAATTGGAATCAACCCTTGTAGAAAGGTGTCTGAAACAAGTTATGGCAGAAAGTAGCCTTTCTGACTGGTGTGCCTACAAATACCCAAAGACTGTGTAAACTGCTAATATAAGGTCTTCTGAAACCATAAGCACAGCCCGGTACCCCTCCTTTGTATACAGTTTCACTTTCCAATGTACTTTCGCATCACTTTGATCCCTAAATTGCCCTCTAAGTAGAGACAGAGCAAATATTCTCATTCTATTTTTCTAAGTGAGGAAACTGAGGCACAGAGTAGATGAACCAGCTTGTACTAATTGTGCAGTTTGTATAGAGTTTGACAGTAAACAGTGATTTATTTCCAGTGCTTCCAACTTCTACTCTAGTATCTTTTCCACTTTTTGCCTTGCTTTTGACACAGTCACCAGTATCTCTGAGTGGTTATATCATGTGCCTATTGCTCTGGAATTAATAACACAAGTTGGTGGCTTAAGAAATATACAGGTACTTTAAAAAGTGAGTAATGATTCCCAGGGGGAATACTCTTGAAGGAATATTCACCAAGACTGATGTGGATTTAAGACCAAAAGTTGGACCCAAAGATATGAAAACTTCTGATGATGAGTCCACACATCATAATATGTTTACAGAGAAATGCTGATGATAATTAAAAACAAGAACACACATCTTACAGAATCATTCAAAGTCAACATCGAAGATACCGCAGTGAAGCAGTATTGTAGACAGAATCATCAATGCAGTATTTACTAAAATTTTGAGAAAAAAAAAAAAACATGATCTGAGTCTGATCATTGCTACCAAAAATGCTTAATGACAAGAAGATAGTGAAGAACATAATTTATTGACTAATTTCCGATGTTCAGAGTTCCTACAAGTTTTAGAAAAATTACATTGTAGCAATGGATTATTAGTGCCAATTTTGAAAAAAAAATTATAGACATACTAAAAACATATGCTGTGGTTGAAAAGATGTATCAAACTATAAAGAAGCAGCATCAAAGATTTAAAATTTAGAATCAAAAATTGCTCATGTGGCATCCCAAGATATGTAACTTTTCCTTATATCGAGCATCAGTCTGTTAAGATTATTAACCAGTGGAAGGTCTAACACTATTTAAAAAAATTGCATTTCCTCTAAACAACCTGAAGTTACTGGTTTTATTCAATGAATGCATACATATGTCTTCTCTTAAAGATATGTATGCATCTTTTGTATGATTTCACTTTTAGCTCTTTAACCAACCATTGATTCCAGTTGTACAAGATAAGAACATTATATATGGGGTATAAACTGGGTTTACTTTTATGCTCAATGAGAGATGCAAAGAAAGAACGGACTTTCACTTCTAGAGTCATCAGCTGTAGAAGTGCAGTCCATTCTTTCTTTGCATCTCTCATTGAGCATAAAAGTAAACCCAGTTCATACCCCACATAAAACTTTCTTATAACCTCCTTCTTCCTTTTTTCCTCATTCTTCTAGATTTCCCCCATCTGTCCTTAATAGCACTTGCCTTGCTTCTCCCACCCCTTTTTCTTTAGCCCCAGAGCATCATTTTGAGTTTTGCCCCAGCTTGTTACAGGGATCTGCCTACTCTGGCCTGGGGAAGAAATGGAAAAGAAGTCTGAGATCCTCGTGGTCATTGCAATCTTTTCCTTGGGAGCCCAAGGGAGGTGGAAGGTGATGCATGTTTTTACAGAAAGCATCCTTGTCCCTTTACATTCTTTGGAGCTCAGGCTTCACGCCTGGTCCTTGCCAGCATCATCTGTACATCTCTGCCTCCAAATCCTGAGACCATTGAGCCACATTCTCATGCCACCTCAGCACCAAGTTCAGAGATGCCAAAATCATATTGCTAGAAAGAAGCTAAGCCAGTTTCATCCCTCAGCTCTGCTTATATTTGTTTTTAAACCAAGCCAAAAGGAGACATCCATATTACTTTCTAAAAGATAAACTATCAGGAGCTATTCTGTGTCTGCCTTTCAAATGATGTGTGAAGTGTAATGATAAGAAATATCTCTTGCCAGGACATTATTGAGGAAGTCACAGTAGGTTACATTCGTGAAAATATATGGTCTGCTTCAGAAGAGTTGCTTCTTCGCTTTCAAGCCACAAGCTCAGGACCCATCCTTAGGAAAGAGTTTGAAGCTAGAAAATCATTTTTGCATGAACAAGAAGAGAATGTGGTCAAAATACAGGTATGTGGATCACCTACCACTTTTTACAGCAAACTGTCATATCACCTGAAAATGTTTTATTTGATAATAGACTAGTCAACTATTGGCATTCTAATAAACAGATCTGACTGCATGTTTTTACATAACAGTGCCACTAGTCTACTTCACTAAGGCTTTAAAATGGGAAGCATACTGATGATGAATGACTTAGCCTATGGTCTTCTAGGGCGAATTTAGCAGCGCTGCAGATTTGCACAGATTCACCTGCTGCTACCCTAGCTGGACCCAAAAGGACATACCTTGGATCCGAGTTGAAATCACATCTGACTCAGGGACTTTACAATTTGGCTTCTGTGGTTAGTGGATTTTGAGTGGCATCTTAGTTTCTGTGCACTTCTAGCCTGAACGAACAGGAGAACTAATTAAATAAATAGATTTAGCATCTCTAAAAATGTCTTCCACCTTCTGCAATCTCACTCTCATTTTGGCCTGCAGGAGAAACTTTCATTCCCAAATTGTTTGCTATAAGTTGTTCTTAAGCTTGCATGACTTGTCCAAACTTTCTGGTTGGCAGGAGAAGAATTTGCCAGGCTTAGATGTCTCTCTTCTGTATTCCTGTAGCACCCTCTACCAATCACCACACTGATCTCTGAAAGGCTGTGAGTTTGTTCTTTTTCTTGTGAATTCAAAGGGACATTGTTAGCAACTGGCAAAGTCTGATGGGTTTTTACTTTTGAGTTTCCGAAATTGCAAGTTTTTCTGTTGAAGAGGTTGTTTTTTATATGGTCACTGGTGAACTCATCTGCTTTTCCCACCTAAGTGTAATGTCCAAGGCAGGAAATGAATTTTACAAACATTTGTCTTCTTGTATCTTATACATGATAGGTGCTTGCATGTTTAAATTTGCTTGGAGCTTAAGATATTATTAGCAAAGCAGAAACTATCAACTTTATAAAATAAATTCCTACTATAAATCTAATACTTAAAGGATTTTTCCAGATGGGCCAATGAGTTTTCAATTTATTCATTCTTTAAACAAGTAGTAGGCAAAACACACAGGAAATGAACAAAAGCCTAAAACTAGTCACCTACACTGATGAGGCTCCAATTTTACACAAAATTCACATGTCAGCCAATATAAAATTTGGACCCCACACTCTCCAGTCTCAGGGCACACAGCAGAGTTGCAGTTGGAAGATGTCCCACAGAATCCACCAGTATAGAATCCCACTGTATTAGAAACCAGGGCTGAAGGATGAGAGAAATGGGGGAAGGATGGGAACAATTATTGGGAGCCTTTTTTCTCCACCTCAGCAGAGGCAAAAGAATTGAAGAGGCAGCCATCAAACCATGAAGTCACCTCACCATGCCTTTTTTTCAGTCTTCTGACAATTTTCCAAAGCGGAGGGCATGAAGTCTAAAGGTAAGCCTACTTCACAGATGGGGACCAGAAGTAAATATGCATCGATAGGAACCTGCTGACCCATAAAACCAAGAGACCATGAACTAAAGGGTGTCATGCTAATCTCGTTTCTCACCAAAGTGGCTAGTTCACCTTCAAGTAGGAAAACGTTCTGATATCTGAAAGGTTCCCCTACATAAAACACTGTGAGCTTCCTAGCTAGCTGAACTGCCCACAGACACCACAGTCTTAACAAATTTGGAAAGAAATACAAAGGCAAAGCTCCTAGGCCAAGGCTAGCAATACCCCAGCTACACCACCCTCCCTGCCCTCGGTGATCTGCCAAGGAACTGAGTCGTGGTACAGAGAATGTGCGTGATCAACATCCAGTCCTCTGTCTCAAATGCTTGGGGAGTTAACTGGGAGGTGCTCAGGTCAATACAGAGAGAAGTCAAAGAGAATCTACATAGCTATATTATTCTTGAGCAGTTAGAAGTCCCTGATAAAATTTCCTGAGTGAACCAGAAAAAAAAAAAATCTTCTCATAAACAAAAAAGATCTTATATCAAAAACAGAAAAAGGAATGTAACTTGCAAAATATAAATGGAGTAGACATCTACAGTTACTTTTCCAGAGGACAGGAGAAAATTTTACACTGAAACTGCTTTATACTGTCAAGGTATTTCATATCACGTGGACTTCATGAAATTAAGAAGACAACAGAATAATAAAATGAAAAGACAGCTGACAGCTAAGGAGAGGAAGGGAAATAATGACATCATAGCATGTAAATGAATTTATAACTGCAGAAAGCAAAATAGGCACTGAAAATAATTGTAGCAGACACGGAAAGCTTAAGAAAAGTCCACCAAAGCTGAGGGAAAGAAAAGATGATTAAAAACAGTTTTTCATGGGAAAAGTATAATGCCCATTTTATTGTAGGGTGGTGACAACTGACTGGAGTAATTCACATAACAGATGGCTCCTAGTTTGTGCTTCTTAAGTGCTTGATAAACTTTAGAAATGGCAAGGTGATAGAGATAATGACTCAGAGGACAGATAATGGGGAGCCAATATTGATATTGCTGGTGTGGCACAGGAAGACATCAGAAAAAATGAAATGGGATAGAATAGGTAACTAAAGGACGAAGGTTTTCTCTTGAACTGAAGAAAGCTAGCATTCCACTTTTTAGGAAAGGACATAATAGTGACAAACACCAAAACTTAGCCCTGAGAATTAATGAATTATTGAACTTCAGCTTACGGAGTGCCACCAGCATCCTGGTGAAGAAAAACAAGCGACTCTGAAGGAACTTTGCAACTGCAGGAGGAGCGGCAGAGTCTGTGGGCCAGGAGGAAGGGGATGACCTGGGAGAGTCGGGCCTCAGTTGTTTTAATGTAACTGACTACTCCTGTAGATTGCTGGATTTTTTTTACCTTTGAGGAAAGGGAAAAGAGGTTCATGTTTAGGGCTTTCTTGGTTAACTGAGATCACACAAGTATTTTGTGCATCAGAAGTTGGCACTGGTGATTTGAATAGATCTGTACTTAGTGTCCAGTTTTCACACATAGCAGCCAGTGTATCAAGCCGTATTTCCCAGAGAGTAATAGTTAAGGTCTATAAAACAGAGCAGTGACCTCTGAGGTCTAAATGTTTTGAAAGACTTTTTTATAGAGATATTCTGCACATAAATATATTTATTATAGTACTAGAAAACAAAACAAATAAGATGACTATTATAAATTTTCCCACAAGTTTCCATACCAGACAGGAAAATGAGATTGCCATTTTTGTAAATCCTTTTTTTAAATTCTGAGACAGAGTCTTGCTCTGTCACCCAGGCTGGAATGTAGTGACACCATCCCAGCTCACTGCAACCTCCACCTCCTGGGTTCAAGCAATTCTCATGCCTCAGCCTCCCAAGCAGCTGGGATTACAGGCATGTGCCACCACACCCAGTTTATTTCTGTATTTTTTTATAGACACAGTTTCACCATGTTGGCCAGCTTGGTCTTGAACCCCTAGCCTCAAGTGATCTGCCCACCTCGGCCCCCACAAAGTGCTGGGGTTATAGGCATGAGCCATTGTACCCAGCCTGTAAATCCTTTCTGCCTATAACTTTCCAAGTTTCTTTATATCAACTTTAAACCCATATTTGCTTATAAACAGACTCTGATTAGAGAAGAGCTTGCAATATTATGACTATGCACAGAATAAAAGCTCATCTCAATGGAACTAAAACAGACTAAAAAAAGAAAAACAGTTTTTTGGCAAATGAAATATGAGGCGTGTAGTATTCTGCTTCTGTGGAGCCCAAAAATTTTTTTTTTATTATTGTACTTTAAATTCTGGGATACATGTGCAGAACATGCAGGTTTGTTACATAGGTATACACATGCTATGGCAGTTTGCTACACCCATCAACCCATCATCTACATTAGGTATGTCTCCTAATTCTCTCTCTCCCCTAACCCCACACTGCCCAGCAGGCCCCAGTGTGTGATGTTCCCCTCCCTGTGTCCATGTGTTCTCATTGTTCAACTCCCACTTATGAGTGAGAATATGGGGTGCTTGGTTTTCTGTTCCTGTGTTAGTTTGCTGAAAATGATGGTTTCCAGCTTTGTCCATGTCCCTGCAAAGGACATGAACTCATGCTTTTTTATGGCTGCATAGTATTCCATCATGTATATGTGCCACATTTTATTTATCCGGTCTATCTCTGATAGGCATTTGGGTTGGTTCCAAGTCTTTGCTATTGTGAACAGTGCCGCAGTAAACATAAGTGTGCATGTTTATAAATCATCTTTTGGGTATATATCCAGTAATGGGATTGCTGGGTCAAATGGTATTTCTGGTTCTAGATCCTTGAGGAATCACCACACTGTCTTCCACAATGGTTGAACTAATTTACACTCCCACCAACAGTGTAAAAGCATCCCTATTTCTCCACAGCCTCTCCAGCATCTGTTTTCTCCTGACTTTTAATGATCACCATTCTAACTGACGTGAAATGGTATCTCAATGTGGTTTTGATTTCCATTTTTCTAATGACCAGTGATGATAAGCTTTTTTTCATATGTTTTTTAGCCACATAAATGTTTTCTTTTGAGAAGTGTCTGTTCATGTCCAGGAGCAAAAAAATTCTATTCCCAGCCAACCTGCCTTTGTTTGGAAAGGTAACAATACTCATATATAGAAGAATACCAGAAAAAGTTGCATAAATAATAGTGAGATGAAACATAATAATGAACTCTCAAGGTAAATCCTGGTGGCACACATACTTAAGCCTTAGTACATTAAAAGGAAAAAAAAACAGAATGGACAAATGGGGTCATTTTGACAATGCAGGAATGATTCAATATTAAATCATCTGTTATTATGACACATTACTTATTCAGAATGTTTGCAAATCTCAGGTAATTGAGATTAACAGTGTTTTTGAAGTTTAGGTCATTCCAGAAGAGCAGAATGGGAACTTGAGCTAATTCCAATTATCTTGTTTAGCCTTCAGTATGGACTAAGGAAGGAGCAGGATTTATAATACACATTCAAACAATTGCAATTCTGTGCTTTAAACCAATGTTAACCACCAAAATATACAAACTCTTAAGATCCATCACAACACTTTGTGTGTGTGTGTGTGTGTGTGTGTGTGTGTGTGTGTGTGTGAAAGAGAGAGAGAGAGAGACAGTCAGTCTCACTCTGTTGCTGAGGCTAGAGTGCAGTGGTGCAGTCGGCACTGACTGCAACCTCCACCTCCCAGGTTCCAGTGATTCTCCTGCCTCAGCCTCCCAAGTAGCTGGGACTACAGGCACATGCCACCATACCAGGCTAATTTTTGTATATTTAGTAGACAATATGGTTTTCACCATATTGGCCAGGCTAGTCTTGAACTCCTGACCTGGTGATCCGCTGCCTTGGTCTCCCAAAGTGCTGGGATTACAGAAATAAGCCACCCCGCCTGACCCACGACACATTTTTTACTGGTTAGACTGCCATGGAGTCCCAGTGACCCATGATTAGGGTCCACTTCCCCTAGTCTCTGTTGTGCTTTTGGGCCACCTTTGTGAACAACTGTTGGTGACATCAGAGAATTTTGCCCATCTCAGAAGTGTCACACTGTGACAAATCCCATGGTAGCAATTTCTACCTGGATAATCAATTTTAAATCCTTTTTTCTGGTTATTTACACTTTTATCATTTAATGTGTGGATCACATACCCAGTGCTGTCTTTGCCTGGAAGATTGGTAAAAGTACACAATCTCAAGCCTTCCCCGAGGCCTACTGAATCCCTAACCTGCATTCTGGCAAGATCCTCAGATGATTTTATATTCACATTAAAGTTTGAGAAGTACTGTTAAGATCATTCCAGTTTCAAAACTCCAGATAACTCATCTTCCTGTATAGTTCTTTATCACCATAAGAGCTTAAAGGAGAAAAACCCTATGTGCTCATTTCAATAGCTACTGAAAAGGCGTTTGATAAAATTCGACCCATTCCTGTGTTTTTAAATGATTGCATTGAAGTTTAAGGTTTTTTCTGAGGCAGTTGGCATCCTTATAATCAACTTTACCTTTCAGACATTAATCTTTTTCCATTTATTAATCTGTTCCAAAGTGTACCTTATAATTTTATTCTTTTATATTTTTAAGTTTACCCCTCTGTATCTTTTTCTGCTATTGTGAATAACATCTTTATTCTATTACGTTGCTTATTCTTGACATGTAGAAAATTTATCAATTTTATATTCATTTTATAACTAGTCACCAGGATGAACTCTTAGTGCTAATAAATTTTTAGTTGATCCTCTTGGGTCATAACTGCTGTTGACACTTCTGATTTTTTTTTTAACATCTTGAATTTTGTCAAGGAATATATTCATACAGCCTTAATAATATAGAAAATTATAAACTTTAAGGACTTAAAAATTATTTGGGCTTGGCTTCCACTTCTAGGAAAGTGGAATGTATGTTCTTTCCCTGTTCATAAATACAATTAAAAGCCCCCAATATTATATATAAACAAACATAACACTCTTAAAGATGAAGAGAAAAAAGTCAGACTAATTAGCAAACCCTGGGACCCAAAGATTGACATAGTGATGAGTTCTTTGAGTTTTCTTTTTGTTTATATTTTTCTTACCTAGAGCTGAAGAGGCTGGCAACCCAGAAATGCCAGTGGGTACAGGCTCTGATATGGCTTGGTTCTGTGTCACTACCCGAATCTCATCTTAATTGTACTTCCATAATTCCCACATGTAGTGGGAGGGACCTGATGTGAGATAATTGCATCATGGGGGCAGTTTCCCCTATACTGTTCTTGTGGTAGTGAGTAAGTCTCTCAAGATCTGATGGTTTTATAAGGAGTGTCTGCTTTTGCTTCTTTCTCATTCTCTCTTGCCACCGCCATGTAAGAAGTGCCTTTTGCCTTCTGCCATGACTGTGAAGCCTCCTCAGCCATGTAGAAATGTGAGTCCATTAAACCTATTTTTCTTCCCAGTCTCAGGTATGTCTGTATCAGCAGCGTGAAAATGGACTAATACAGGCTCCAGTGAAAGCCTGCTCTCTGCAGCCAAAGGGCCAAGAAAGAAACAGTCTAGCAAGACAGAAATGATTTCAGTTAGTAGCTACTCTACTCTAGCCAAACACCACACACACAAAAAAAACTGTAATCCTTCCACCCAGGGCAGCAAAGCCTGAGTGGGGAGCCTGAACTTCATCCCCCGGACTATAACAAGGTACACAGACACTTGTAGAATCTAGATCTCGTGCCCACTGAGCAGTAATGTGGCAGCCCTTCCTCTTTCTGCTAGAGTGGTATTAAAGGAGCCATGGTGGAGAGGTAGGACCTTCACACCATCCAGTGGTAATGAGCTCTTTTCCCCTCAGTTGAACAATGGAGGCCATATGGGAAGTAATAAGAAGCCATGCCTACCTTCCCAGCCAGAGAGGTATCAACAGAGATCCAGTGGGTTGCTGGACCCCCTTCCAGCAGTAATGAGGAGGCCTTCCCCACCTTGGTGTTAAGGTTCTTTGGTTTCCCAGGTTCACTAGCCTGGCTGTTTTCTCCTCACCTTTAAGAGGCTTACGTTTGTTTATATAGACAGAAACCAAGTGGAGAACCTAGCCTTCTCCTCCCACCTCCTGGTAATAAGGCAGTGCCTCCCAACCTTTTCCTTGCCAAAACAATGTCAGGAAAAGCCACCTAAAACAGTAGGATTAAATAAGATCCAGCACCCCGTAATACCCACATTGTCTAAGGTTCAGTCACTTGGACTGTTTGGATATTGCAATCACAACAATCACTTATGTCAAGAACCAAGAAAATCACAACTTCAGTTTAAAATAACAAGTACTAGGTGCCCACCCAGAGAGGACAGATGTTAGAATTATCTGACAAAGATTTTTAAAGCAGCTATCATAAAAATGTCACAATAAGCAATTAGCACTTGAAGCAAAAGAAAGAACATCTCAGGGAAAAAAGCTAAAGCCTCAGCAAATAATTCAAAGTATATAAACCACACAGTAACTTTTAGAACTGAAAAATATAGTAACAGAGGTGAAAACCCAATGAATAGTCTTAGCAGCACAATGGAAGGACAGAGGAATGAATCAGTGAACTAGAGATTATCACAATAGAAATGTCCAGGTCTGAACAACAGAGAGAAAACAGACTGAAAAAATAATGAATAGAGCCTCAGGGATCAGCAAGATTGTAACAGAAGATTTGACATTTGTATCATCTGATTCCCAGAGGAGGGGAGAAAGAGGCAGTACTGACAAAGTGCTTGAAATAAAAGTAGAAGCATTCCGAAAACACAGATTCAAGAAGCTGAGCAAACTCCAAACAGGATAAAGTGAAGAAAATTCACACAAAGATATATCATAGTCAAACTTCTGAAAATAAAAGACAAAGAAAATATTTTGAAAAGCAGTGAAAAAGAAACAAGTTATCTATGAGAGGAAGACAGTTCTAATGACAGGATTTTTCATAACCTAAGAAGGCTAGAAGGAAGTGCAAAATTTTTCAGGAAGCAGAGGCTGAGTGGGGAGTCCAGGCTTCCACTCTCCTGTAACAAGGTACCAAGACACTTATAGAACCTGGAGAGAAAATAGCTATCAACATAGAATTTTATATCCAGCAAAAATACTTAAGGAATGAAGGAGAAACTAAGAGCGCTTGTTACCAGCAAACCTTCCCTCATAGACCTATAGATAGCTCTCTAAACAAAAAGGAAATGATGAAAGAAGAAATTTCAGAACATCAGAAAGAAAGGATAGCTAGAAGAATAAAAATATGAGTAAAATCATTTTTCTACTCCTTTTGAGTTGTTAAAATTGTTTGACAGTTGAAGTGCTGAAGTGCTAATGAATGTATGAAGGGCTCATTCCCCATGGCTGCTGTCAGTGGCTGATGTTGATGTCTGTGGCTTTTCCGAGCACAGGGTGCAAGCTGTCAGTGAATCTACCATTCTGGGGTCTGAAGGATGGTGGCCCTCTGCTCACAGCTCTACTAGGCAATCCCCTAGTGGGGACTCTGTGTAGGAGCTCTGACCCCACATTTCTCCTCCACTGCCCTAGCAGAGATTCTTCATGATAGTTCTGTTCCTGCAGCAGGCTTCTGCCTGGACACCCAGGCTTTTCCAAACAACCTCTGAAATCTAGGCAGAGGCTCCCAAGCCTTGACTTTTGCACTCTATGCACCCACAGGCCTAACATGACATGGAAGCCACTAAGGCTTATGGTTTGCACCCTCTGAGCTGTACCTGGGCCCCTTTTAGCCATGGCTAGATCTGGAGTGGCTGGGATGCAGGGATTAGTGTCCAGAGGCTGTGCAGGGCAGCAAGGCCCTGGGCCTGGCCCATGAAACCATTCTTCCCTGCTAGGCCTCCCAGCCTGTGATGGCAGGGGCTGCTGTGAAGGTCACTAAAACATCAGGGATTACAATTTGACATGAGATTTGGGTGGGGATGCAAATCCAAACCATATCAAGGCATGAGCCACCATGCCCAGTTCACATCTTTATGTCAGTTTGTATTTGTGTACATAATGATGCAGTATGTATGTTTACACATTTGCATATTTCAGAGGATACCTAATTAAAAAGCCAGGTACAGTGGCTCACGCCTATCATCCCAGCACTTTGGGACGCCAAGGTGGGCAGATCACCTGAGGTCAGGAGTTCAAGACCAGCCTGTCTGATATGGTTAAACCCCATCTTTACTAAAAACTACAAACATTAGCTGGGCATGGTGTCACATGCCTGTAGTCCCAGCTACTCAAGAGGCTGAGGCAGGAGAATTGCTTGAACCTAGGAGGCAGAGGTTACAGTGAGCCAGGATCGCACCACTGCACTCCAGCCTGGACAACTCCATCTCAAAAAATAAAAGTTAGATAGTCATTCCCTTTATAGAGTAGTTAGGTGGAAGTAGAGTTAGCTACACAGGTACATATACCCTTTCTCTTCATTCACTGTGTATTTTTATAGATCTTCTAGGCATTGAGGTACAAATTGTTTGCTTAGAAATATGTATAATTATTTTGTGGGTTTTTTCTTAATGTGGTATAATATGTGTGGTAAGCTAAAATTTCCTTTTTATATTAGCAATATGTCTTGGAGGTCGTCCTATTCTCCAAGATACAGAGCATTGCCATAGTCAGTATATATGATGTTTATTAACTGGTGTGGAACATCCCTCAGTGGGACTGCAATTGCAGTGTCTCTAGCTGTTCTCCCATTTGTGAACATTTTACTGGATGCACATTTTTGGTATTACAAACAATATGAGGCTTTTCTACACCGGTACTTTTATTTTCTTGAGCTAGATATATTGAAAACTAGAAATATTAGGTGAAAGGCTAAGTAATTTTAAATTTGATACTGCTAAATTTCTCCCCAAAACTCTACCCTTTTGTAGTTTCCTCCAGCTCACACTTCACCATCTGTGCCTTTTTTTTGTCCACCGATTGACAAATGGATTAGGCAAGAATTTTCCCAAAATTACCCTGACTGCCTCAACCTTAAAGCCATGCCAAAGAGCTTTGACATTTTGGTGGAAATTTGTCTTGCCTTTTTCTCTTTTGGTTCAGTTCTAGTTGTTTTCTGTTTTCTAGGAACCCTCATGATTTTTACCTCTATGCCCTCTTTTTTCTAGCACTATTATAGATTGCTTTAAAAGTATGTTGGGGCCAGGCATGGCTCATACCTGTAATCCCAACACTTTTGGGTGGCCAAGGTGGGTTGAATTGCTTGAGTCCAGGAGTTCAAGACCAGCCTGGGCAACATAGAAAAACTCTGTCTCTATGAAAAATAGAAAAATTAGCCAGGCATGGTGGTGCACACCTGAGTCCCAGCTACTCAGGAGTCTGAGGCAGGAGAATCCATTGAGCCCAGGAGGTAGAGGCTGCAGTGAGCCATGATTGAGCCACTGGATACTAGCCTGGATGACAAAATGAGACCCTGTCTCAAAAAATAATAAAAGTACATTTGTATAATGTTACCACTGGGGGAAGCTGTGTAAAGGCACACATGGGATGCATTATGTAACTTTTTATCCTTCCTGTGAGTCAGTGATTCTTCCAAATTAAAAGGTTTTTTTAAAAAAACATATTTATACCTTCTAGGGATTTGGACTGGGAGGACGTCTGGAACAAGTACCCAGTTCATCATTTTGATTCCATCCTGACTGTATTGTTTTGACTCATTACAAAGATATTATTTTTGAAATAACAAAATTTCATGTGCCCTTTTTAAAAAGGATAAAGTAAATATGTACAGACATGAAAAGAAATTTATAAAAATAATTTGATTTTTGGTCGGGCGTGGTGGCTTACACCTGTAATCGCAGCACTTTGGGAGGCTAGGGCAGGCGGATCACCTGAGGTTGGGAGTTTGAGACCAGCCTGACCAACATGGAGAAACTCTGTCTCTACTAAAAATACAAAATTAGACTGGTATGGTGGTGCATGCCTGTAATCCCAGCTACTCGGGAGGCTGAGGCAGGAGAATTGCTTGGACCTGGGAGGCAGAGGTTGCAGTGAACTGAGAGTGCACCACTGCACTCCAGCCTGGGCTACAAGAGCAAAACTCCATCTCAATAATAATAATAATAATAATAATTTGATTTTTTATATTTGCCCTTTTTAACAAGGAACTTTTATTTCCATTCCAATTTGAAAAACAGTATCAGAATTGGTGTGAGTTACAAAGATTTGTCAATAAAAAGGTGCTCATACATGAATTGGAATAAACTGATAACAGGAATTTAATTCTTCTAAAGATACTAGTTTGTGTCCAGTTTTTGTAAGTGTTTTCTGTAAAAATTCTTCATGGTGATAATCAGGTAACGCTATGTTGATGAAGCATTGTTTAACTTAATGTGGGAATAGATGAAATGATGGTCGGTTGCAGCACCAGTATTCTCAGGGATCCAAGGGATTCTGGGCCACAAGTTGGTGGCACATCCTTCTTTCCAGTCGGGGCCACAGTAGGCCACTTGCTGCGGTAAAGACACTTAATACTAGCATTATTTTCAACCATTTTTTGTTGTTATCAAATACTAGCATTATTTTCAACCATTTTTTGTTGTTATCAAATACCACTAGCACCTAGTTAATACTGTTTGTAGGTTTTGGAGAAATTCCATGTTACTATTCCTTCTTTTCACCCAGGGACTTCGTAAAGTTAAGCTTTCCAGCAGGAACTGTGCTTCTCCATGTAATTTATCACTGTTGCTCTTCTGTCCTAAGCTTAGGACAAGTCTCAGCTGTGAGCTGATTTACTCTGCCATAGTTAACTGGCTACCCCCAGAGAGGGTGTCCAGATGAGATTTGAAGGGAGAGTCCCTGACAGTGCTTCTGCTTCTTGCAACCTGACATGTCCTCTACTCTTGCACTTCCTAAATAAACTGGGAAACTTGCTGATAAATAATTCTAACCCATTCTTTTCCTTAGGCTTTCTGGAAAGGATATAAACAACAGAAGCAGTATATGCACAGGCGGCAAATGTTCATTGATAATACTAATTCTATTGTGAAGGTAAATACCCTTTCCTACCATACCAAGTGCTTAGCTTAAACCTTTCCCCTCACTTCATGTTTTTTTTGTTTTTTTGAGACGGAGTTTCGCTCTTATTACCCAGGCTGGAGTGCAATGGTGCAATCTCGGCTCACCGCAACCTCCGCCTCCTGGGTTCAGGCAATTCTCCTGCCTCAGCCTCCTGAGTAGCTGGGATTACAGGCACACAACACCATGCCCAGCTAATTTTTTGTATTTTTAGTAGAGACGGGGTTTCACCATGTTGACCAGGATGGTCTTGATCTGTTGACCTCGTGATCCACCCGTCTCGGCCTCCCAAAGTGTTGGGATTACAGACTTGAGCCACCGCGCCTGGCCACTTCATGTTTAATATGAAAGACAGCTATAGAAAGGGAGGGTATGTGTGAGCCTTGAAGTCCGAAGGCAGTACTGGGTTTGAATCCCAGCTCTACTGCTCACTTACCTAATCATTTTTCATGCAGGTCAGTTAAACCACTGTAAAACCTCAAGTCTTTATGTGTGGTTATGAGAATCACATGTGAAAGTGTTCTGTAACCAATAAATGTTGTTCTTTGTCTAGAAAGTCCAAACTGATTATTTAAACTCTAGGCAGAACCCAGCTTTATTTCATGTTTCTCTTTCCACATTCGCGTAAGCATACTCAGAATGCTCAGACAAAACAGAACAAAACCAATGATAAGAGGAAGTAGAGCTAATTTAGGGCCTATATTTGGGAGTTGAATTAGTCAAACCCAGCCTTTCACCCAGGTGGATAGCTCTGAGTGAGAAAGAAAGGGCACTGTGGTGTCCACTCTCATGGATCTGAAAACCAAAGGACTGGACCAAAATGAACTTGGAAATCTACAACTTAGAGATCTACAAGTCTCCAGCTTGGAAATCCAGATCAGTGTTGAAGCAATGGAGCTGGAAAGTACAGTCAGATTAGTTTAAGGATCTTTTAGGCCAGGCTTAGTGGCTCACACCTGTAATCCTAGCACTTTGGGAGGCTGAGGTAGGAGAATCGCTTGAGCCCAGGAGTTCAAGACTAGGCTGGCTAACATAGGGGGACCTCATTTCTATATTTTTAAAAATTAATAATAAATACAAACAAATTTTAAAAAACCTTTTAAACTGCAAAGGCAGATAATAATATGACCCACATCCATTGTACAGTAGCTCCTTGATGAAGTAGCATCCTATGGAACATTTGCCTATTCTGCCAAAAAATGTTGTTAGCAGTTGGTCCCTCATGAGACCTGTTAGATGTTTTCCTGTAAAAACTTAAAGAATATTAGATGCATTTAAAGGGATGGTAGAAGAAACCCTGGACATAGTTTACTTGATTTCCTTCCTGACTCGTTGCAACTCTCAGCAAAATGCCTTACCCTTCTGGCTTTTATTTACTGAGATTAAGGTGAAATAGTACAAAGTTAAATTATCCTCTCTACCTCTCTCTTATTAAAGCGGTGAAATTAAGGGTAACATGTAGTGTTTTGAACTCCTCAAGAGAAACATTAGTGAAAGATGAAAAGTAGGCTTGAGAGATTGGTTATTTAGTGGGCTACTTTTTTTCTTTATCAAATATCATTGTTTTTAGAAGAACTATACAAAACTGCATTACGGGTTGTTTGGCGATTACCTTGACTTTTCTTTTGTTTTTTGTTTTTCTTTTCTATTTTTTAAAACTTTTTAGATTCAGTCCTGGTTCCGAATGGCAACCGCAAGAAAGAGCTACCTTTCAAGACTACAGTATTTCAGAGATCATGTAAGAAAAATGCATGTGGGCTTTTATCCGGGTTGGGAATGAACTAAATGAGTGCTTTATTAAATGTTTGCATTGAATGGTGGAAATGAACACTTAGGAAAGAATGGATCTTAGAACTTAATATGAAAATATTTGGAGGCTTACTGTTTTCATTCAGAAATCCTGTTGAGAGTTAGACTTCACCAGTCAGGACTGGATAGAAAATGGGTGAGGGGAAAACTGTAAGAGTAACAGCAAAGAGAGAAGACTCTAGAAAAGTATTTTCCAGCATTGCATATACAGTTTTTCTAACTGCTAACCACTTACTTTAAATAGAAGCCCATGGGAGGAATTTTTTTCCTCAATCTTTCAAGAAGAAATATGGGAACATAAACTGCATCATCTAAGTTCTGTGCTAAAATTATTTTCCCTTTTTAGATCTCTTGGTCTAAGCAGTTCCCCTGCATTCTTGTTTGTACTTTTAGCTAACGTATCTGACCTCTTCTTCAAAGAAAATGGAAAAATAAACATTGAATATACCACATTGAAATGCTGTCAGTTCTAAGTAGTGTCAGTTCTTAAATACTGCCAGTTCTTAGATGTTCTAAATTCAAAAACAGTGGAGTAGGTGGGACTCTGGGAGATCAAGACGTGTCTCTGTCTTTTGCAGAAAAATGAAATTGTGAAAATACAGTCACTGTTGAGAGCAAACAAAGCTAGAGATGACTACAAAACATTGGGTAAGTGAGAACTTTCTGAAACAATGCAAGGATTTTTTTATAAACCAAGCAAGGATATATTGGTCCACATTGGTCACTTCAGAGGCTGCTCTAAGAACAGAGAATACCCATTGTTTCCAGTAGATTTTGATCATCTCAGGCCCCAGCTTCTAAAACAGTACACAAAGGAACCCATGGTGACAGGAAATGGGCCTTCCTCTTAAGTGGAAGGGATAAGTCACGTGGTATCATTTCTTCTTCAAAAAGAATGGAGTTGGCATAAATGTGGAATTTTTTTAAATCTAAGCCAGAGTCAAAAATCTAATGCAAAAGAGTTAGCCGGAAGATAAGGTTACATTTAAACTGTTTAATTTGTTAGATGTCTCCTCTCCCAAAAATGACAACTGCAGACATCTTCCTGCAACTTCATTCTGAACTTTTCACAGAATATTTTTAAAAATTTTTTTGTAATACTAGCATAGCATATGCCATTGGTAGAAAGTTTGAAAATAGCAAAATAAAATTCACCCAGAAATAACAGTCACATTTTGTGCTATCTCCTTACAGTCCCAACTTTGCCTATATTTGTTATTTTGGTTTTTTTACAGATCATAAGTTGATTCTAAATTTTGAATCAAGTTGAAATCTAAAAATATACTAAATTTTTAACATTCTAATTATCACAGGAACATGCACAATCAAGAAGAGCTTGCTGATAAATTTATTAGTACTTACAGTACCTAGTAAGTTTAGCCAGCACCTTTTACCTTTTTTTTTCTTCTTCCTTTTTTTGAGATAGCATCTCCCTCTTGTCGCCCAGGCTGGAGTGCAGTGGCACAATCTTGGCTCACTGCAACCTCTGCCTCCCAAGTTCAAGCAATTCTCCTGCTTCAACCTCCTGAGTAGCTGGGATTACAGGCACCCGCCACCATGCCCAACTAATTTTTGTACTTGTTTAGTAGAGACAGGGTTTCACCATGTTGGCCAGGCTGGTCTCAAACTCCTGACCTCAGGTGATCCACCTACTTCTGTCTCCCAAAGTGCTGGGATTACAGGCATGAGCCACTGCGCCCGGCCAGCCAGGACCTTTTATTGTCTAACGTTTGTCTGAATTAAGGGATGAAGTATATGGCTCAAGAAAGATCTTCCCTGGTACTTAGGAAGGAAAATCCTAGGGTCCCTTGAAGTCCCTCACTCTGCCTCCAGCCTGCAGAATCTACTGAATAATATCTCATTCCACTAGTTTCCAGAATGTACTATGCAAGCTGAGTAAGAAAAGGTCAGCCAGTCTTTTCAATTACCACAACTTCTCAATTTTTGAAGTACTGGGGCTAGCCTCTCAGCTGGTAGATACGTTGTGTTTTCTTTTTGTTTGTTTTTTTCAAGAAGGCTGAAGAGGATTTTTTTTCCTGAGCCCAAACACTAAAATAGGTTTGCTGTTGCTTTTATATGTGAAAGATGACTGAAGAATAAATTTTCCAAATGAACACTGGCTAATTTTCATTTCATTCAAGGTAACATGTTTTTGTAAGCAGTTACAGTAATGTTTTTTATTTGTTTACTTTTTTATTACAAAGACAGATTCTAATTTTAAAATCTAAGCAACTTCGTCTTGGGGCATAAATAGTAGATAGGCAAATTATCTTGGTGAGTGCGTTAGATCTAAGCTTCCGTGGGCGTCAGCAAATTGGGTGGTTTTATGGTAACCAAAACATACATTTTCATTTCTTTCTTAGTTCAGCATCTTTAGAAAACTAAGACTTTGGGTTTTTCTGATTTGAAAAAAGAGAACTTTTCTAAGTTTATCATCTGTTCTCACCCTTCTTCTCTGGAATGGCACTGAACGTATTCAAGCTTGGAAGTTGGTGGAACTAAGATGTGGTCACTCGTAGATGGAGACTATAAAGTGGTTTCATTTCCTGAAATTAAAATACCTGTACTACAAAGTGATTCTCAGATGAAGATGACAAAAGCCTAGTATTGATAGAGGAAATATTCCATTGGAGCCATACAATTAGTAAAGCTAAAATACTAACTTAGTTGTTTGTAAAGGGCCTCTTAATACATATGAAGAGACACAACGCTCAACAGGTAGGAGAGGCAGCCATCAACTCTGGCCGCAGTGGGAGGGCTCATGATCTCCTAACTTGGCTGCATGGGTGAGCTGTGGTGCATTGCTCAGGCCTTCCCTGAAGTGGTCATATCAGTGGCAGCATCTTTGCTGGGAATGGAAGGAAAATGATGTCCCATGATCTAAGGAAAATTCTCCAATAAAGGCCATCAGCAGTGGCAAAATAATAACATACGTGACTATAGATTTGGGTGCTCGTGCTGGGTTTATGCAGTTGTTTGTGGTGTTGGTTTTCTTCTCCTTTAGTGTAAAAACACCACAGAACTAAAGTAGAAGTACAAGAAAGGCTGTCAAGGGCCTAGGTGTAAAGGAGCGCAGCTATTGAGATGGCCATGGCTGAACTGGTTCCTTCAAGTCATCTTTGTATTACTGGGTCTAATCATTCATCCTCGACAGGCTAGATGTTTTATCCTTATAGTTTACCCAGAATTGATCTCCCAAAGCATGTTAAAAATGTTTTACCAAGAGTCAGAGTGCCAGGAAATTAAAGCCTAAAGTTGCAGGTACTAAGGGAAAATGAGAATGTCCCTTTTGATGACAAGGGCTGGCCCCTAGGTTCTGAGCACCCTCCCTTGGCCAATACTGAAAGGACAAGGGCCAATTTTCAATTTCTAAAATATTTTTATTTCTATTGAGTAGAACATCTGTTCCATTTATTATTCTGTTGGTTCCTATTTGGCTTTTACAATCCTCCCTTCCTGGCTCTTTTCTAATTCAGTTTTCACCTACTTCCGGCTCCTTCCCAAAGATCCTTTGGGCTGGGAGAAACCACTTTCTGCTTCCTGCAGCAAGAATGTAAGTCACTTATCTAGCTCAAGCACAAGGTCTCACAGTTGAGGTAACTTACGTTAACTTTCTTTCCCAGATTCCTCAGGAATGAGGCACAGATAGGACTATCTTCTTAGTGCATGAGTCCAGGGAACTGTGAGAGACAGACCTGTTAAAAGGGAAGTTGATAACTAGGAAAGAATGGGACCAGATATCTGTTTTGTACATTTATTTATTGGTCAGTTTCCTTGTCCAGATTTTAAATTGCGTGGGGGTGGGTAGAATGATTCTCACCCTAGACCAAGTACTTTCATTGGTATGTTTTTCTAGTAATTATTTAATGACCTTGTTTCTTTCCTATTGATAATCATTCCAAGCTTTCCTAATTAAAGTATGTCTGTTCCTGTCACTGCAGTTGGCTCCGAAAACCCACCATTAACAGTAATTCGCAAATTTGTATACCTATTGGACCAAAGTGATTTGGATTTCCAGGAGGAACTAGAAGTTGCACGATTAAGGGAAGAAGTAGTGACCAAGATCAGGGCCAATCAACAGCTAGAAAAAGACCTGAACCTGATGGACATCAAGATTGGACTCCTGGTAAAAAACAGGATCACACTAGAGGTCAGTGGGGACTGTCAGCTCCCAGAAGAGGGAACATGCCCACATACAATCAAGAGTCACTTAATGACAGGGATATGTTCTAAGAAATGTGGCATTAGGTGATTTTGTCCTGATGCAAACATCATAGAGCACTTACCCAAACCGAGATGGTAATCATCTACTACACAGGTAGGCTCTATGGTAAAGCCCATTTCTCCTAGGCTACCCCCCTTTACAGCATGTGACTGTACTGAATACGGCAGGCAGTTGTAACACAATGGTAAGTATTTGTGAATCTAAACATAGAAAACATACAGTAAAAATACCATACTATAATCTTATAGGACTAATGTCTTATACGAGGTCCACTATTGATTGAAACATTATGCTGTGTGTGGTTATATATGTCCATGACACTTTGGTCTAGCTAAGTTCATTTGGAATCTAGAATAAGTTTTTGTTTATCATTTTTATCATAAATTAGTGGTTTTCTGGTCTGTAAAATTTTATGCCCCCCTTTTATAATATTTTGTAAGGCTTCTTTATCATTCCAAAATGAAATCTACATATGATAAAAATGTAACTGATGTATATACCTTCAGAATAAGACCAGGCTGTTTATATGAATCCAAAAGAGAAATGTAAAGAATAATTGATAATAAAAGCACACATTTTAATGAGAAACGTGTATGCCTGATATCATTAGAAGATGTGATAAAGCTACCAGGGGTGTGGACCTCTTCCCAGAACAGCTACAGATTGTGAGGGCTGCAGTGGTAACTGATGTGGGGGTGGTAGAACTGGCAGGACCTCATTTTCCAAAATGGAAAACAGCTCTTTTTAAAGTCCAGCATTAGCCAAGTGTCATCTCTACCCAGTTTACTCAATTGCAATCCTAGAAAATTCTAGAGTCTGTGTAGGGAAAATGTATTACGCATCTACGTAAAACAATTAGATTCTAGGCTCAGATAATTACAAACAGAATCTTGACCTATGTAAATGAGCAGTAAGACATTCAAAAGTTCTATCATGCAAGCCGTGGGCTGTTATTTATACAGCGTTATCCCACGAATTGCCAGATCACGGAGTACCTCTCATCCCCAATCCCTGCTCACTAGAAACCAGGAATGCCCTTCAATTGTTAAGATATTAAAAAGTACCCCTATGTACTTCCAAAATATGGCTCCCTACAGAGTCACACTGCTCTCGTTGATAGATTCTAAATAAACCACAGTATGGTTTCATACCTGTGTAAAACCTGCCAACATCAAAGCTCAAAAAAAAATTATAAAAAGCATCATTTTTACCCAAGAACAGATGCCTAGGATGTCTCCATGTCCCTGTTCCCTTCCTATGTGCCACATCAGTTTCTGAAAACTAATAGGTCAAAGTGGGAAAGTGACTTTCTGGAAGCTCTGAGAAGGCTACAGTGGGTCATAGTGGAGCGCCAGATGCCAGCAACTAAGTGAATGTTCTGGACAACTGGGAGATTAGCAGCCAGAGACGGCTGCCAGTTACATGGCCATGTGAATGCCCCAGGCAGGTCCTCCAGACATCATAAGACACCAGGGCAATTGTGGAAGAGAAAATACAAAAAAACCAGCATTTTATAAACAAATGATCATCCCTTCCAAATATTCAGGAATAAAACTACAGTTTAAATGTTCTATACTTCACTCTACTTTTATTATTTTATCCAGAAAAGTATTTTTTTAATAATATATTTGTATTGTTTGACACACATGAGAACTTTTAAAGTGTAATATATTCCAGGAGGTTCTTCAGAGAATGCTTTTTATAGCCTTAAACTGGTGTTTCATCCTATCCCCATAAAGTCATAAACAGGAAATGTCTTGCCTTTTAAAGTAAAGGCTTGGTTACAAAACAGAAATAGTTTAAATAATATGTATCTTTTGGAAATACAATCATGGCAAGTTATCAGATCTTCATGAATGCTTGAGGTTTTGTGGTTTTTAAAAGTCATTTATTATGAATAGATAACACTGTGAAATTTTCAACACATTTTCAAACACCAAATATGTATCCAGCATTTTTTTAGTGGGTTAAACTCATGATTATTAAATATGTAGCCACTAGCCTTATTGACAGAGCATTCATAGGCACACGCCTATAATCCCAGCACTTTGGGAGGCCGAGGCCGGTGGATCATGAGGTCAAGAGATCGAGACCATCCTGGTCAACAAGGTGAGACACCGCCTCTACTAAAAATACAAAAATTAGCTGGGCATGGTGGTGCGCGCCTGTAATCCCATGTACTCAGGAGGCTGAGGCAGAAGAATTGCCTGAACCCAGGAGGTGGAGGTTGCGATGAGCCGAGATCGTGCCATTGCACTCCAGTCTGGGTAATGACAGCGAAATTCCGTCTCAAAAAAAAAAAAAAAGAACAGAGCACCGGAAGCTTTATTTATAGTAGTGAAAAAGTGGGAAACAACCTAAAGGTCGGAACAATACACAGAGTACAAAAAATTAGTTTAATATGGATGTCGTACAGCCACTAAAAATAATGCTTTTTGAGACCATTCAAAATGGCGAAAGGTTTGCAATATCGTAGAGAAGCAACTAGTGCCTAAGGTAGTATGACTTCTTCTTATCAAAAAACAATAATAATATGCCAGAAGAAGAAAGAAGTTAAGTGAATTTTCTTTGGTGATAGAGTTGTTTATCTTCTCTTCTCCCCACCGCCACACACCTTTTTATTCTTAACAATGAGTGTGTGTTCGGTGAGGAAAAGAGAGATTGTAAAGGGAAATGGCTTTGTGCTTGTAGAACAATGCTGACTTTTGCTAGTAACCCTAACATCTTTACAGTTCTTTTAAAATCAGCATTCCTCCTAAAATCCTCAAAATCCGTAGGTTAGTGAAGTGACTAACATTGGTTTTAGGCAAAAAGAATGGTTTGGAGAAAGAAGACAAAACAACTGAAATAGAGGTTTCTTGGAGGCACACGAGCCAAAAAAAGTAGGGGTCAGCCTAGCTGGAAGGAAAGCCTAAATAGAAACTAACGCTAATCTAAAACTAAAATTCCCGTTCATGAGTGTGATGTATCATGTAAGAGCCCAGATTCATAGGTCAGTACTACCTGAAACCCAGGATTGAGACTTTTTACTATTAATACTTAATTATACTACTTCACTGCATATATATATATATATATATATATATATATATTTGAGATAGAGTCTTACACTGTCACAGGCTGGAGTGCAATGGTGTAATCTCAGCTCACTGCAGCATCTGCCTCTTGGGTTCAAACAATTCTCCTGCCTCAGCCTCCCTAGTAGCTGGGATTATAGGCACCCGCCACCACTTATGGCTAATTTTTTGTATTTTTAGTAGAGGTGGGGTTTCACTATGTCGGCCAGGCTGCTCTCGAACTCCTGACTTCGTGATCCGCCCACCTCAGCTTCCCAGAGTGCTGGGATTGTAGACATGAGCCACTGCACCTGGTCTCACTGCTTATATTAACAAGTGACCTTGAGCATGTTTCTTAACCTTTCTCTGAGTGTGTTTTCTTCCTTAGAAAATGTTCTAGGTGATTTACATATATTTTTACTTTTCACAGCAACTCAGTAAGATTGCTGTTATTACGCTCACTTTATAAATGAGGAAACTGAAACTTAGGTTAACCTGTGCAAGTTTACCAAGCTAATTATACTCTGCACATACCCATAACTTTATGACTCCAAAGCCCAAGCCCAAGCCCAAGCCCTTCATACTAGCCCGCACTTTCTACAAAAATGTTTGTATCATAGCATAATACCTGCATATAGCTCTCCCCTTATCAGGCCCAGGGGAAAGGTGGTGGCAAACAGGCAGCTTTGAGATGTGGGGTTACCATGAACAAACCAAATACGGTTGCTCTTTCAAACCATGGTATTCCTGATGTTCAAGATTTATTGAGAATCAGGAAAAGTGAGTTTTGATGAATAAAAAGTATCTGCCCATGTTTGTTATCCCTGTCTGGGTTTGCCTCTTGTCCCCATCTTCAAGCTTCCCAAAGCAAACCTCCATTCACACAAGCGCATTCATGAGCAAGTCAGAGCCTCACAGGGAGAAGGAAGGGGGGCTGTCTCCATCGGTGCTGGCTCTACCCCTGGAGCTCCAGCAGACAGGCCCTGTTCCATCAGCACAGCCACCAGCCCACCCTCTCTCTTCCCCTTTCTGGGTTCAGCATTGCCTCTGCTGCTTCCCTCCCTCCATTCCTCTCCCTTCCTGCCTTAACCAACTCTCTCTGTTTCTAATGCAAGGAGTTTAGATCTGCCCCAGACCTTGCTCACCACCCTTATCCTCTCATCTGTATACAGCAAAAACCATTACCCAGAAGGTGAAATCTGCAACAAAACAAAAAGCCCCCCATTTCCAGAGTAACCTCCACTGAAAACACTTGGGAAGGAAAAGGGGGGATTATAAGTAACAAGGCTTTTTTCACTGCCATATATTTAAAATCAAGGTAATAGATTTATTCTGTGTATTTGAGGGAGATGCATGATTTACATGTCACCAGCTATCTGAAGAGGAAGAACCTGGAATAACTGGCACTGTAAGCCACACTTACTCTTGTGATGTCTTAGGACTTCTTAGAGATAAGGATTATCAGACAGCAGCTTGCCTAGGTTCCTCTTTGACCTCTATCTGGGTAGTAACTGCACTTCCTTTCTTTGTACTGAAGACATTTTATAGATTGGTAAAACAAGGGGGCAATGTTGCTTTTTTAAAAATGTTATGGGAATGTAAATCAATTCCCCTCGCCGCTTTCCCTATAAAAGCAATTGGGGTGACAGAAATAAGTGGGTTAGTCAAGGCTGCCTCTCTCTGAGCTGAGAATGAGAAAGAATAAAATCATGGACCTGAAAGGCAATGGATAACCACATGGAACTGTCTTACTCCAGGGCTTCCTGGAGCCTAGACCCGAGCTCTCAATGGGCTGACCACAGCTGTGGGAGAATGAGGTGCCAGGAAGTAAACAGATTTAGAGCTTGCCCCTTAGGCAAGACCCAATGGTGGTTTTCATCCCCAGGGGCAATTGGAAATGGGGGTGGGCACATGTCCACTTGTGAAAATGACTAGGGGCCCCTGCTGGTATTTGGTGGGAAGGGGCCAGTGTGATGGATGGCCAGTAGTGCATGCACAGAGAAACTCTGTGCTGTCCACACTGCCCATAGCTCCCCTCTAAGGACGCTGGGCCAGCCTTCCTGATGTGCAAATAGAGTCCTCATGGGGAGGTCCAGCCAAGAGCTCAGTCAAAAATCCAGAAGTTTTGGGAAAAGCAACTTTCTTGCCACCTCCTCTGGCACAGTGAACTAATGTTAAGTGGCAGGGGAGGTGTTCTAGAACTGCGACTTTAAAATATGAGTCGTGTGCCGTTAGGGTCATGAAATCAATTTAGTGTGTCACAATGAGCAATCTTTATTATTATACTTTAAGTTCTGGGATACATGTGCAGAGTGTGCTGGTTTGTTACATAGGTATACACGTGCTATGATGGTTTGCTGCACCCATCAACCTGTCATCTACAGCTGATATTTTTCCTAATGCTATCCCTCCCCTACCCGCTAACCCCGGACAGACCCCGGTGTGTGATGTTCCCCTCCCTGTGTCCATCTGTTCTCATTGTTCAACTCCCACTTATGAGTGAAAACATGCGGAGAGCAATCTTTAAAAGAGGAATAAAAGCAAATAGAAAATATCAGCTTGTATCTTTAATGAAAGAGAGGGTGTATGTGTGTTCAGCAATAAAAGATGGAAACTGTATTTCTTAACTGCGGGTCTCAGACTTCTGAGTAGCTAGTAGCACAGGCAGAATCCACCTGGCTTATTTTTAAAATGTTTTTGTAGAGATGGGGTCTTGCTATGTTGCCGAGGCCTGATCTCAAATTCCTGGCCTCAAGCCATCTTCCCATCTTGGCCTCCCAAAATGCTGGGATTACAGGCATGAGTCCCCGTACTTGGCCTGTTTCCAACTTTACTTCTGAAGCTTCCTGGCTTCTCTAAGGCCTCATAAAATTGAAGAAAGTTAGGGCCTGGCCATCAATGATAGATTGGATAAGGAAAATGTGGCACATAATACACCATGGAATACTATGCAGCCATAAAAAATGATGAGTTCATGTCCTTTACAGGGACATAGATGAATCTGGAAACCATCATTCTCAGCAAACTGGCACAAAAACAGAAAACCAAACACCACATGTTCTCTCTCACTCATAGGATATTGAACAATGAGAACACATGGACACAGGGAGGGGAACATCATACAATGGGGTCTGTTGGGGGCTGGGGGTCTGGGGAGGGATAGCGGGGTGTGGGAAGATTGGAGAGGGACAGCATTGGGAGAAATAATTAATGTAAGGGACAGGGAGATGGAGGCAGCAAACCACCATGGCAAGTGTATACCTATGTAACAGTCCTGCAAGATCTGCACATGTACCCCAGGAATTAAAGTATAATAAAAAAAATAAAAAGAAAGAAAGTTAGGGCCTTGCTTTGGATTAGGCTTTGACTTAAAGGAATGTTGTGCAGGTTTAATCTTCTGTCCATAGCAGTCAAACTTTCTCTACATCAGCAGTAGGTCACTTGTTTTCTTAATCATTCATGTGTTCACTGGGTAACACTTAGAATTTCTCTCAAGAAATTTTTCTCTGCATTCACAACTTGGCTGTTCGGTGCAAGAGGCCTAGCTTTAGGCCTGTCCTACCTTTGGTTTGCCTTCTTCACTAAGCTTAATCATTTCTAGCTTTTGATTTAAAGTGGAAGATGTCTAACTTTCACTTGACGCTTTGAGGCCATCGTATGGTTCTTTTCTTTCTTGATTTACTTTCTGTGAGACGGAGTCTTGCTCTGTCACCAGGCTGGGGTGCAGTGGTACGAGCTCGGCTCACTGCAGACCTCTGCCTTCTGGATTCAAGCGATTCTCCTGCCTCAGCCTCCCAGGTAGCTGGGACTACAGGCATACACCACCACACCCAGCTCATTTTTGTATTTTTAGTAGACAGGGTTTCTCCTGGTCTCAATCCCCTGACCTCGTGATCTGCCCGCCTCGGCCTCCCAAATGCTGGGATTACAGGCGTAAGCCACCACGCCTGGCCCATCGTATAGTTATTAACCTAATTTCAGGGTGTCTCAGGGAATAGAGGGCATTAAGGAGGGAAGAAGAAAAGGAAAGTTGGTGAAGCAGTCAGAACAGACACATTTATTGATTAAGTTATATGGGCATGGTTTGTGGCACCCCAAAAGAATTACAATAGTAACATCAAAGATCACTGGTAGGCTGGGCACAGTGGCTCATGTCTGTAATCCCACCAGCACTTTGGGAGGCCAAGGCAGATGGGTCAAGAGGGCAGGAGATCAAGACCAGCCTGGCCAACATGGTGAAACCCAGTCTCTACTAAAAATACAAAAATTAGCTGGTGTGGTGGCAGGCACCTGTAGTTCCAGCTACTTGAGAGGCTGAGGCAGGAGAATTTCTTGAAGCCGGGAGGCAGAGGTTGCAGTGAGCTGAAATCGCACCACTGCACTCTAGCCTGGGTGACAGAGCAAGACTCCATTTCAAAGAAAGAAAAAAAGATCAGAGCCCCATAACTGATAGTATAATAATGAAAAAGTTATATATGTTGAAAGAATTATCAAAATGTGACACAAAGTAAGCACATGCTATTGGAAAAAAATGGTGACAATAGGCATGTTCAATGCAGGATTGCACAAGCCTTTAGTTTGTGTAAAAACAAAAAAGGCAGTATCTGTGAAGCACAGTAAAGCAATGCACAATACAATAAGGTGTGCCTGTATTTCCAATTAGGTGTGTTTCAATCTGTATATGAAGGGAGGAGGTAAAGAGTACGAGAATTAAAAAGTAGTAATCTGATAAATTTTTTTACAGGATGTAATTTCACACAGTAAAAAGCTGAATAAGAAAAAAGGAGGAGAAATGGAAATATTGAATAACACTGACAACCAGGGAATAAAAAGTTTAAGTAAGGAGAGGAGAAAAACACTAGAAACGTATCAGCAGCTGTTCTATCTTTTACAGGTGAGAACAATTTATCTTTCATTCCGGGTTTGGGAATAATACTATGTTTCATGTTTGTGCTTGTAGGGAGTCTTTTCCCATGCTTCAGCTATAATAGCATAAGTGTTTTGAGCATCTACCAAGTACCAAGTGCTACTGTTAGTGCTTTACATACATGATCTCATTTAATTCCTACCATAACCCTGGGAGCCGTGAGAGAATGAGTACTGTTGTTGTTCCTGCATTACAGATGAGGAAACTGAGACATAGGTAGTAAATGATAAAGCAGGGGTTTTGAAATGCAGGCAGTTTGACTTCAGAGCTCATGTTCTTCACAATGATATTTTACTACAGTTACCTACAGAAACAGTGTAAATCTAATAATAACGAAACAAAAACAGGTGCTATCATTCATGAAAAACAGTAACTATATGTGAAAAAAAAAAAAAACCTGTGTATATTTACCAGAACCAGCCTCCTTTCTGTGGTGGAAAGAGCCAGAGGGTTTGGGATTTCAAAATAGTACTTCTTTTTTCTTTTATTATTTTCATGGCATTACTGTCATCTAAACGAATAGCCATTTTCCACTGCTTCCTGAGTAATGATGAGAACTAATAAGTTGGACGGGTTATGATTGGACTTTGATGGATCACTTACTGTTTTGTTTGACAATGAATTCAGCCCGTAAGCCCTACTAACACATACAGTTCATCACAGAGGAAACTGCATGATAGCAATAGATATAAACAAGCATCCTTTTCAGCAGGAAAAGTTTCCCCAGAGAGGTGGATCCATAGTTCTCCCTTGTAAGAGTCAGATGTCCCTCAGAGTGGGGCCACTGTTGGGATTCCTTCAAAGCACAGAGATGCTTGGATCTTTGTTAGAAGATGTCACTGGCATTAGATGTATGGAGAGCACATTACACAAACCATAAATAGAGGAGAAACACAATGTTAATTTTGGTAGATTTGAAAATTCTCTACTTGGAATAAGATACTGGAGAACATCTTCAAACATATGAACATCTTCACACAGGTGGCCACCACATGGAGGCACAGAAGGAAAAGGTTAACAGTACTTTGTCTGTGGAACTCACTGCTTTATACCAGCAAACCTTCTAGAAAGTAAGGGGGCTCACTTTAAGTAGGAAAGGACTTTGCTTGGCCTGATTTAATAGTCAACCACCAGTTTGAAATTTAATCTTAGTCACTTATCCTTTTTTACATCCGTGAAATTTCGAGCATATTGAAGATTCTTTAGAATTTAGTTTTCTCAATTTGACAGAATTTGTCATAAGTCAAAATCTAGTTGTTGGCCTAAGGCTTGTATTGTTTATTATGCAATGGAGGCGCATTAATGGGAAGAAGAAAAAGCACAGGAGCATGTTTAGAATAATTCCACCAAACTTTATCCACAAACAATCCAAAATGTACAACCAAAGGGTGCGGCCATTCAGTTGTATCAAGTGAAGTCTCTCTTGAAATCATATTTTTCTTCTCCTTCTCCTCTTTTGAGACATTAGCCCAATATCACTGAAGAAATTATAGGAAAGAAAATGGCCTGGATTCCTTTGACCTGCAGGTTACACTTTAGCAAGACTTTTTCTTTCTGTTGTTGTTGTTGTAGTTTGTTTTTTGTTTTTGACACGGAGTCTCGCCCTATTACCCAGGCTGGACCATAATGGTGTGATCTCGGCTTATGGTAATCTCTGCCTCCTGGGTTCAAACAATGCTCCTGCTTTAGCCACCCATGCCCGGCTAATTTTTGTATTTTTTGTAGATACAGGGTTTCACTGTGTTGGCCAGGCTGGTCTCGAACTCTGATCCTGTGATCTGCCCACCTCGGCCTCCCAAAGTGCTACGATTACAGGCGTGAGCCACCGCGCCCAGCCGACTTTTTCTTTCTTTGTAGTGACAAAGTCTCACTCTCTTGCCCAGAATGCAGTGGTGAAACCGCAGCCCACTGCAGCCTTCATCTCCTGGGCTCAAGCACCCCTCCCTCCTTGGCCTCCTCAGTAGCTGGGACTACAGACACATCCCACAGTGCCCGGCTAATTTTTTCATGTTTTTTGTAAAGACAGGGTTTTGCCATGTTGCCCAGACTAATCTAAAACCCCTGAGCTCAAGCGATCCTCCCACCTCAGCATCCTAAAGCACTAGGATTCCAGGCATGAGACGCCACACCCAACCCAGCAAAAATTCTTATCCAAAGCCATAGGTCAGCTAGTATAGGTTTTTGGGGGTTTGTCTCTTCAGTATGAACCTAAATTTAAAGTTTTTAGGTAACCTTAGTAGGAATGGTGAGTAGGCATCTTTCTTTAGTTCTAGAGTAAGTTTCCTTTCTCCTAATTCCTATATACTTCACATTGAAAAAGAATCACTACAGAGCTATCAATAAAAAGACCTGATCTGCTTATTTATAAAATTTCAACCAACCATTATCAACTTAAAAGTAAATCTAAGTAGTAAAGTAAACCAGAATTTGAGATTTCTTAAAAACTACCCAAACTGCTTGAGTATATTAGATGAATACTAGTTTTCAAGTATGGAAAAATTTTTTTCTCTTGTCAGAAGGGAGATGAAGATTAGGAGTATTAATTTTCCTTTTGTACATAATTTCCTCTATAACCTGAATACTGTTGTTCTCTTTGAACATCTGCCTGGTAGGTGTAGCCGCTGGAGAAAAGCCGCTTCACCGTGAAGGCTGGTTCTGTGTCCAGTGGGTCCATCCTCATCAGAGCCCGCAGGGTTCCACATCCATTTTCAGTCCTTTGCTGTTTTTTGCTCATGGTCTTCTGGCACTTCCCTTATCAGCCGTCATGACCTTCACCCCTCTCTGCAGCCTCCCTACCTTACTCCCCCTTCTCACTCTGTGTAGAACACTGGCCATTCTCCACATTGTCTTTTCTCTTCCTGTTCTTTCCAGTCTGCCGAGATAGTATGCATTTCCTTCTGTTCATCCAGCAATCCTTCAAGGCCAGTCTATGTAGCAGGATTCTTAGTCTACTTTTTTGTTCTTGTTTTGTTTTGTTTGTTTGTTTTAGATACAGAGTCTGTGTTTCCTAGGCTGAAATACAGTGGTACGAGCATGGCTCACTGCACCCTCAAAATACTAGGCTCAAGTTATCCTGCTGACCTCAGCCTCTTGAGTAGCAGGGACTACATGCACACACTACCATGCCCGGCTAACCTATTTTTATTTTCTTTTAGATACAGGGCCTGTCCATGTTGCCCAGGCATGTCTCAACCTCCTGGGCTCAAGCTATACTTCTACCTCAGTCTCCCAAAGTGCTGGAATTATAGGTGTAAGCTACCGTGCCCAAGCTTTGCCTGTGTCTTTGGACACCAGATTCTATTGGCCCCCACCCCTAAATATAATAAATATTAATGTGTGGCTCAAAAATACAATAGTAAAAAGTAGATATGATACGTAAAGTATATCATATCATGTGCATCTTTTAAATCCTATCATAATTTTCTACTCTAGCTTCCTATAGTATATTAATATTAAGTAATATTTGATAGTAATATTTTAAAATATTAATATGCCATAAGAAGCTAAAGTAGAAAATTATATATCAGTCTATAGGAAGCAATAGTAGAAAGTTATACTATATACTGAAAGCATAGAGATGAGTACTTGGCACATAAAAATTATTTTATATACCTATCTATATGCTTTTCATGACATATTAAGTCATTGAAGAGCAGGGAATCAGATACTGCTGTGTGCTTTAATAATATATTAACCTATTGTTTCGTGGGATTTTTTGTTTTCTTCCTTCTTTCTTTCTAGACCAACCCTTTATACTTGGCTAAGCTGATTTTCCAGATGCCACAGAACAAGTCCACTAAATTTATGGATACTGTTATTTTCACACTATATAATTATGCCTCTAATCAGCGAGAAGAATATCTACTTCTCAAGCTTTTTAAAACTGCTCTGGAGGAAGAAATAAAGTAGGTATATAAATACATATGTAAAAATACCAATGAATAGATGCTTTTGTTAGTGGAGGCTGTCTTTGATTTACTAAAATTATTTTTAAATTATTATAAGTTATTCTCACATATTAAAATATATCAAGTTTCTTGAGAATATTTCTATATCATTAGACCTATATTCAGGTACCATTTTCTCCCACCAGTGATACTTTCTCTAGTGTTAAATTAACTCTTGATTTTGTATGTTTGTAACGACTGAAAAGCAATAGCTTCTTGAAAACCAGTGAGAACATTTAACTTAATTAAAATTCTGAGTAGGAAAGCCATTTAACGGGTGGGAATGCAGAGCACGATCTCTGCGTAAATCGTCTTCCCTTCGTACTAGAACTTAAGCTACCTTTGCTAATTTATTTTCTGACTCAGTTAATGTAAAAGTTGTCTAGGTAGCTATAATGAGTGGGCTGAGAAACATGCATGAGAAATGTCCTTAGCTCAGGTGGCCTTTCTGACTTGTAGAAACCTTAAGTTATGCTAGCTCCTATTGGTTTTGGGAGCATGGGAGCCAGGCACCTCTGCCCTCGAGGTGTCTACAAGCCCTTGAGAAATGTGATTTGGGAGAAATAGGAATGCTGTACAGTGGAATGTGGTAAGTGCTAAATGAAGGATGTGTCTAAATGGAGGACATGTACAATGTATCGGGTTAGAGGATTGGAGAAGTTCCAACTTGGTTCACTAGTAAAGATTTTATAGAAGAGGAGGTGCTTGACACAAAACTTTGAGGAATAGCTACAATTTTTATAAAAAGAGATAGAAAAGGGAAATAAGGCACAATGGTAGTGAAAACAACATGGGCGTAGGTGCAAGAAGGAAAGTAGATTAGTCTACCCAAAATGTGACTCGATTACTAACTACGGGGAGATGAACCATGAAAGACAGGGTATGGCCAGGTCATGGGAGACACTGAGTAAAGGCCCAGCTGTTAAGGCTCTATTTGATTTTTGGGGATCTGTGAAATCTTTTTTTTTTTCTTGGAGATGAACTCTCGCTCTGTCGGTCAGGCTGGAATACAGTGGCATGATCTCAGCTCATTACAACCTCTGCCTCCTGAGTTCAAGTGATATTCCTGCCTCAGCCTCCCGAGTAGCTGGGACTACAGGCACTCACCACCACGCCTGGCTAATTTTTGTATTTTTAGTAGAGATGGGTTTCACCATGTTGGCCAGACTGGTCTCAAACTCCTGACCTCAGAGGGGTAGGTCCCAGAGAGATGACGGGTCAAGCTGTGCCTGTGCATGAGGTTTGGTTGGGCTCTGGTAGACCAGTTATTCTTTTGTTTGGACATTGATTTACCCTCATTCTCCTTACAAGCACCTACAATTAGTCAAAAAGTAAACAAAAACAGCATTTAAAAGTGGGAAGAGGAGCCAGAAAAGGAAATAAAAAAGAATGACTGGATAAGATAAGGACCAGGCACTGTCAGGCTCTAAAGGGGAAGGAGGTGGAAGAGGGAGAGGGTGGTCAAAAGGGGGAAGGGAGAAAGGGGAGGAAGAGAGGGGAGAGGCCCTGAGAGTCAGCACCGTAAATCAAGAAGCGCTCTCTCAGCCATTTGATATGGCTAGAAGCTGTATCGCAGCTTTAAGTAGGATTTGAAGAAGTGAAACAGTTTATTCAGTCAAGAAAGTTGTTTTTGAAATTTGATAACAACAGAGGAGTGATACTTGTACAGTGTTACCTAGTATTGTTAGTCCCGGTCTATTTTCAGCTTATACCTGCCTTATAGGTTGAAATTGAGGCTGTGACTTTATTTTTAGATCCTCAAATTATTCATCTAAGAAACATACACCTTGGAGACTGGGAGTGGTGGCTCATGCCTCTTATCCCAGCACTTTGGGAGGCCAAGATGGGTGGATCATTTGAGGTCAGGAGTTGGGACCAGCCTGGCCAACATGCTGAAGCCCATCTCTTGGAAAATACAAAAATTAGTTGGGCATGGTTACATGTGCCTGTGATCCCAGCCACTCAAGAGGCTGAGACAGGAGAATTGCTTGAACCCTGGAGGCAGAGGTTACAGTGAGCCACTGCACTCCAGCCTGGGCAACAGTGAGACTCTGTTTCAAAGAGAGAAAAAAAAAAAGAAATATACACCTTATAAATGATTGCTTGTTTTTAAAGCACGCTAACTTTGATTTTCATAGAAAAAAGTGTAATTCCGTGAATTCCTTGCCTGCCAGAGAGAGGATACATTGTTTAAAACTGTATTCAGTCCCAGCACCATGGCTCAGGACTGTAATCCCAGCACTTTGGGAGGTTGAGGTGGGTGGATCACCTGAGGTTAAGAGTTCGAGACCAGTCTGGCCAACATGGTGAAACTTCGTCTCTACTAAAAATACAAAAATTAGCCCTGGACATGTGGTGGCATACACCAGTAGTCCCAGCTACTCGGGAGGCCAAGGCAAGAGAATCACTTGAATCCGGGAAGCAAAGGCTGCAGTGAGCCAAGACCACACCACTGCACTTCAGCCTGGGTGACAGAGCAGTACTCTGTCAAAAAAAAAAAAAAAAAAACTCTCCATAGAAGCAATCCATTTTCTTTTGTCTTGGGCTTTTTTAGATCAAAAGTGGACCAGGTCCAGGACATAGTTACTGGTAACCCTACAGTCATCAAGATGGTTGTCAGCTTCAACAGAGGTGCCCGAGGACAGAACACCCTGCGCCAACTCCTGGCTCCAGTGGTGAAAGAGATCATCGACGACAAGTCGCTGACTATCAACACAAACCCTGTAGAGGTATACAAGGCTTGGGTGAACCAACTAGAAACACAGACCGGAGAAGCCAGGTAACAAAGTCAGGAAGGTGCTGGTCTTCAGTTATGTTTTACGATACTTTTACATGTGTATTTATTTATACCATTAAACTTCGTTAGGCAAACTGTACAGTCAGTTGTCAATCCAAAATGTTACCTCCCTTTAACATATCCATGCAAATCACATTCTTAGACTCTTGGTCATCTTGATACTAAATGGTATTTTCAAATTTCAGAGACAGGTGATCCCAAATGCCACAACTTTCATAATTCTCTCCTTTGTTTATTTTCTTTGTGTGTTTCTAAACCTAGACCTAGAGATGGTGCACACTCTCTCTTTACCTGATAATAGGTACTTTTTTTACAGTTACCAAGCAAGTAACTTTAATGTGTAAGGTGTAACAATCCAGGTAGGATTGGCTTACTCTGAGTGGGTGTTTGTAGATTTAAGCAATCCTAGTTTCTTGTTTCCTGTACAAGGATGTCTGTGAAATAAAGCGTACACAGAGAATTATGTAATTATGTGGGTGGTTGTCACATTCCTGTTTGTAATAACAAAAAGTCAGGAAAAGTCAAAATATTTAGCTTTGAGGGATTTGTGAAGTAAATGCTTATATAGCACATAATGAAATAAGTATTTGGAATGGTGGTATACATACACATTTGTTGGCACAGAAATAAATGTTCATGGTATATTTTCCAGTTGGAGTTCGGTACAGTAACCCATTTTTCTGGGAAAAGAATGCTCATGTACATACACACACAGGATCTGTATAGAATGTCTATATACACAAATTGCATTACACCCATCAATATTATGAGGCCCATAGACATACATGCTCAGAGGAGACTTGGACAGTTATGCCCTAAGGTGTGAAAATTGGTTGTCTGCTTTGGTATTGTTTTTGATTATATGATTTTATTTTTCTGTAATGAACATTTGCTTTCTTTTTTTTTGGAGATGGAGTCTCACTCTGCCGCCTAGGCTGGAGTGCAGTGGTGCTATCTTGGCACACTGCAATCTTCACCTCCCACATTCTAGCAATTCTCCTGCCTCAGCCTCCCAAGTAGCTGGGCCTACAGGCGCAAGCCACCATGTCCAGCTAATTTTTTGTATTTTAGTAGAGACGGGGTTTCATGGTGTTGCTCAGGGTGGTCTCAAATTCCTGAGCTCAGGCAAACCACCCACCTCGGCCTCCCAAAGTGCTAGGATTACAGGAATGAGCCACTATGCCTGGCCGAACATTTGCTTTTTATAATTAAAAGAAATTTAGCTGAATCTAAATTACCTGGATCTGCCTATGATTTTACCAGAAGAGCCCAGAGGGACAGCCTCAAGTCCTTCCTGCCCCAAGTTGCAGAAGGCCCCTCAGTGAGGGTGGAGCCTCCCCTCACTTAGTAAACATTTTGTTACTGGAGTCAGCAGGCAAAGTCCAATTCACTATACAAAGCTTTACTATAGAACCAACTTAGCAAGAAAATTCATGCTTGTACCTAAGCCTCCAGTTAATTTAAAGCCTTTGTATTTTCAGCAAGTTGCCTTACGATGTGACCACAGAACAAGCTCTAACATACCCAGAAGTGAAAAGTAAACTGGAGGCTTCCATTGAGAACCTGAGAAGGGTCACCGACAAAGTCCTGAATTCTATCATTTCTTCCCTTGATCTACTGCCGTAAGTTGTACTTGTAGTGAGTTTAACATTCTTTCCTAGAAGTTCTTGGAATATGATGTAAAAATAAGCCCCCATAGTGAAGACATGAGTTTTCCCTTATATTATGTTTACTATTTTAAAAGATGGCCTACATTTACCTTATGAATTCCTAACTGGTTCTCTAAAGAAGGGGCAGTAGTTCAGTAGCAAACCCAGCTCAGTTATCATCAGTGGAAGTCCTGTGATTCCATTACCATCTCATCTTATGTTTAATTTTTAGAAAAACTGCTCAGTTGAAGTTGACTGGAACAATTGCTGCGTGTTTTTTCCTCACTCAGCCTTTTTCCATTATTTTCTTTTGTCATCTGTTTTATATGTAGTTATGGATTGAGGTATATAGCCAAAGTACTGAAGAATTCGATCCATGAGAAATTCCCCGATGCAACAGAAGATGAGCTATTAAAGGTAGATTTTCAAGGGTAATCTCACCATAGCTTCTCCTGGGGGTATGAACCAAAATCATGCACATTTAACTTTGTAAGATGATTCCCCATGTATGATTATTTGTAATAAGCTGCAGGTCTTCTGTTTCTAATGACTCTCAAGATAATTGATTAAGCTGAGATTAATTTGGAGATTCTAAATGTTATTGAAATTCTTCGTATTAGAGCATTTTGGGGGCAGTGAGCATTTTTCATCAAAAACAACTTTGTAAATTATGCTATTAAATATGTGTGATTATATTCATTGCCTTTACTTAACTCCTGGTTAGGATTAAATCAGAAAATGATCTGCTTTCTCTTGGGAAATGTAGAAGAATATGTATCTTTTAAAAAAAAAAAAAAACCCTGAAATTCTTGAGTTTTCTCTCTTAAAAATGGCCTTGCACTTCTGCATCACCCCAGATTGTTGGAAACCTCCTGTACTATCGGTACATGAATCCAGCCATTGTAGCTCCAGATGGCTTTGATATCATCGACATGACAGCTGGAGGTCAGATAAATTCCGACCAAAGGAGAAACTTAGGATCAGTGGCCAAGGTTCTTCAGCACGCAGCCTCCAACAAGCTGTTTGAAGGAGAAAATGAACATCTCTCATCTATGAACAATTATTTATCAGAGACCTATCAGGAATTCAGGTGAGAGGGGCCATTCATTTTAGAGAAACATGCAAGAATAGTAGGCAAGAATAATATGTGCTCTGTGCCCAGAGCTAGAGTGGGACATGGAGGACAGGAACCCCAGATGGTTACAAGCATTTCTCCTACCAGCCACTGGGGGAAAGACAGAGGGAAGTACAGGCGAGATTGCCTTTGTCTGACAATCCTGTCCTGCCCCCACCGCAGTACTCCTGCTACACTGAGTCTTTTTCATATTATTTCTGCTGCTCACAAAAAGGAATACTTGTTCTTCCTTGTATGCTACAGGCATCTAGTACTTAGAATTTAAAAATCAAGGGAGGCCAGGCGGGTGGATCACAAGGTCAGGAGTTCAAGACCAGCCTGGCCAGATGGTGAAACCCTGTCTCTACTAAAAATACAAAAATTAGCAGGGGATGGTGGCAGGCGCCTGTAATCCCAGCTACCTGGGAGGCTGAAACAGATAATTGCTTGAACCCAGGAGGCAGAGGTTGCAGTGAGCTAAGATTGTACCACTGCACTCCAGCCTGGACAACAGAGTGAGACACTGTCTCGATTAAAAAAAAAATACCAGATTTCTGCCTTTTTCAACCTAAGAAGAGAGGAATCATTTTTAAAAAGTTTTCCTATTAGGAAGAATTTCCCTTATCTACATCAAATACCTTTGACCCTTGATATAACACAGGTTTGAACTGCTCGGGTCTATTTATACATAGACTTTTTCAACCAAAGACAGAGAAAATACAGTATTTGTGGGATGTAAAACCCACATGGGATGTGGGATGTGAAACCCACATATACAGACAGATGACTTTTCACATATGTGGGTTCCACAAAGCCAATTTTGAACTTGAGTATGTACAAATTTTGGTGTGTATGGGGGTCCTGGAACCAATCCCCCAAACATACCAAGGGATAACTGTAGTAGGAAATGGAATACTCGATTCTGAAGGGTTGGGAAAACCCAGATTTTATGTTTGTTGATGATTGTGTATGTGAATATGTTCTGTTCTGTTCTCAAGCCTTTCTTCATGACACACGTAAGAAGATTTAATTGTATTGATTTTGTGTTTCCAAATTATATCACTAATCATTCACAAGAAAGGCATGAGTTGGGTAGTCAGATTCACTTCTCCTGAAGCTCTGAGGAAACACGTCATGTTTGTTTTGATGTCTGCCATTTAATCAACAGGCCATAGAAGTAATGCATAAATTTGGCCTCTTTTAATCCTCACTTGGAAACTAATTTCCCATTCCTCAGTTTCCCTCTGGATGAGTGACTTATCTGAAAACAAAGATAGTTCATGATTATTGATTTCTATCTAGAATTCCTGGCCTTTTGTGAGAAAATTACCCCAAATCCTCTTACTACAGAAAGTTTTGATTTTTCAAGCTGCTAATTTTTCATTCTTCTCATTGACTAAAAAAGTAATATCCCGACTGGGCAACATAGGGAGATCTCATCTCTACAAAACATTTAAAAAATTATCTGGGTATGGTAGCACACACCTGTAGTCCCAGCTACTTAGAAAGCTGAGGCAGTAGGATCACTTGAGCCCGGGAGATCGAGGCTGCAGTGAGCCGTTTGTGCCACTGTACTCCAGCCTAGGTGACAGGATGAGACACACACACACGCACACACACACACACACACAAAGTAACATCCATTTCCTACATTTCTCATGAACTTTTCACTGCGGTTATTCCTGTCAGTCAGTTATGTTCCCAGCTCTTCTTTAAGAAGAAACGAGACCAAAGAGGTGAGCCTCTTCCAAATTAGTCCTTTTTTCCACTCACATTTATCCTTTGTGTTTCTCAGAAATCTATAAAAAATTATAACTGAAGCAGCCTAGGAAAACTGATTGTCACATGGGAACATGCTCCCCACAACAGGGCTGCCTGCTGTTTAACCACCCCAGCCTCTGGCTGGGAAAGCAGAGGTACATAGGACTTGGGTCCCGAGACACCAAGGATCATTTCAGGCATATAAAAAACATTTACAACTTTATAGAATAAAATATATAGTCTACCTGCACAAGAATTGTTTAGGCAGAAAATACATGGAACTACTAAATTGTGATCACAGCATGTCTCATTTTTCTTCATCTCCGCCAAAACTTGCTATAGTTTAAAATCGACTTTTTAGGGCTTGAATACTGAGATGTTTTGTATTTGGGTGTCTAGCCTTAAGTCTTTCCATCGACCAGCAGATATTTGCAGCAACGAAGAAGCTTAGACTTAATCTCATTTTTTTCAGACATTGATAACAGAAGCTCTGAAGGGTGATATAGGCCCAGGAGCTTGTGCCGTTTATAGCAGCAAATTTGATTAATTGCTTTTTCTATTGTATTCTTCACACAGATTTGCTTCTTAGATCAAGAATTATCATTTTTGACTTTTTAAGTTTCAGGGGCCATTTTTAAAATAACATTTTTAAGATGACCTGCCCGTAGTTTGATATCACTAAGTCACGAACAGGGCCTGAGGCCCTTACCACTCTCTCCAATCCTGTTTGAGGAGCTGGGTCCAATATCCAGAAACATGGATGCCGCTCCAACAGACAGAAGCCAGCCTGGAAGAAGCTGTAACACGTCCTCTCAAGGTTTGAGATGGGAACAAAGTACATGTCATCATTCAAAATTTCCTAGCTATTTTGATGAAACTGTTTAATGCACAAATTTGAGTCTATCTTAAGACTTTTTACCCCTTTATTAGGAAATATTTCAAAGAAGCATGTAATGTCCCTGAGCCAGAAGAGAAGTTTAATATGGACAAATACACAGACCTGGTGACAGTCAGCAAACCGGTCATTTATATTTCAATTGAAGAAATCATCAGCACACACTCAGTAAGTGGGACTGGGGAGGCATCTTAGCAATGAACCCATGGTGTAGATGTCTGTTATCTAGAAAGTGCTTAATCTCTACAGGACTTATTATACATATGTGCTAATACTTATATTCTTCACCCTAAAAATCTCTCAATTATTTATTTCTTAACTCTTATACATTAATAAAATTCCTTCTCCGAAACAAGAAAATTCTATTTTTACATGATACATTTATTCCCTTACTTCTCCCCAAAAAAGAAAGCATACTTTTGGCATAATCCATTTACAAAGCCAGATTGTGACCAGGATGGTGGCTTATGCCAGTAATCCCAACACTTTGGGAGACTGAGGCAGGAGGATCACTTCAGCCCACAAGTTTGAGACTAGCCCAGGCAACATAGTGAGACACCCATCTCTACTAATTTTTTTTTTTTAATTAGCCGGGTTTGGTATTATGTGCCTACAGTCACAGCTACTCAAGAGGCTGAGATGGGAGGATCACTTGAGCTCAGGAGTTAGAGGCTGCAGTGAGCTATGATCATACTACTGCACTCCAGCCTAGACAACAGAGCGAGACTGTGCCTCAAGAAAATAAATGCATAATAAAAATAAAGCCAGACTGTAAATATGCAGTTTAAGCTCTGGGCAGGGACAGGCCGTGGTGTTCTCCCATCCACCAAAGCCGTGCTATCTAGACCCACACCCTGTCTCTTCCCTATTCCAGGAACCCTCTCAGCTTTTCCAGTAATTTTCTGAAGGAAATGAGAATATTATTTTTATTCTAATGTTTTAACATAGAGAGGTAATAAACAGGCTACGGAAAGAAAACAAGAAACTACCACCCAATAGAAGCCTCCTGCAAATAATCACTTTCATTGTTCTGGAAACCCCCATTTCTTGGAAGCAGGCGGTTTTCCACATCATGCGCTGTTATGACATCTACATCCGGTTTGCATGCAGACCTCACTGCTGTCAGCCATTGCATGTATTAAGTATCTTTTTGGCGCAGGGCACTGTGCTCAGTGGCATGGGGAAGGAATTGGGAGGATTTAGATGGTTTTGCAATCATTTAAAGTAAAAAAAAAAGCTAACCATTGAAGGGCTTGTGTTTTGTTTTTAAGATCAATTGGAACGTATTTCCTGAAAAGTCTTAGTTTTTAAAAGGTAACCTTTTCAGGAATAGTTTCAGACTTCATGAATTAAAGCAAGGTCCTGGGGACATGTTAGCAATCACCGTGGACCTCCCAAATTAAAACCTGCATTCTAACAAGATCCCAGGGGATTCAGATGCACACCCAAGTTCTAGATAGTTCACTTAAGGATGCATCCAACTTTGGATTATACAGACAGCTAAGGGGAAAGCATAACAAATATACATTCTCAAAGGTTGTGTTCCAGCCCCCATCAAACCAGACATACTAACAAGTAGCAGATTAGCTGCTTAAAATTTCAATCTATGATTAAGCTCATGTAAGAAACTAAAGCTTGAATGTAGGTTTGAAGGAACGATTGAATCTGCTATTGATTTTCTTCCTTAAGGGTTGGAACAGGGAACTTCTCTGACATTTACATCAAGCTCTCAATAAGTACTGATGGCATGAATAGGCTATCCTTCTTTTCTCTGTATATAAACACCCTAGAGTACAAGAAAAACAGTCCAGCAATCTAGCAATGCATTACTTACAAAATAATTATCTACTGGACAAACAGACTCGTTTATATTTGAGCAGTGACCCACTTATCTATTTTTATGGTACATTATTCGTCTCTAAAATATGTGTACATCTTTGCTGCACATCTGCTGAATGCAATATCCATATGCAAGAAAAAAAATGGTGGGGAGGACTTTTTTAGAGTGAGAGATTATTTCCCAAGGGTATCAGAGAGAAAATGTTACTATGTTAATTTAGAAGTCTGTAAGGAGAAATACTGTTCTTTTGTTAATAATAATTGAAAACAGAATTAAATCCTGGGAAAGACAGCTTGTGACCAATTTGGAATTCCTTCCTGTGTTAGGTTGGAAGCAGATGTAACATGGGGAAATTGTGTAATTTCATAGGAAGACTGCTGTTTACTGTCTGCCTTCTGTGTGGAGGCGTCTGTGTGCAGACACAAGCACAGCAGTGGCAGGACTTGCCAAGCCAATTTTATCCAATTTTGGATAAATTTTTGTTCTTGTCTCCTAATTTTTCCTCCAAAATATTATATGTACCATCTTTCCAGATTTTGCCCGCTTTGTATCACCTCTATTATTTATTTAATGCCTTTCTTTGAATCAACTCACTTTTTTAAGAACAACACGTAATTTTTTTGCTTTGAAACAAAGTACCTCTATAATACTGAAAAACTAGCATGCTTTGCCATACACAGAAACTTAAGAGGAAAGTAAGTGTAATGAAAACAAAATAGTTGGATACAGTCACTTCCTAGCCTTGAAGTTATGCATCTGAGATGTGTTATCTCTCTGTTAACAACCCAATTAGCATGTGTCAGGGAAACGCTAAGAAAAATTTAGCGTTAAACAGATACTCTGTCCTTCACTGATCTTAAAGATTAAAAGAGAACAGAAAAAGCAGTAATCAAGACTCTGCTATGCTGGCATAAAGATAGACATAAAGACCAATGGGATAGAATTCAGAGTCTAGAAAGTAGCCATCAAATTTATGGTCAATTCACTTTGACAAGGGACTAAGACAGTTCAATGGGAAAATAGCATCTTCACATGGTGCTGGGACATCTGTAAATCTACATGTCATAGAATGTAGTTGGGCTCCTCCCTTCCACTCTGTACATAAAGTGAACTCAGAATGGATCATGGACATAAATGTAAGAGCTAAAACTATAAAACTCTTTGAAATAAGATACAGGAGTAAATCTTGTGACCTTGAATTAGGCAGGAGTTTCTTAGATATGACATGAAACACACAATTAGCAAAGGAAGGAAATAAAACAGACTTCATCAAAATTGAAAACTTTTGAGCTATAAACATTAATATCAAGAAATTGAGGCTAGGCGTGGTGGCTCATGCTTGTAATCCTAGTACTTTGGGAGGCCAAGGCAGGAAGATTGCTTGAGACCAGGAGTTCGAGACCAGCCTGGGCAACATAGCCCCCATCTCTACAAAAAAGGGAAAAAAGCTGGATGTGCTGGTGCATGCCTATAGTCCTAACTACTCAAGAGGCTGAGACAGGAGGATCTTTTAAACCTGGGAGTTCAAGGCTGCAGTGAGCCATGATCATGCCATTGTACCCTCCTAGCCTAGGTATTCTGGTCAACATGGTGAAACCCTGTCTTTACTAAAAATACAAAAAATTAGCTGGGCATGGTGGTGCATGTCTGTAATCCCAGCTACTCAGGAGGCTGAGGCAGGAAAATTGCCTGATCCCAGGAGGCAGAGGTTGTGGTGAGCCGAGATCGCGCCATTGCACTCCAGCCTGGGTAACGAGAGCAAAACTCCGTCTCAAAAAAAGAAAAGAAAAGAAAAAAATTGAGTCGACCAGGCGCGGTGGCTCACACCTGTAATCTTGGCACTTTGGAAAGCGAAGCAGGTGGATCACTTGAGACCAGGAGTTCAAGACCAGCCTGGCCAACATGGATCAAACTTGTCTCTGCTAAATAATACAAAAATTAGCTAGGTGTGGTGGCGCATTCCTGTAATCCCAGCTACTCTGGAGGCTGAGGCACGAGAATGGCTTGAGCCTGGGAGGTGGAGGTTGCAGTGAACCACTCCAGCCTGGGCAACAGAGCAAGAATTTGTCTCCAAAAAAGAAAAAAAAAAATGAGAAGACAACCAAGAGAATGAAAGAAAATAGTTGTAAATGATGCATCTGATTGGGGACTTGTATCTAGAATGTATAAAGAAATCCTACAACTCAATGATAGAAACAATCCAATTTAAAAATTGGACAATTACACATCAAAGGACACAATCAACTGAGTGAAAAGATAACCTGTGGAATGGGAGAAAATATTTGCAAATCATATGTCTGGTAAAGGGTTAACACCTAGAATATATAAAGCATTCCTGCAAATCAACAACAAAACAACCCAATTATAACATGAACGAAGGACTTGAACAGATGTTTTTCCAGAGAAGTATACAGATGGTCAACATCACTAATAATTAGAAAAATCAAAACTGAAACTGCAGTGAGATGCCACTCCCACCCATTAGGATGATTAATATAAAAAAAAAAAACAAAAAACAGAAAATAGGTGTTGAGAAGGTTGCGAAAAAAATGCAATCCTTGTACCCCGTTGGTGGGAATGTCAAATGGTGCAGCTGCTATGGAAACAGTATGGGGGTTACTCAAAAATTTAAACATAGAGGCTGCAGTATGGTGGCATGATCAACTTAAAAATATTAAACATATAATTACCTCATAATCTAACAGTGCCACTTCTGGATGTATACCCACAAAAAATTGAAAGCAGAGTCAGAATTTTTTGTTTACTCATGTTCATAGCAGCATTATTCACAACAGCCAAGTGTCTATTACTAGATGAATGGACAAAATATTATAGTCATACAATGCAATATTAGTCAGCTTTAAAAAGGTGGAAATTCTGATACATGTTACAACATGGAGGAATCTTGAGGACACTATGCTAATTGAAATGAGCCAGTCGTAAAAAGACAAATACTGTGTTACGCTAAGTGAAATGAGCCAGTCACAAAAAGACAAATACCACTGATATAAGGCACCTAGAGTAGTCAGATTCATACTTGTGGTTTGCAGGGGATAGAAGGAAGAGATAATGGAGAGTGACTGCCAATGGATACACAGTTTCTTTCAGGGTAGTGAAAGCATTCTATACAGTCAGAGAGAGTGGTAATGGCTGCACAACTCTGTGAATACACTAAAAGCCATTGTACCATGCATTTTCAGTGAGTGGATCTGATGTATGTGAATTCTATTTCAGTAAAGCTGTTGGGAAAAAGAAATTGAAAATGGAAAAGGAACTAACTTTATCATTATGATGCAGAGTTTTATAAAACAGTTGCTCTCAGAACAACAAATTATATCTCTTGTCCCCAGGATTGCTAGTTTCATACTTTGGAAATGTTGTTTCAATCTAATTAGAAGTGCAAACAAAAACAGATGTGTTGCTGTTCATGTGTAAAGTCGTAATAATTAAACTGACTCCATTAAAATTTGTTTAAATTATGCTTTTTTTTTTTTTTTTGTCTTTTTGTTTTTTTCCTTTTTGTGGAGAACAGGGTCTTGCTATATTGCCCAGGCAGGCCTCGAACTCCTGGGCTCAAGCTATCCTCCCGCCTCTGCCTTCCTGAGAGCTGGGATTACAGGCATGAGCCACAATGCCCGGCCAAATTTGTTTAAATTCAAAAAACAAACAAACACAAACACAGATGTGTTGTCCTTCACGGTTTCCCCCTGAGTGCTGCTGCTCCTCAGGAGTTTCCTCTAAGACCTGGCAAGACACCCCAGCAGACGTTACTCAACTTTGGGCCTTCTTAGGATCAGGAAAGGGGAAACCACTCAAGACATCTAGTCTCTTACATCCTTAACCATGAGAGATCTTCAATGCAAGACAGATTGAAACAACTAAAATAGTGATTAAGAAGATAACTATAGTGTTTGTTTACTGAATAATTTATCTGCATAGAGATGTAAATGCCCTTCCAGTTTGCTACCGAGGTTAGCTAAAAGACCTGCCTCATTCTGGACTCTTTCCCTCAGTTTTGACTTTTCCTATAGAGGTACAGCGAAGCATAGAGATCAGGTGTTAGAAGGCTGCCCCTTGGCTGACCTTGCTGAAAAAGGGTTTATGTACATGTTTTTTGCTACGGTTTCTTGAAGTAGAGTAGGTACTTCCCTCTGAGATATAATAAAAACTGTATCTATGTCTCTAATTTTTATAAATGTCATACTAGTATTTAAGATTTAAATGGTATCAGGAGGAAATTATGAAAATTTTGATATAAATATGGTACAGTTGAGAATTTACTCTTACCTTTGTGTGTGTGTGTTGCTTTCTACATAAAGCTCCTGTTGGAACACCAGGATGCAATTGCCCCTGAAAAAAATGACTTACTGAGTGAATTGCTGGGGTCTCTGGGAGAGGTGCCGACTGTGGAATCTTTTCTTGGTAAGAGCTTGTTCCTTCTACTTATCACTTGGTTTTTGTTTAATTGGGTTGGTTGGTTGGTTGATTTTCCTATCCTAGATAAAACAATTTCTTTTGGAATTTAACACTTAAGCATAAATAACAACTACACTTGCCCCTTCCTACAGCAAGACTTCTGTAATTGATAGCATCCGAGATTGTAAAATAATTCAATATTCTTGAAGGTAAGCTCCAGATACGTCAAAAAGGAATTGTCAACATGTATTATACAGAAAGAAAGCATCATTAAAGAACAAAATTTATTAGAAAATGGGAAATACTTTTATTAAGTTATCCCTTTTAGTAATTTGTTTGTATTTGGAATATCTGTGTCCCATGTCATTTTAATTTTTCAACAAAATATTTTAAAAAGTGCCTTTAGCTGTAGTAGAATATGGGATTTATGAAGACCATGATCTCCCATTTAATTACGGAGCTTTTGTCTTACATTGTTGGTGTCGCCATTGCAATGAGTGAATTGGGAAAAATAACCCTACTTTTTTTCCCCTACAGGGGAAGGAGCAGTTGACCCCAATGACCCTAACAAGGCAAATACATTAAGTCAGCTCTCAAAGACCGAGATTTCTCTTGTCTTGACAAGCAAATATGACATAGAGGACGGTGAGGCTATAGATAGCCGAAGCCTCATGATAAAGTAAGTTTGGGGGTTAAAGGGCATATGTCTCCAGATACACATCTTAAACCATGCAAATTCCAAGAAGGCTAAATCCAAACTAATTTATTTACAAGTATGTGAACATTGAAATATATTATGTATATTCATCAAACATCTAACCAAAGGACAATAGACTCTTTAGGAAGGAATTAAATGTTATAATAGTTTACAACACCTTCCTTGGCTTTTAGTTTTCCAGGGAATAATTTGATTCCTTTCCTTTGAGAAGTGGTTAACTCAGCTTATGCAAGTTCTTTGGTGACTGAAGGGAAATATATATTACAGAGTGGCCAGATGATAGTGAAGAAATTCAGTTAACCAACATTAATTTCAGGTATAAAATAATAATGTAAAAAGGCTTACCTGTGATAAGACATTATAATAGCATCTGATTTACTGGTCTTCCTTCCTATTAAACTGAGCCTGGATATGTTTACCAGCTTTGACTTTATTTGTACCCTACTTCCTGCCACCAAAGATTTCAAGTGAAGTATTCACACTTCAATAATACTATCTTTTCTCCATCAAAGCATCAATGATATTCCACACAGAGTAGGAAAGAGAATGAGATTCGTGATACAACACCATAAATCAAAAACACACGCTGAAAGCAATGCAGTTTTCAATTTATACAAACTCAAGAATGCATATTGGTACATTAGAACAGTTTATATTGGGGTGAGATGCAGACTGGAAGTGGAAAAATAAGGACAAAAGGGAACAAGCATGTGTTGAAACAATACTTCACATATTACTTCCAAGCTACCTGTCCTGAGTTCTGAGGTTGCTTTTATTTGTGGCAAGAGCTTTCTCTCCTGCCACGGATGTGCTAAAGTGTGCTTGAAATGTGAATGAAGACAGCATTCATCTCCACTTGATTTTTTTTTAACATTCAATCATCTATGAAAACAACAGGAAGAGGTTCTTCAGTGTGCTGTGTTGATATGTTCTATTAGGCTTGTTGATTTTGTCCTCAGATCATCTGAGCCTCCATTTAGTCCTGCAGCAAATGCTTGAGTACTTATTCTGTGTTCATGCACTGGGCTTGAGGCTGGGGATACAGCAGGGAAACAAGCCGGTAACAGCACCTGCCTTACAGGGGTAGAGAGAACAGCTCAACAGTAGGACAGCAGCCAAGCTACAGGACTAGGACTCACCCTTGGCCTCACAACAGTTGAGTTTGACTGCAGATTACCACGGCAGATCGAACTTTCAGGGAGACAGTTCAGGCAGGGCAAGAGAGAAAAGGGGGTAATGTCTACTCCCTGGGTTCCTCTGAACAAGTGCCAGTTATAAAGATCACTGGAAATGCAGACTGTGTGGCATTGTCATGTAAATGAAATTAGGGCAAGTATCCAGTGATCTCATAAGCTTTGTCCTTTAAAAGTCATGGGAAGAAATTTTTTCTTAATTAGTTTTGTCTGCTATTTGAACATTATTTTCTAAATGCAGTCAACTCAAATGTCTGCATGATGCCTGGGAATCACAATTTGAGCAGTTCAAAATATCAAATAATCTGAGTATCGTATGCATTTATACTTATATCATATATATTTATTTATATTCCTAAACACCAGTTTCTGTGATACCACAAATTCTAGGAAATCACATTTTAAAGATAAAACCATCAAAGTCAGGCATATCTGGAAGCAGTGTGTCTTAGCCTGGGAAACCTGGTACAGTGTCCTGTTTGTCTTACCCATTACCCAGCCTTTGCCCTTGTGGGGCTCTCTCCCAGTACCCAGAGTTGAGAAGGAACACTTATCTACTATTTTAATCACCACACTATGTAGAGCCAGCAGAGGGTTTATATTTTGTTGTGATAAAATGCACATAAAACTTACCATTTTAAAGTGTACATGCATTTAGTACATTTGCAGTGTGCAACCGTCACTGTCGTCTAGTTCCAGAACATTTTTTTTTCTTTTTTCTGAGACGGTGTTTCGCTCTCATTACCCAGGCTGGAGTGCAATGGCGCGATCTTGGCTCACCACAACCTCGGCCTCCTGGGTTCCAGAACATTTTTATCAGACGTGAACCCTGTCCCCATTAAGTGGTCATTCCCATTTCCCGCTGCTACCCAGCCCCTAGCAACTATTAGAGTACACTCTTATCTCTTTGAACTTTTGCCTATCTCAGATATTTCATATAAATTGAATCATAATTTGTGATCTTTTGTTTTTGGCTTCTTTTACTTGGCATCAGGTTCAAGGTTCATCCCTGTTGTAGCATCTATCTGTACTTCGTTCCTTTTTATAGCTGAATATAATATTCCATTCTCTGGATATATGACATTTTCTTTCTTCATTCATTAGCTGGACCTTTGGGCTGTTCCCACCTTTTGGCTATTGTGAATAGTGCTGCTGTGCAAATTTGGGTACAGGTTTTTTTGTTTGTTTGTTTTGTTGTTTTTGTTTTCTTTTGTTTATGAGACGGAATCTCGCTCTTGTTGCCCAGGCTGGAATGCAGTGGCGTGATCTCGGCTCACTGCAACCTCCGTCTCTCGGGTTCAAGCAATTCTCCTGTCTCAGACTCCTGAGTAGCTGGGATTACAGGCGTGCACCACCACACTTGGCTAATTTTGTATTTTTAAGTAGAGATGGGGTTTCTCCATGTTGGTCAGGCTGGTCTCGAACTCCCAACCTCAGCTGATCTGCCCATCTCGGCCTCCCAAAGTGCTGGGATTACAGGTATGAGCCACTGTGCCAGGCCACAAGATTTTGTTTGAACACCTATTTTCAGTTCTTTTGGGCATATACCCGGGAGTGGAATTGCTGAGTCATATGGTAATTCAGTGTTTTTGAGGAACTGTCAAAGTGTTTTCCACAGTGGCTGTACCATGTTACATTCCCCCCAGCAAGGTATGAGATTACCAATTTTCCCACATTCTTGCCAACATTTTTTTCTATTTATATATGTATGTATGTACAAATAAATGAATGAATGACAGGGTCTCACTCTGTCACCCAGGCTGGAGTGCAGTGGTGCAGTCATAGCTCACTGCAGCCTTGATCTCCCAGGCTCAAGGGATCCTCTCACCTTAACTTCCCCAGTAGCTGAGACTACAGGAACCTACCACCACACCTGGCTATTTATTTTAAGTAGAGATGAGGTCTCAACAGATTACCCAGGCTGGTCTCAAACCCCTAAGCTCAAGTGATCTTCCTGTCTTAGTCACCCAAAGTGCTGGGATTACAGGCGTGAGCCATTGTGCCCAGAACCTGCCCCCACTTTTTTTTTTTAATAATAGCCATCCTAATGGGTATGAAGTCATATCTCACTGTGGTTCTGGTTTGTGCTTTTCCAATGACCAGTGACATTGCAGATCCTTCCATGTTTGTCACCCCCTTGTCTATGTATGTATTTGTTTTTTTGAGAAATGTCTATTTAAATCCTTTGCCCATTTTAAAATTAGGTTGGTTGTGGTTTTGTTCCTCAGTTTAAAGAGTTGCTTATATACTCTGGACACTGAACCCTTATCAAATATATGATTTGTAAATATTTTTGCCCCTTCTGTGGGTTGTCTTTTTACTTTCTTGATAATGTCCTTTTCTGCAACAATTTTTTTTATTTTGATGAAGCCCAATTTATCTGTTTTTATTGTTGTTACGTGTGAGATTTACTCCAGTGTTTTCTTCCAAGGGTCTGTAGTTTTAGCTTTTACAGTTAGAGCTATTAACCCTTTTTAATTCTTGTGTGTGATGTGAGACAGGTGTCCACCTTCATTCTTTTGCATATGGATGTCCAGTTTCGTAGAACCATTTGTTGGAGACTGTTCTTTCTCCATGGAATAGTCTAGGCACCCTTGTCAAAAACCAGTTGACCATATGCATATGGCTTTATTCTGGATTTTCAGTTCCACTTCATTCACTTACATGTCTGTCACTGTACTAGTGCCATACCGTATTGATCACTGTAGCTTTGCAGTGAGTTTTGAAATAGGGAAGTCCTCCAACTTCTTTCTTCTTTTTCAAGATTGTTTTAGTCTTGTAGTTGAATGGGTCTCTTGCAATTATATGTGAATTTTAGGATCAACTTTTCTATGTGTGTAAAAAAGGCTTAATGTCAGTGTTTTAATAGAGGACCTAAGTCTTCTATGCTCAAAGGCCTTCCTCTGGGCATACTGCGAGATCTTCATATTGGCCGACTACTGTACTAAGCAGTTCAGTGATTCATGTAGGTTAACAATTTGAAATCAAAACTGACTAGTTAGCCATCCCTGAAAGTGAAATTTGGGTTTTACCCAAAAGATTCAGTAGACTTAGCTCTATTATTTTAGACAAGCCCTATTTCTAAATATATTTCCTTTAAAGTACATATTTGAAAAATCTTGATACTAACAGGTGATTACAAAGTACAGCATTGACAGGAAACTTGAAAACTGAGTCTTCTTCTTTGAGGCAAGGAAACTAAAGTCTAAAAGTACCAGTATCAGTCGTTGGCCTGTTAGGAACCAGGCTGCACAGCAGGAGGAGAGCAAGTGAAGCTCATCTGTATTTACAGCTGCTCTCCATCATTGGCATTAACACCTGAGCTCCACCTCCTGTCAGATCAGTGGCAGCATTAGATTCTCATAGGAGTGTGAACCCTATTGTGAACTGCACATGCGAGGGTTCCAGGTTGCACACTCCTTATGAGAATCTAATGCCTGATGACTGTCGCTGTCTCCCATCACCCTCAGATCAGACTGTCTAGTTGTAGGAAAACAAGCTCAGGGCTCCCACTTATTCTGTATTATGATGAGTTATATAATTATTTCATTATATATTACAATGCAAGAATAATAGAAACAAAGTACACAATATATGTAAAGCACCTGAATTATCCTCCTGAGACCATCTCCCACCCCTGGTCCATGGAAAAATTGACTTCCACAAAACCAGTCCCTGGTGCCAAAAAGGTTGGGGACCACTCCTTTAAAATATTGATTTGAACCCTCTGCTGGGGATGATTCTTTTCCAAGCTAATAAACCAAATTT